TTTTTATTATTGTCTCCTTTTGTCTTTGTTTTTATTATTGTCTCCTTTTGTCTTTGTTTTTATTATTGTCTCCTTTTGTCTTTGTTTTCGAGTGTCTTCTCGTTTATTTTTTTTGTTTTTTCTTCTTCTTTGCTCGCTGCTTTATTTTGTCTCTTTTGCTGTCTCCTATTTGACTGTATCATATTTGTTAAATTCTTTTTTCTCTTTCTTAAGCCCTTTGCTGTTGTTGTTGCTGCTGCTGCTGTTGCTGCTGCTGCTGCTGCTGTGCTGCAGGCGGCGTCTACGGCAGCATGATGGGGACCCCTATTATTAACCCTCCACAATCTGCTATCCTAGGTACAGCTTTTGCTGCTGCTGCTGTTGTTGCTGCTGCTGCTGCGGGGGGATTGCTGCTCGTGTGTTGCTGCTGCTGCGAGCACTTCGTCTATCTACTGCTGCTGCTGCTGCTGCTGCTGCTGCTGTTTCTTTGCTGCAGGCATGCACGGCGTAACGGAGAGGCCAGTTGTGCGCAACGGTCAGATTGTTATTCGCCCCATCATGTCAGTAACCCCAACCCATACCTGCAGCAGCAGCAGCAAGAGTAGCAGCAAGAAGAGTAGCAGCAAGAGCAGCACCAGCAGCAAGAGTAGCAGCAAAAGCAGCTGCAGCAAGGGCAGCAGCAGGACTAGCGGGAGTAGCAGCATCATGACTAGCAGCAGCACCACCACCATCAGCACCAACAGCAGCGCCAGAAGCAGCAGCAGCAGCAGCAGCAGCAGCGCCAGAAGCAGCAGCAGCAGCAGCAGCAGCAGCAGCAGGAAAATAGTATGATGGGTACGTATGTGTGTGCTGCTGCAGGTACCTGGCCTTAACATATGATCACCGCTTAATTGATGGTAGGGAGGCGGTGCTGTTTTTGTGCAGTGTACGAGATTATATTCAAGACCCCAGGAGAATGCTGCTGGGTCTCTAAACCCTAAACCCTAAACCCTAAACCCTAAATATGAACAGCAGCTACGCAGAAAGATGCAGCAATTTGAGCGCAACCCAACCATAAACATAAACTTTAATCTAACTCTAATCAAAATATAATAATATAAAATAGTATAATATATAATATAATATAATATAATATAATATATTAAATATAAGAAAGAATGCTGATGGGCCTCAATAGAAATAAACACGGAGGCAATAACACCAACAGCAGCAGCAACAACAGCAAAATAAAATAGAATAAAATAAAATAAATTAAATTAAATTAAACAGCAAGGGGCCCTCATTCACAAACAAACCCCTGAAAACGGGAGGGGCCCCTCGAGGGAGGGGCCCCCCAAGGCCTTTGATTACCTAAGGCGTTTGTTTACCTTTAAGTAGGGGCCCCTAAAGGCCTTTTCTTACATAGGGGGCCCCCCTCATGCAGGGGCCCCCTAAGGACCTGCTGTTGCAGGGGGGGCCCCCATTAGGGGGTCCCTAAGGCCATTTATCTTACATAAGGCCTCTAAGGAGGGGGCCCCGTAAGGGCCTTCTATTGAGAAGGGGGGCCCCCTATAGGCTGAGGCCCCCTGAGGCCATTTGTCTTACATAAGGCCTTTATGATGGGGGCCCCCTAAGGGCCTCCTATTATGTTGGGGTCACCCCTTCAGGCAGGGGCCCCCTAATGGCCTTATATTAAATAGGGGGCCCCCCTTTAAGAGGGGGCCCCTTAGAAGCCTTCTATTACATGAGGGGCCCCCCTTTAATAGGGGGCCCCCTAAGAGCCTTCTATTATATAAGGGGCCCTCCTTAAAGGGGGGGCCCCTTAGAAGCCTTCTACTAAGAAAACTAAAGAGGACTGTCGAGGGCCTTTAATAACAAGGGGGCCCCTTCACCGGCTCTTATTATTAGGGGCCCCCTAATCCCTTTGTGGGGCCCTCTGGTGGGGGCCCTAAGAAGTGGTATTTGCTTCGCCTGTGCGACGTTGGGGGCCCCCCTTAACTAGGGGCCCTTTCTATTGTGAGGCCCCGGAGGAAGAGGGGGGCCCCCCTTAGCCCTTAATACCCTCTAAACCCTATTAAACCCTGAAGATGTAAGAACCTTTTGGGGGCCCTCTCGTAAAGGATATATGAGCTGCACCCTGCACAGTAAACCCTAAACCCTAAACCCTCGCCGTTGGGTATCTTGAAGAGTTGAGGGGTACGACAGAGAGACGCAGGCTTTAAATAGAAATGCTCAGCAGTATATATAAACCCTAGACAAACCCGTAAAACTAAGTAAACGGCTAAACGCTAAACCCTAAATAAACCCCTCAAAATAAATAACCCACAAACCCTAAATAAACCCTAAACCCTAAATAAACCCTAAACCCTAAATAAACCCTAAACCTTCTTGTGAAGATATGTATATCTTACCTTACAGAAGGCCTCTTTAAGAAGAACAACTGCAGCAGAACGGCAGCTATAGAATGGTGCCGCCGCTGCTGCTGCTGCTGCCAGCACATTTGCTGCTGACATGATAATGAGGCGGACAGACAAAGTAAGAGAAGAAAGAACGAAGAGGCCCCAGGGCTGCATATCTTTCTTGTGTTTGTTTGTTGCATTAGAGGGCAGTGCACAGCTCAGGTGGTGTATTTAAAAGGGTGGAAGCAGCAATATCTCTTTCTTGATGCTGCAGCTGCAGCAGAGACACTGGAGGATTTCTTTTAATTGTTTATTACGGTTGTTTGTTTAGAGGGTTAGAGCGAAGCGAAGTGCAGAGAAGAATATTAAAAGGGGGGAGACCCACAGCAACGCCAATAAAACATGAGGAAATAAAGATGAATATAAAGATAGAGATAATAAGAAGAGATAAAAACAAAGAAAGTCATTTTTTAATGTCTTTCTATGAACTCTTGCTGCTACTACCTTCACACGCGGAAGGAGAGTAAGGTGTGGGGTGTATGTGCAGCTGTTTCTATCTCATCATTCTGCAGAAATAAATTAATTTAAATGCTATTATAATTATTTACTCAATTTTTAAACAAAAAAATAGATAGATCGCTCAAGGCTTGTAGTTGCGCTGCGGTGTATAGGCACCTCTGGTGACCCCACAGCTGCAAGCCTGTTTGGGGGGAGGTGGGGCAATTCTTTGAGAAAGAAGATGTATATTGTTGAAATAAATTAAAATAAGTATTTAATATAATAAATTATATTTAATTCAGCAAAAATAAAGAGAAAAAAGGTGCGTTTCATAGGTCTACTCGTACTGCCGCTGCTGCCGACCCTTCTACTGCTGCTGCTGCTGCTGCTACTGCTGCTGCTGCTGCTGCTACTGCTGCTGCCTGATCAGCAGCAGCAGCACCGCACCAGCGGTCACCACCTGCTGCGCATCTTTCATTCATTGTTTAGCTATTTCAAAGCAGCACATTTTTATAACATCTGATTTGTTGTATTTGTTTTACCTCCCTTTGTTGTTTGTCGGCCTATCTTCTTCTTTTTTCGTTTGTTGCTTCTGTTGTTCGCTCATAAACTGCAGCAGCAGCAGCAGCAGCAGCAGAAGCAACAACAGCAGGAGTTGGGGTTTGTTGTCCGTTGATTGACTTCTTTTTATTTATTAATTTTTTTCTGCATCGGGGGTATATTTATATCTTCAATTTGTCTATTTTGTTATTATTTACACCTCATATTTATTTATATTATTTATATTTATCCTCACATCCTTCCTTCACTTCATTTACATCCGTTGCCTAATACCGTAGGCGGCGCATCAGCAGCGAAGATGTCTTCTTCAGGCGCAGCAGCAGCAGCAGCTGCAGCAGCAACAGCAGCAACAACAGCAACAGCAGCAGCAGCAGCAGGATATGGCTTATCATCAAAGTCGCGCACTACAACTACCTCAGGTATATCAAAAGGAGGTGTATTAGTAGGGTTTTCTTCTCGGAGTTTGCTGCTGCTGTCTTTATTTGCTTTATTTTGCTCTTCTTCTTTATCTCGAGTTGCTGCTAGAGGCGATGAAGATGTTATGGATGCAGCAGAGGAGTGCCACGCTGGGTGGACCCTCACTAATGGGCAGTGCATCAAAGAAAAAGAAAGAAAAAGCATCAGCCCTTGTCCTCCTAAAGCAGCTATTGATGTAAGGCGTAGGCTTTAAAGCTTAGGGTTTTGGGTTTAGGGTTTAGGGTTTAGGGTTTAGGGTTTAGGGTTTAGGGTTTTGGGTCTAGGGTTTTGGGTTTTGGGATAGAGGGTTGAGACTGCACGTTGAGGGCTTAGACTTTAGGGTTTAGGGTTTAGGGCGTAGGGTTTAGGGTTTTTGCCTGTGGGGTTCGGGGTTTAGGGTTTAGGGTTTAGGGTTTTGAGCTGTACGGCTGCAGGTTGAGGGTTTAAGGTTTACGGTTTAGGGTTTGTCTCCTTGCTTGTTTTTTGTCGTTTGCCTCTGAAAGCCAGCTGTTGCAGTTGAAGCCCCGAGTTTATGAGGGTTTAGCGTTTAGGGGTGTAGGGTTTAGGTTTAGGGTTTAGGGTTTAGGTGTTATTGCGAGGGTCTACAGTTTAGGGTTTTATTTTGAGGGTTTATCAGTAGGCTCTGGGGTTTTATGCAAGGGTTTATGGTCTAGGGTTTACTGCAAGAATTTATGATGAGGGTTTAGTGTTTCTGACGAGGGTGTATGATGAGGGTTTAGGGTTTAGGGTTTAGGGTTTGCGATGAGGGTTTACTGCGAGGGTTTCAATTGAGGGGTTGTGAGGGTTTATGCCGTGGGCTTAAGAAGAGGGTTTACGGAGATTGTTTATGTTGGTGCTTTACGATGAGGGCTATAGGGTTTAGGGTTTAGGGTTTAGGGTTTAGGGTTTAGGGTTTAGGGTTTATACTCTTAGGGTCCAAGGCTAGTAATGTGAGCAGGGGAAAGTGTGTTATGATGGTTGTGGAAGATGATGGCGTGCAGCGGCGGTTTAGGCCATTAGGGTTTAGGGTTTAGGGTTTAGGATTTATTGTGTAGGGTTTAGGGTTTGAGGTGTATGTGCAGGGTGGTGAGTGTGTATTGGAGCGTTCGATAAAGGGTGCAAATGCCTAGAGTGTAGACGTTAGGCCCCATTAGGGTTTAGGGTTTAGGCCATTAGGGTTTAGGGTTTAGTGTATAGGCCACTAAGGTTTAGGGTTTAGTTCATTAGGGTTTAGGGTTTAGGGTTTGTTCCATTAAGGTTTAGGGTTTAGGTCATTAGGGTTTAGGGTTTAGTCCATTAGGGTTTAGGATTTAGGCGATTAGGGTTTGTTGCATTAGGGTTTAGGGTTTAGGGTTTAGGGTTTGGGGTGTATGTGCAGGGTGGTGAGTGTGTGGTGGAGCGTTCGATAAAGGCAGATTTGAGTTGTGGGCCTGGTCAGGAGTTAATAGGAGACAAGTGCGAGTATGAAGAGAAAACAGTAGCCCTGTCTTCATGTCCGAAAGGATATATATATAACGGTGTAGGCTGCAGTAAGACTCAAGAAATAGCAGGTGCTGTATCATGCCCTTCAGGCTTTAAGCTGTCTGGCGATGCATGCATAAGAGAAACAAAACAAAAAGCAGCAGCTGTATGTCCACCTAATTCAGAGTTTGCTGGGAATGATAAATGTATTATGATGGAGACAATACCTTTATCTAGATCGTGCCCTCTAGGGTTTACTCTTCAAGACGGAGAGTGTGTAAAGCAAGAAATAATAAGAGCAGAGATGCAATGCCCTATAGGTAGTAGATTAGAAGAAGGTGTATGCATACAAACAAATAAAGTTGCTGCGCATGCTGTATGTCCTCCTAATTATGAGTTCAACGGTAAAGAATGTTTAAATATACATTTATCTTCACCTTCATTATCTTGCTCTTCTGGATATCATCTGTCTCAAAATAAATGTATTAAAGTGCATGAGAAAGAAGCTATACTTCTATGCCCTGCTAAGTCTGAGTTAATAGAAGGACAGTGTGTAGAGAGAGAGACAGTTAAACCTCGTAGTGAGTGTCCTGAAGGGTCTCTCTCTTCAAATCTTATCGGTAAGAGTTTATGTGAGGTAATAACAACAACCCCACCGTCTTTACGCTGCCCACCGGACTCTATACTTGAAGGAGACAGATGCACAAGACGTACATCAGGGCATGTAGGTATATCATGTCCGTTAGGATATAAAGTAACAGGAGATGGTTGCTGCAGAGAGCAGCACGTACAGCCTTCTTTACTTTGTACAGAAGGAGCTATACTTAAAGATAATCATTGCGTTATTCTTGAGTCTTCACCAGCAAAACCTTCCTGTCCTGAAGGTGAGCCTACACCTCAGGGTACTTGTGTTAAAATGTATGAAGCCCCTTTAATAATGAACTGCCCTTTAGGATATAAGTTAAACGGCAATACCTGTTCAAGACGTAGTCAAACGCATGCAGCATGTGTATGCCCTCTAAATACAAGAATGAGAGGGGCGGAGTGTATCGTCACTGAGAGAATTCCTGCTAATACTTTATGTGAAGAAGATTATCAACAAGACGGTAAAGGCGGATGCATTAAGTTAGAAGTTAAACCGCCTAAAAGAAGCTGCCCTAAGACACACAAACTCTTCAACACATATTGCATTCGTAAAGCACCAGGAAGCTTCTTCCGCTCTCAGCCTTTATAAACTAACTCATCATCCCCCCTACCCTCCTCTTCATCTTTACCCTCCTGCTCCTCTTGCTGCTGCTCCTGGTGCTGCTGATGCTGCTGATGCTGCTAGTGCTGCTGGTGCAGCAGCAGGAAGCGCAGCTTCGCTGCAGCGCACGGAAGTGCAATAGCAGCAGCAGCAGCAGCAGCAGCAGCAGCAGCAATTCCTCACTTATGATATAGGCAATGCTTTAGCCGCCGCTGGTTTCCAGCTTCGGTATTTGCTGCAGCAGCACCTATTAAATGCTGCTGCTGCTGATGCTGCTGCACCGGCGGGAAGATATATCTCTCCTCTTCATGCAGTTGTGTGTAGCTGTTCTCTTTTATAGCTGAGCCTGGCTGTCAGCGCGCTGCAGCAGCGACGCAAGTCTGCTGCTGCGGCTGCTGCTGCTGCTGCTCCCGCTGTTGTTGCTGCTGTTGCTGCTGCTGCTGCAGCAGCAACAAACAGCAAAACAGCAACAGGTCTCCTTTGTCATGATTATCTTTTTGTTTTGCCTCTCCTGTTGAGGCTAAGAACTCCCAACTCCAAGCACCGATACACCTGAGCTGTACAGACACCTCATTCTTCACTCTTGCTGCTGCTGCTGCTGCTGCTGCTGCTGCTCTTGTTGCGTTTGTTGATGTGTCTGCATGCGTCTGTCTCTCTGTTTGTTTGTTTGTGCGGCACCTCTATATTATTTTTATATTATTGTTCATCGTCCTTTTTATATATTTTTAATTATTATTTTTGTCTCCTGCTGCAGTTCGTCTCCTATTATTTTTTCTTTCGTTTGCTGCTGCCCGACCCTAGGGTCTTAGGGTTAAGAGCCTGAGGGTTTAGGGTTTGAGGGTTTAGGGTTTGAGGGTTTAGGGTTTAGAGAGACACACAGATAACGCTAGTGAAGAAACAAACAATACGGGCAATACACACAAGCACAACCATTAACCTAACAAGCAGCAGCAGCAGCAGTTGCTGCTGCTGCTGCTGCTGCTTGTAGCTGTCGCAGCAAAAGCTGCAGAGGAACCACCGCATAGGGTTGCTGCTGCTGCTGCTCGTGCTGCAGTTGCTGCTGCTGCTCGTGCTGCAGTTGCTACTGCTGCTGCTGCTGCAGTTGCTGCTGCGGCTACAGTGTTCAGCTCATGCTAAGGCACACCCTAGCGAATAACTCAGCCGTTCTACAGCTGCAGTTGCTGCTGCTGCTGCTGGTCTATCTGCTGCTGCTGCTGCTGCTGCTGCTGGTCCAGCTGCTGCTGCTGCTGCTGCTGCTGTCTCTGCTACAAGTAATATTCCCCTTATCTCTGTTGTTTCTAAAACTACTGTTTGCTGCATCCCGTACTGCTTTCTCGTACTGATGGCAGCAGCAGCAGCAGCAGCGACTGCTGCTGCTGCCTGCAGTGTCTACGCCTTTGTTGGGTTAGAATGAGGCTAACTGCAGCACGAGAGCATTTCTATGGTGTGTGTACTGCACCATGGCTTTGCAGCAGCAGCAGCTACTGCTGCTGCTGCACGTTGCTGCTGCTGCATGCTGCTGCTGCTGCTGCTGCAGCTGCTGCAGTATGTTTGGTTGCTGCGACTGGCGGCGGTCTGGGGGCGAGGCAGCAGCGCATGCTGCTATTAATAGAGTTAATAATAAAAAATAAAATATGTTTAATTAATTAATACATCATGAAATAATACTTCTATATTGCATCGCGTCCCTCCGCGCAGGGCAGCAACAAGCTGCTGCTGCTGCTGCTGCTGCTGTTGCCGAGCGCCTCTTCTACTGCTACTACTGCTACTGCTGCTGCTGCTGCAGTTTAGTTCAGTGTTCTGTGTATGGATCTACCGCACTCTGCTGGAGGGATAGGGGAGCGGGGTGTATGTACAGCCTCGGCGTTGCAGCTGCTGCAGCAGCGACGCCAGCAGCAGCAGCAGCAGCAGACGAGCCTGGCTATTGGGGCTTGTGTCTTCACAACGCCTATAGCAGAGGAGTCTACAAACGGCTCGTAACCTCGCAAGTAGCAGCTGCTACCGCAGCAGCAGCAGCAGCAGCAACAGCAGCAGCAGCAGCAGCAGCAGCAACCGCAGCATCTTCCTAGTGCGTCAATAGGAAATGGATGAGCTGCAGCTGGGGAGAGCGGCTGGTGCTCAGCAGCAAGAGCCTCCCAATGGAGAGCAGCAGCAGCAGCAGCAGCAGCAGGTGCTGCAGCAGCAGCATCTACTGGTGGCTGCTGACTTAGAGAGAGGCAGTCAATCTGATGGGCAGGTGCCTCTCTTAGGACATCGTCAGCAGCAGCAGCAGTCTCTGCAGCACCATCGGCAGCGCCACCTACATCGGCACAGCCGCACAGCAGCAGCAGCAGCAGCGGCAGCAGCAGACAGCTACTGGCTGCAGCTGAGGATATTCAGCTCCCTCACTCTGCATGCAGTTAATATCTGCGTGCATTCGCTTAATGCTGTGCTGCTCTTCAAGACGTAGGCCTTCTGCTGCTGCTCTCCTGCTGCTGCTGCTGTTCTCATTTCTTCTGCTGCTGCTGGTATTCTCGCCGCTGCAGCAGCAGCAGCAGCAGCAGCAAGTGCTGCTGCTTCTCCTGATGTTGGTAGTGCCTATTTTAGCTGTCTCTTCGTTTGCTTTTTCTGTCCCCTGTAGCGTTCTTTGCTTGCATATATATATTTGTATATACATATATATATAATTAATATATATATATATATACATGTATATGTACATATATATATTAATTATATATATACAAATATATATATATATATATATATTTATGTTTGTATTTTATTATTATTATTATTATTATTATTTATTTTCTTTGTCTGATAAACAAATGAAAAGACACCGCATCCCTCTGGTCTTGGCTGTCTCCTTTATCAATTTGAATAAGAATATCTTTAATAAATAAATAAATTAATTAATTAATTAATTAATTAATTAATTAATATTTATTTATTTATTTATTTGTTTGTTTTGCATGCAGGGGTGCGGTGGGCAGCTCGTTGCTGGTGCTGGCGCTGCAGACTGTCTCCTCGCTGCACTTGTCTATTACTTATGCTGCGGAGAGACAGCCCCTTAAAGCAGCAGCAGCACTGCTAGGGCTCAGCCTCTTCCTTGAGGTCAAATACTCTTCATGCTGCTGCTGCTGAGGCTGCTGCTGCTGCTGCTGGGGCTGCTGCTGCTGCTGCTGGGGCTGCTGCTGCTGCTGCTGGGGCTGCTGCTTCTGTTGCTGAGGGTTCTGCTGTGGCTGCTGGGGGTTCTGCTGCTGCTGCTGGGGCTGCTGCTGCTGCTGCTGGGGGTTCTGCTGCTGAGGCCGCTGCTGGGAGTGCTGCTGCTGCTGCTGGTGGTTCTGCTGCTGCTGCTGGAGCTGTTGCTGCTGCGGCTGTTGTTGCGCTGTTACTGTTGGAGGTGCTGCTGCTGTTTCCACTGTCTGTGCAGCAGTTGCTGCTGTTGCTGTTGCTGCTGCTGCTGCTGCTGCTGCTGCTGCATGTAATGCTCTTCCCTTCTACGAGAAGAAGCAGCTGCTCTCTCCCGTCATTGTTGTAGCTGTTTGTGTTGCTGCATGCATGACTGCTGCAGACAAAAGCATTTGCTGCTGGCAGCAGCAGCAGCAGCAGCAGCGCCAGTAGGCTGGAGGAGATAGAGTTTGTGTCTCTCCCTCTCACGCATCTGCCTCTGCTGCACGTCTACACCAATATGCTGCTTTTCGGGAACGGCACCCACTTCATACACGGTCCACTGCTGCTGTTGCTGCTGCTGCTGCTGCTGTTGGTGCTGCTGTTGTTGCTGCTGGTGGTGGTGGTGGTGGTGCTGCTGCTGCTGCTGTTGGTGCTGCTGTTGTTGCTGCTGCTCTTGCTGCTGCTGCTGTTGTTGTTGTTGTTCCTGCTGCTGTTATTACTGTTGTTGCTGCTGCTGTTGCTCGTATTGCTGCTGTGCTGCTGCTTCTGCTGCAGCAGTTGCTTCTTACTGCGTTGTTGCTGTTGTGCTCTGCTTATGCATACTGTGGTGCCGTGCATGCATTCAGTTGCTGTTGCTGCTGTCGTTGCCGCATTTGTCTGCTGCTGCTGCTATAATAATAATCATCATCTGCTGCTGCTGCGATCATGTGCTGCTGCTGCTGCTGCTGCTGCTGCTGCTGCTGCTTCAGAAGAAGGGGGTACGGACTTGCGCACAGCAGCAGATGCATTTTCTCTGTTAAACGACAGCAGCAGCCGCAGCGGGAGCTGGCGTGTTGCTGCGGTGCAGCGGCTGCTGCTGCTGAGCTGCGCCTGCTGCTTCTGCTGCTGCTGCTTCACCGTTGCTGTTCTTGTGTCTAAGAATCTTATCATCAAAGGATTGCAAGCAGCAAATGGTTTCTCCGCCTTAGCCTCAAGACGCCCCAAAGCTGCTGCATTCTGCGGTAAGCCAGCAGCAGCAGCAGCAGCAACAGCGAGAATAGAGACAACAGCACCACAGAGAAAGTCAGTAGCAGCAACAAGATTAACAATAGCAGCAAGAGTAACAGAAACAGCAGCAGCAGCAGGAGGCATCCACCAGTTCATCTGCTGTTTATGGGGTCTGCATAATCTGCAGCTGCTGCTGCTGCTGCTGTTACTGCTGTTTCTGCTCCTGGTGCTACTGTATCTGCTGCTGCTGCTGTATCTGCTCCTGCTGCTACTGTATCTGCTTCTTCTGCTGTTTCTGCTGCATCTGCTGTATCTGCTGCATTTGCTGCATCTGCTGTATCTGCTGCTGCTGCTGCTGCTGCTGCTGCTGCTGCATAGGGTTGGTGCTGCTGTTTCACTGTCTGGACATCAGTTTGCGCATGCTGTCTCTGGGCCTCATCAGCGACAGCCTATTCTCTCCTTATAACTTTCTTACTGTCTTCTTCTTACAAGTAAATCTTTTATTATTATTATATTATTATATTATTATAATTATATTATTATTTTTATTTTTATTATGTATTGTTATTGTGGTTGTTATTATTGTTATTATTGTTGTCTGTGTTTGTTTGTTTGTTTTGTTTATTTAGTAGTTTGTCATTTATTTATTTATTTATTTATTTATTTATTTATTTATTTATTTATTTGTTTGTTTGTTTATTTGCTTACTTATATACATTTATTAGTATATAAATAAAATTATATATAAATAAATAAATAATATATATATATATATATATATTTGTGTGTATATATACTGCATTTAAGAATTATTTTTTCGTTTGTTTATGTCAATTAATTTATTTATTTATAGTGGTTGCATTTGTCTCCTTTCTCTTCAATCAGTAGCTGCAACTGCAGCAGCTGCTGCTGCTGCAGCTGCTGCTGTTGCTGTACTACTGCCCCTACTACTAGTTCTACTGCTACCCAATGCTGCTGCTGCTCACTGTTGCTGCTGCTGCTGCTGTTGCTGTTGCTGCTGCTGCTGCTGTGGGGTGTACAGACGTTTTACGTGGTGATATTCCTCAGCGCTTCTTCGAACTTTCTTCCTGCCTTTTTGAAGGGCCTCTTTGCTGCTGCGGTGTCTCCGCTGCCCGCGTTATTAGCAGCAGATGAAACCATGTAAGCAGCAGCAGCAGCAATAGCAGCAGCAATAGCAGCAGCAGCAGCAATAGGAGCAGCAATAGCACCAGCAAAGACAAAGGCACCAGCGGCAGCAATAGCATCAATAGCAGCAACTGCAGCAACAGCAATAACAGAAGCAGCAGCAATAGCAGAAGCAGGAGAAGCAACAGCAATAGCAGCAGCAGCAGCAGCAGCAGCAGCGGAGGTGCAGCAGATGTAGCAGCACCAGGGGCAGTAGGGACAGCAGCAGCAGCAGCAGAAGCAGCGGGTTATGTGTCTCTGTCTCTCTCTTTGTTTTTATTTTTATTTTCATCGCCTTCTCTCTGCTCTCTCTGTTTTATTTATGTTTGTCTGTCTCTGCTTATTTATTTTTTGTCTCCTGTCTCTGTCTCCTCTCTCTTTTTTCTGTCTTTCTTCTCTTTAGTTAAATATAATATATTATAATTAAATTAATATAATTTAATTCATTTAATGCATTAAATTAAATTATTATTATTATTATTTATTATTATTATTATTATTATTATTATTATTATTATTATTATTATTATTATTTATTATTATTTATTATTATTATTATTATTATTATTATTATTATTATTATTATTATTTGTTTGCTGCAGGCTACGCCGAAGGCGGGTGTGTTTGCTGCTGCTGTGTCTCCGCCTGTTTGAATTTTGTTTTATTTTGTCTCTCGCGGCTGTCTCCTTCACTCCCAAGGACTCACCCAGCCTCACCATCGCCACGTACGTCTCAGCACCTAGCTAGCTAGCTAGCTAGCTAGCTAATTAGATCTCTAGCTAGCTGACTAGTTAGATGGCTAGCCAGCTAGCTAGTTAGATGGCTAGCTAGCTAGCTAGTTAGATAAATAGATAAATAGGCAGATAGATGGATAGATAGCTACCTAGATAGCTAGATAGATAGACAGCGAGCTAGCTAGCTGCGTGGCTAGCTAGTTAGCTAGCTCAGCTAGCTAGCTGCCTGCTCACAGTGACGGAGAACCAACAGCCCTAAGCTAGCTAAAGAGAGAGCGACATTGAGAGATCTAGATAGCTACCTAGATAGCTAGCTAGATAGCTAGCTAGCTAGCTAGCTACGTTTGTGTGGTAGGTTTTAAGAGGGGGCTGCGGGTGTTTGTGTGGCGGTGTCTCTGCTGCTGTTCTGCTGCTGTCTCTGTTTATTTTTGTCTCTTGTCTCTCTTCTCGTTGTTTGTTTTGCTGCCTTTGTCTGCAAGAGGGCCGCAGCAGCTGTTGCTTTGGGTTTGCTGCTGCTGTGCTGCTGCAGCAACGTGGGCCTCGTCTTGCTGCTGCTCAGCATGCTGGTGCTGCTGCTGCTGCTGCACCTGCAGCGGCACTACGTGGAGCTTGTTGCTGCCTGGCAGCAGCAGCACCACCGCAGCCGCCGCGCTCACATCGGATTGCGGCTGCTGCAGCTGCAGCGCTCAAGGACCAGCAGCAGCAGCAGCAGCACTACCACCACCACCCCCCAACCACCAGTAGTAGCAGCAGCAGCAGATCGCAACACCGCTGCTGCTGCTGCTGGTCCTCCGTAGGTGGCAGCAGAAGATGTCTGTACACCCGAATCCACAGCGTGGCGTCGCCGCAGCGATGGCAGTGCGAGCGACAGCAGCAGCAGCAGCTGCAGCAGCAGCAGCAGCAGTTGTTGCTGCTGCTGCTGCTGCTGTCGCTAAGAGATTCGTTGAATTTGCGTAGGGCCTGCCTTTGTGGCGGCTCTCTCGTGAACTTCCAGTTACTGAATGCCGCCACGGCCAGCTAGCTGCAACACAGGAGCCTAGCTAGCTAGCTAGCTGGCTAGCTAGCTAGCTAGCTAGGCAACTAGAGAACTAGCTAGCCAGCTAGCGTACTTACTAGATAGCTAGAGAACGAGTTAGTTAGCTGGTGGGAGCGTAGTTAGCTAGATCCAGCTAGCTGCAATGCAGCTGCGTATTGAGCTAGCTAGCTCGCTGCAGCTGGCTAGCTAGATGGAGCTAGCTAGGTAGCTAGCTAACTGCGGCAATCTGTACAACGTAAACCCTAAACCGTAAGCTGCTGCGCAGGTGGTCGTAAGAGGGTTCCTATGCTGCAGGCCGTATGCAAAGCTAGCTAGCTAGCTAACTAGCTATCTAACTATCCAACTGGCTAGCTATCTGGCGGGATATCGATCCAACTAGCTAGCTCGCTAGCTAGCTAGCTAGCTAGTTGGGTCGAGGGCTACCCCTACAGGGTAAGCTAGCTACTAGCTAGCTAGCTAGCTAGCTAGCTAGCTGAGAATCAGCAGCTAGCCAAACAGAAACTTGCTCTGCTGAGTTTCGGTGGACGCAGTGCACTCACACAAAAGATTGTCTGCTGCTGCTCCTTCCGTCCTTCCTGCTGCTGCTGCAACTGCTGCAGCAGCAGCAGCTAGCGCCGTTTTCGTTTGGGTGGCGGGAGCCGCCTATGCCACTGCTGCGTCCCCGGGGTCCAGGTGAGTGTGGGGCCCCACTGTTGCTGCTGCTGCTGCTGCTGCTGCTGCTGCAGCTGCTGCAGCGGAATGTTGCAGTGCTCTGGCCCGTCTGCCGCTGCGTCAAATGACTCAGCAGCAGGAGGAGCCCCCCAGGCATGTCCAGCAGCAGCAGCACCAGCTGCTGCTGCTGTTGCTGCTGCTGCTGCTGAGCGCGTGCTGCCTCTTGGCCTCCACACAAACTGGGAGACAGCCTCAGCAGCAGCAAGCCGCCGCCTAGCAGCAGCAGCAGCGCAGCAAGACAAAATAAGACGAGAGGTATCCTTATCGAGTCGTGACAATATGCTTGTGCCACTACTACTGCTACTGCTGCTGCTGCTGCTACTGCTGCTGCTACTGCTGCTGCTGCTGCTGCTGCTGCTGCTGCTGTGATTGCGGCCCCTAAATCTGAAGCGGTGGTTTGCTTCCCCTTCGTTGTCACTGCCACTGTCACTGTCACTGTCACTGTCACTGCTGCTGCTGCTGCTGCTGCTGCTGCTGCTGCTGCTGCAGCGCAGCAGCAGAGGCCTTGGTCTGCTTGCGCAGGTCCTCTCAACTCGCTTGACGAAATCTGTCCACGGGGAGAGCAGCGACTCCGCTCCCTCGGGACTGCACGCACACCGCAGCAGCACAAACAGCTAGCTAGCTAGCTAGTTAAGTGGCTAGCTAGCTAGTTAAGTAGCTAGCTAGTTGGTTATCTAGCTGGTTGGCTAGCTGGTTAGCTTGCTAGCTAGCTAGCTAGCTCGAACATTCAGTCCCTGGATAGCTAGCTAGCTAGGTTGGAAGTCACCAAGTCGCTGGCTAGCTACCTATCCACATAGCTAGCCAGCTAGCTAGCTATCTAGCTAGCTAGCTAGCTAGCCATCCAGCTTCTGCTTAGCTAGCTAGCTATCTCACCTGTATATAAAAAAACCCCGGTGGCGCCTTACGCCATCCACCCAACCACGCAAGATGCTGCGGCGGCCTCGCTGCTGCTGCTGCTGCTGCTGCTGCTGCTGCTGCTCCTGCGTTTCCTGTTGCATCCCTGCTGCTGTTGCTGCGCTGCTGGTACCCATATCCATACCCATAGTACTACTGCTGTTTGTACAGCCGTTAGTCGTTGCTGCTGCAGCAGAAGCATCTGCTGCAGCAGCACCGGTGTCAGCCCGCTGCGTATCCTGCTGCCCCGTTGCTCCTGAGTTGCTGGTTGCAGCAGGAGCAGCAGCAGCAGCAGCATTTGACGGTACTGCTGCTGCTGCTGGTGGTGGTGCTGCTGCTGCACCTCTGCAGCAGAACGGCGGCGCCAGTCCCCATGCCTCGTGGGCTTCTTTCAGTTGCTGCTGATGCTGCAGCACAAGTGCTTGCCTGCTGCAGCAGATTTGTCGCAGCAAAGCAAGGAAGTAGACAGCAGCAAGCCTAGGCGGCAGCAGCAGCTCCTCACTCAGCTGCTGCACCTGCGCATACACCGCAGCATCGCTCGCATCAAGACACCACAGCAGCCGATCCAAAAGCTGGCGTCCGCTGCTGCAGTCTGTTGCTGTTATTTCCAGCACGCAGTGCAGCTGCTGCTGCAGCGAGCTAGCGAGAGATACCAGCCTCTGCTGCTGCTGCTGCTGCTGCTCCTGCCCCTGCTGCTGTTCCTCCTGCCAAGGGACCTTCTTTCCGTCCCCAGCAGCAGCAGCAGAAGCAGAAGCAGAAGCAGCAGCAACTGCAGCGTCATGTGTGCTGCTCAAGCCATCTGTGGAGCTCTTGCTATTGCTACTGCTGCTGCTGCTGCTGTTGCTGCTGTTGCTGTTTGCTGTGCTGTCGGCCGCTGTTGCTGCTGCCAAGGGAGGCCGTTGCTGATGCTCTTGCTGCAAGGCGAGCCGCTGCTGCTGCTGCTGCTGCTGCTGCTGCTGCTGCTGCTTCCTCGCTTGCTGCATCAGCTGCAGCAGCAAAGTGAAATCCGCCTCCCGCTGCTGCGCGGTCGCAAGCTGCTGCAGCAAACTTTTCTGCAGCAGCTCCAGCACATTGAGGGTGTGCTGCCCGTCCATATCTGCTGCTGCAGCAGCAGCAGCAGAACTGTTGCTGCTGCTGCTGCTGCTGCTGCAGGGGTTCGAACGCGCTGCGGTGCGGGGGCCGTGCAGTGGCTGCTGCTGCTGCCGCTGCTGCTGCTGCTGCTGCTGCTGCAACCCAGACAGCTGCACGACGTGAGGTATATCATGCTCAGCTAGCCAGCTAGCTGCCAGGCCTTTTAAAGCGACGCCTGAGTCGCAGATATCCCAAACCACATCTTCCGCTGGAGGAAGCAAGCTGCTGCTGCTGCTGCTGCTGCTGCTTCTGCTGCTGCTTGTTCCAGCGGCTCCTCCTTCTCCCTCCGAAGGGACGCCAGCAGCAGCAGTAGCAGCAGAAACTGCAGGTGCTGTTGCTGCTGCTGCTGCTGCTTCGCCGCCCTTTCCAGCCCCTTGAGAGGCCTCGCTTCGGTGCCCAGTCTTTGCAGAGCACCCCCCTTCAGCAGCAGCAGCAGCAGCAGCAGCTAGGTGTCGTTCTAGGGCATCTGCTGCTGCGCTGCCGCAAGAAGCAGCAAGGTCCAGAGACAAGACACACAAACGTCGGTGCTGCGGCAGCAAGTGCATTGAAGGCGGCAGCAGCACGGGGTCTTCTAGAGCTGTTCTCCATTCTGCTGCTGCTGCTTCATGCTGTTGCGGTTGCTGCTGCTGCTGCTGCTGCAGTCGCTGCCGTTGCTGCCGTTTACTCCACCGCAGCAGCCGCCGCTGCTGCTGCTGCTGTGAGCGCTGCGACAGCAGCCTGAAGTTGGGTGCTGGATTAGGTCTCTGCTGCCGCAGCTGCAGCAGCAGCGGCAGCTGCTGCTGCTGCCCCTTAGCCCAGCCAGCAGCAGCAGGGCCTTCTTGAGGTGGTAGAGGAATCACAGAAGGCTCGGGGAGAGATATACCGTCATCTGCTGCTGTTGCTTCTGCTGCTGCTGCTGCTGCTGCTGCTGCACCAAACTGAGACGGCGCTAGGCCGCCCGCGAAGCCCCAAGGCAGCCCTGTTGCTGCATCTGCTGCTGCTGCTCCTGCTGTTGGCTGCTGCTGTGCAGAGGCCGTTTGCTTCACAGCTTGTTCCTCTGGGAGGATCTGCTGCAGCAGCTGTTCTTGCTGCTGCAGCAGCAGCGACAACTGGTGCTGCTTCTCAGCAGCAGGAAAGGTGTAGCGGAGCAGCTGCAGCAGCGCAGGCACCCCTGGTAAGTCCTCTGGAGCAGCAAACAGCTGCGCCACCTGCGGCAAAGTCGGAGAGGCAGCAGCAGCAGCAGCAGCAGCAGCAGTACCAGTTGTAGTACTAGGAGCTGCTAGCCCTGTCTGCTGCCACGCTTTGTCGTTGGCTGTACCTCCGAGCTTCGGATGGGTTGCCTGCTGCTGCTGCTGCTGCTGCTGCTGCTGCTGTTGCTGTTGCTGCTGCAGCGAAGGAGAAACGCCAGGAGGCCCTGTGCTGCTCGTGCCAGTAGGGCAACCTCCTTGCGGTGTGCTGCTGCTGCTGCTGCCGCTGCTGCTGCTGCTGCTGGGCAAGGATGGAATGCCGCTAAGGTCCGGGGAGAGGAGGGTCTGCGGCAGCTTGCCTGCTGCTGCTGCTGCTGCTGCTGCTGCTGCTGGGCTTGTCGCTGCACTATCAATAAATCTGCCCGCTGCTCCTGTAATTCCAGATAGAATTGTCTGCCCCAGCGAACGGATCTGCAGCAGCTGTCTCAGCTGCTGCTGCTGCTGCTGCTGCTCTTCTCGCAAGGCCTCTGCACTCCTCTGAGGCGTCATCAGCCACAGCTGCTGCGACTGCTGCTGCTGCTGCTGCAGCACAGCAGCAGCAAAATCAATTTCTTCCAGCAGCTGCTGCAGCGGCTGCGCCTTTGAATGCGGCACCACCGGCAGCTTGATGCTGCCTTGAATCGGGCCTGCTGCTGCTGCTGCTGCTGCATGCGCAGCAGCAACTGCTGCTGCACCGACTATACTCTCTAGAGCTTGTCTGGCCTCTACAGCAGCTGCTGCTGCTACGGCGTAGCTTGGAAGCCACCGCGGTTTGAATTCCCCTGCTGCTGCTGCTGGAGCTGAGCCTGCTGCTGCTGCTGCTGCTGCTGCATGATGCGCAGCAGCAACGGGAGCGAAGCCTGCAGCAGGTGAATGAGAGCCCCCGAAAGGAGGTCGTGACAAGCTTGAAGCAGCTTGCTGCTGCTGCTGCAGCAGCTGCTGCTGATCAGGCATGCCGTTGCTTCTGCTGCGTAGTGGTGCAGAGGGCTGCACTGCAGTTGGTGGCTTTGCTGCTGTTGCTGCTGCTGCTGTCAGCGGGGAAGCAGCAGCGCCTGCTGCTGAACTTCCAAGAGGGCGAGGCTGCAGCTGGCTTTGTCGCCGCTGCTGCAGCTGCTGCTGCTCCTGGTGCTGCTGCAGCTGCTGCTGCTCCTGCTGGTGGTGATGCAGTTGGTGCTGCTGCTGGAAGTGCTGCTGATGAAGCTGCAGCGGCCGCTGCTGCAGCAACGGCATTTGCTGCTGCTGCAGCTGCTGTTGCTGCTGGCCATGCTGCAGATGATGCGCGGAAGGGGCAATCTGCTGCTGCACGTAATGCTGCTGCTGCAGCTGGTGCAGCTGTTGCTGCTGCTGAAGAGGTTGCTGCTGCAGGGGATGGTGCTGCAGGTGTTGCTGCTGCAGCGGTTGCTGTTGCAGTTGCTGCTGCTGCAGGTGTTGCTGCTGCAGCTGTTGGTGCTGCAGCTGCTGCTGCAAATGCGGCTGCTGCAAGTGAGGCTGCTGCAGTTGTTGGTGTTGCAGTTGTTGCTGTTGCAGCTGTTGCTGCTGCAAGTGGGGCTGCTGCAAGTGGGGCTGTTGCAACAGCAGCTGTTGCTGCTGCTGCTGCAGGTGCTTTCCTTGCATGCTGCTGCTGCTGTTTAGGCGGAAGAAGAGGCTGCAGCAGCAGCGCCCCGGGGTCTGCTGCAGCAACCCCGCTGCAGCTACTGCTGCAGTTGCCGCTTCATTGGGCAGCTGGGGAAGACGCTTCCTAGGGTACGCAGCAGCAGTAGAAGCAGCAGAAGCAGCAGAAGCAGCAGCAAGAACAGCAACAACAGCAGCTAGGGCTGCTTCGTGCTGCTACAGCATGCTTGCTGTAGCACGTATGCAGCTGCAGATGTGGCAGCAGCAGCTGCAGCAGTCATTCAGTGTACATACACCTCGAAAGAAGGCCGTCACTGGTGAGGCCCCTGGCGGCGTACCCTGCTGCTGCTGTTGCAGTTGCTGCTGCCGTTCCTGCTGCTGCTGCTGCTGCTGCTCCTGCTGCTGCAGTCACTACAGTGTCTAGGAAGCTGAACGGCGTTGCTGCTGCTGCTAAGGCCAGGGAACGCCTTTTGCTTCTGCTACTGCTGCTCCTTATAACCGCTCCCTCCCATCTACTGGCGCATGCAACGCACATGAGCATTTGCTGCTGCTGCTGCTGCTGCTGCTGCTGCTGCTCCCTGTAGGAGGCCCGCAGTTGCCGCTGCTGCTGCTTGTAAGCGAGATAAGCAAAAAGGTCTAGTCAGCAAAATAAGAGAAATTTAATTATTTCTTCGGGTGTTTCAGCAGCAGCAGCAGCAGCAGCAGCAGCCCCGTCAGCAGCAAGCCCTGCAGCAGGAGGTAGCAGCAAGGACTTGTTCTGTAGGAAGAAGAGCAGCAGCAGCAGCAGCAGCAGCGGCAAGAGCAGCATCTACTGCTTCACCTTTATTAAACACATTTTATGCTACTGCTGCTTATCCTTTTTCTGTTGTTTTGTTCTCCTTTATTTTTGCTGCTGTCTTCTTGCCTAGGCTGTACGTACACCCGAACCCCCCAACCCTCCATAAGTAGTAAACGGTGTCTGTTTGTACATTACATTAAACTTTATTTTTTAATGCATTTCTTCTTCTAATTTATTTTTTTTAAATGTATCGATATCCCTGTAGAAGGACAGCACTAGCGGAGCCGCTGCCCTCTGCAGCAGACACCTGCCTAGACACCCGAGCCCATAGTTACGTGCAGGTCTAGACGCAGCTAGCTACAGCTAGCCATAGCTAGCCACAGCTAGCCACAGCTAGCCATACCTAACTACAGCTAGCTATAGCTAGCCATACCTGTTGGATGGTGCTCTGTTGTTGCTGCATTTGTTTGTATAATGTTGTGTAGCCGCTTCAGTGAGGGCCCTCGTTACGTTAGAATATTATTATTATTATTATTATTATTATTATTATTATTATTATTATTATTATTATTATTATTACTGGGAAGACCGTTGTTCTTTCTTCTCTGTCTTCCTCGATTGTATGCTGCTGCAGCAGCAGCAGCCACTGCTGCTGCTGCTGCTGTTGCAGTTATTGTTTACTGCTGCTGCAGTGTTGGCTGTTTATTAGCCGTTCTGTTGCTGCTTCCTCGTGTGTCTGTGGTGGGGTTGTTGCGTTGTGCTGTGTTGTGCTGTAGCAAGTGCTTCTCTCGTTTGTCTTTAGCTCCAGTTCTTGTTGTCTTGCTGCTGTTGCTGCTCTTCTGAGTAGAAGTGCTTACTGCTGCTGCTGCTGTTGTTGCTGCTGCTGCTGCTCCTGTGACAAGAATCAGCCAGCGTTATTTCGTCGCATTTGTTGTTTCGCCCTGCGGCGCATTCTCATATATATATATATATAATATTATATATATATTATATATTATATATTATATATACAGGCATCTAATGTAAATAGATATGTAATCGGCAAATAGACGAGCAGAAGCGGAAGAGACAGAGACAAAAAAAGAGAGACAAAAAAACAGAGACAAAAGAACAGAGACAGAAGGAGAGACAAACGCAGCCAAAGAGATATGCAGAAGCAGAGACACCGGAAAATAGAGAGATAGAGACAGAGAGACAGAGACAGAGACAAAGAGACAGAAAGAAAGAGAGAGAGACAGAGACAAAGAGACAGAGACAAAGAGACAGAGGGAGAGAGAGAGAGAGAGAGAGAGAGAGAGAGAGTGAGAGAGAGACAGAGAGAGACAGAGAGAGACAGAGACAGAGACAGAGAGAGACAGAGAGACAGAGACAGAGAGAGAGAGAGAGACAGAGAGAGACAGAGAGAGAGACAGAGACAGAGACAGAGAGAGACAGAGAGAGACAGAGACAGAGACAGAGAGACAGAGACAGAGAGGCAGAGACAGAGACAGATAAAAGAGACGAAGAAGACACCAGAGATGTACAGAGAGAGAGACAGACAAAACAACGCCTATGCCTATTTTAGACAAAAGAGAGACAGCAGCAGAGACGCAAACAGAGAAGAGAAGAAACAACCAAACAAACAAAAATAAGACAGACAAACAGCAGCAGCAGCAGCAGCAACAACAGCAGCAGTAAACAGAGGCTCTTGCTGCAGCAGATGAAGCAACGCATGCAAGTTGCAGCGAAAGTACAGCAGCAGCAGCAGCAGCAGCAGCAAACAGACACAAAGGACAGGATAAGGCTAGCAGCAGACCCCAAGACCGCATCTCCTCCTGCTGCTGCTACTTCCGTGCTCTGCTGCTGTTGTTGCACTCTAAGTTGCATCTATAAACTCGTGCAGCAGCAGCAAAGTGCTGCAGCAGCTAAGTTCTGCAGCAGCAAAGTGCTGCAGCAGCAAATTATACACATGAAGCTGTTTAAAACATTGGGCTGTACAGACACCTCGCCCGCAAAGTTATGAATAAAAATTGTTAGCCGCAGTTTGCTGCTGCTGCTTTGTTGCTGCTGCTCTGCTGCTGCCGCTGCTGGTGCTGCAGCAGCTCTGCTGCAGCAAACAGCAGCAGTTGCATGCTGCAGCAAACAGCAGCAGCTTCTTTGCTGCAGCTGAAGCAGCAACAACAACCGATGTAGCTGAGCTGCCCGGCGCACCCTCTAGTCTCTGAAGCAGCAGAAGCAGTAACAGCAGCCCTCTGCGGCGTTTGCTGCTGCTGCTGCTGCTCCAGTTGCTGCCCTGCTGCGGTTATTGCAGCCGCCGCGGCAGCAACAATGTTCGATGCTATTGCTGCTGCTGGTGCTGCTGCTTCTGCTGCAGCTGCTTCTGCTGCAGCAAAAGCTGCCCGCCATTACGTCTACGGCACTTTTGCTGCTATTGGCTATCCAGCAACAGCAGCAGCACAGCTACAGCAGCAGCAGCAAGAGCAGCAGCAGCAGAAGCAGCAGTAGCAACAGCAGCTACCCTGACTCTCCCTTGCTGCGCGTCAGCTCAGCAGACACTCGAACAAATGCACATTGCAGCAAATCCGCAAAGGAGGTCCTCATGCTGCTGCAGTCAGCTGCAACTGCATGCGCTACTGCTGCTACTCCCGCATCCTGCTGCTGCTGCTGCTGCCGCAGCAGTCGCCTCTGCTGCAGCTGCTGCACGCGCTGCAGCAACTGCAGCACCCTTCGCTTCGAGGCTTCGGGTGTATAGGCAGCTACATTAGGCGGGACTCTAAGGGGCCTCGCAGAGAAGCCCTGCGGCACCAACTCTTGCAGCAGCTCAAATGGCTGCTGCTGCTGCTGCTGCTTCCTGCTGCTGCTGCGGCGAGTCCCCCCACGGGGCGACAGCTTCGGCTCTGCAGCAAAGCGAACCCTGTGTTTTTCTTTCCCTTCTGCCGCCTCAGCCCCCTGCTGCTGCTGCTGCTGCTGCTCATCATCACCAGCAGCAGCAGCAGCAGCAGCAGGGGCCGCATCGTCGCTGCCAAAGAGCTGCTGCAGCGCATGCAGCTCTCTCTGCACGTCTACCTGACCTGCTGCAGCGTCTGCTGCAGTGTGTGCAGCTGCAGCACCACCCAAGTTGCTGTTGGAATTTGGCCGGCTGTTTGATTTTTCATCGTCTGTGCTGCTTCCGCTGCTGCTGCTGCTGCTGCTGTCGGAGTCTTCCCCGCTGCTACTTCCGCTTCCGCTTGCGCTGCCGCTGCTGCTGCTGCTGCTGCTTCCGCTGCTGCTGCTGCTACTGCTGCTGCTGCTGGTTGCATGTTTGACGGGTGGTTTTGCGTGTTTTTGTAGGTGTTTGTTTTTGCGTGTATGCTGCTGCTGCTGCTGCTGCTGCTGCTGCTGGTGCAACGGCAGCAGGTCCTCCCTGACCGATTCTAATCCCTTATGCGTCTTCTTCAAGAGCTGCTGGGGTGTAATGCTCTCAGTTAAAATAACAGCTCTCCTGAAGTGTCTATCTCTTTCTTCTTTTCTTTCTCGTCTAACATCAGCTGGCGCTAATGTATCGGCATCTGCTGCTAACAATGAAGACAGAGACATACACCCCAGCAGCACCTTTTGTCTCAATTCTTTATTATTTTCTCGTCTTAAGTTTGCAAGTAATTCGTATAAACGCTGCTGCCGCAAACGAGGGGGTGCAGCACCATAGGCATTCCAAAAGGCTGCATGCACTGCAGCAGCAAATGCTGCAGCAGAAGGATATATTACCTTCGCCCGCAGCAGCTCAACACCTCCACTCCCTTCTGTCTTCTCCTGCTCTTCCTGCTCCTGTTGCTGCTGCTGCTGCTGCTGCGCTTGCTGCTGCTGCACCTCGCCCGCCTCTTGCTGCTGCTCAGGCTGCAGCGCACCTTTGTTCGGTGCCTCTCCTGCTGCTGCTGCTCCTGCTGCTGCTGCAGTCGGAGACTGTGCTGCTGAAGAGACAGCTTCCTGTCCCATGGCACTGAGGCTGGTGCTGCTGCTGCTGCTGCTCTTGTTGCTGTTGCTGCTGGCAGGCGTGTTAGGTGAGCCGCTGCTCTCTGTTGCTGTTTCCGCCGCAGCCGCAGCAGCTGCTGCTGCAGCACGCGCAACTTGTGCTGCTGCGTCTGCCTCTTGCTGCAGCTGCAGCGTAGGCTGCAGCTCTCTCAGCCCCAAATAATATATCTCTTCTAACTTCTTAAGGCGCCGGGACGCCCCTTGCTGCCAGTCGCGCTGCCGCACAAGGGACCCCAGCAGCGCAGGCGCTGCATGCTGCTGCTGCTGCTGCTGCTGCTGCTGCTCTCGTTGCGGGTGCTTCCGCTTGCGATGGCTGCCTCCACTTGCTGCAGCAGCACGACCTGCGGCAGCAGCACGACCTGCAGCCGCACTTGGCTGCCGAGTTCCTGCTGCTGCTGCTGCTGCTGCTGCTCCCCGTGGTGCATCGTCTCCAGGGGAGAAAGGAACGCGCTTGACGGCGGCGTTGCTGTGCAGCTTGCCCGGTTCCGTCTTGCTGCTGCTGCTGCTGCTGCTGCTGCTGCGGCTGGCTGCCGCTGCAGCAGCTTTCCGCTTTGCTGCTTCTCTTTCTTTGAGTTCAAGCTCTTCTCTGTCTACATCTTGCAGCGACATATACTCCGCTCGCAGCTCCTCTATATCGAATTCAGGGTCGCTTTCGTTGTTGCTGCTGCTGCTGCTGCTGCTGCTTCGGTTGCTGCTGCTGTAGCTGTACTCGCTGCCAGTAGACACCAAGCCATCTGCGTCTCCCTGCTGCACCGTAGCTCTCCGAGCTCGCTGCTGCTGCTTCTGCTGCCGCTTAGGCTGAAGAAGGGCTCCTGCTGCTGCTGCTGCTGTTGGTGAGGCTCCATGTTGATCTGCCCCGTCTGCTGCTGCAGCTGCTCTGCTGCGTCTTCTGCTGCTCCCAGCTGGCGGTGTTCTGGCTGCTGCAGTCCCTCTCTGTTCCTTCGAGCTGACCCCAGCAGCAGCAGCAGCAGCAGCAGCTTTTGCTGCTTCCCTCCTCCTCTCTCTTCTTGCGCATCTCCAGCAGCAAATAGAGATATCTGACTGTGCAGGGAACAGCTTGAAAAGAAAAGGAAGCTCATCAGGAGATTCAATTAAAATAGGCTCTTCTTTTACGTTTTGCTGCTGCTGCTGCTGCTGAGTTTCGCGCTGCAGCAGCTCGTACACAGCCTGCTCCCCACCGCTGCTGCTGCTGTTGTTGCTGTTGCTGCTGCTGAGTTTCTGCTGCAGAAACTGCTGCAGCAGCGCCTGCTGCTGAGGCCCTGGCCTCCAGTTGGGCGGCTGTCTATCATCTGGGGGCCCCAGGGTTTGGCTGCAGCGGCAGCAGCAAAACAATCTGCAGTCAGGGTTTCGTGCTGCACTATGTTTCCTAAAGGAGCTAGGAGGCGCTGGCCCCGCTGCTGCCCTATCTGCTGCTGCTGCTGCTGCTGCTGCTGGCTCCTCTCCCTCCTGCTTCACCTGCTTCACCTGCTGCTGCTGCTGCTGCTGCTGCTGCTGCTGCTGTGTCTTTATTCTCTTGAAGCGGATTGCATCTGCAGGGATCTGCGGCTCGAAGCCAACATCTGCATCAAATGCATGACGGTAGAACAACACAGGAGGCAGCCCCCCTTCTTCTTCTCCCTCCCTGCTGCTGCTGCTGCTGCTGCTGCTGCTGCTGCTGCTGCTGCTGCTGGGGAATGCTGTTCTGGTGAGCCACTGCTGCAGCGTCTCTACTTGAAGCCTTCCTTTAATAGAAGCAACAGGGTTAAGATCTATGAAGTTTAAAGCAGGTATAACTTCAAAGCGGCTGTACACCTCCACAGGTAAGTCAGGGCAGCACTCATCACGTAGATCGTATGGGTCCCACGCCCAACGACATACTATCTTTCCTGCTGCTGCTGCTGCATCTGCTGCTGTTGCATCTGCTGCTGCTGCATCTGCTGCTGCCGCATCTTCTGCTGCTGCTGCAGCAGGAGGGATATAAGCAATGATCTGTGCTATCCAATCTTTGCTGCCTTGGCTCTTCAGACGCACCCACTCGTGCTGTCTATACTCCTCACCAAGAAAGAAGAAGAGAGGTGCAGATTTAAGATCGACAGCCTGTGGAAACTCTGCTGCTGCTGCTGCCCACTCCTCCTCCTGCTGCTCCTCTTGGTGCTGCTGCTGCTGATCCTGTTGTTGCTGCTGTTGTTGCTGCGGCGGCTGCTGCTGCTTCTGCTGGCTTCCTGAAACAGGAGAAACGTTGCTGCTGCTCGTGATGCTGCTGCCGTTGCTGCTGCCGCACGAGAGCTCCACTAAGGCATCGCCCCCATGAAAGCCCCCTTCCTCTCCATCTGCAGACGGAGAAGGAAAAGATCCTTCAAGGCTGCCGAGGCCCTGCTGCAGCATCGCTGAACACCTAGTTGCAGCAGCAGCAGCAGCAGCAGCAGCAGCAGCAGCAGCAAGGGCAGCAGCTGCACAAGGCCGTCTCCGGGGTCCTACGGCATTGATGCGTGTATTAAATGAATATAACTTAGAAGCCTCAACAAATGCTGTAACTTGTTGAAACCTGTCCTTCCTCAAGCCCTTCGCTGTCAACAACGCCTGCTGCTGCTGGCGATGCTGCTGCTGCTGCTGCGGGCCGCGTTGCTGCAGCAACTGCAGCAGCCGCAACTGAAGGACTTATCAATGCAATGAAGATGAATAAACTAAAAAAGAGAAGCACCAGTATGCTGCACGCTGAAGCAGCAAAAAATCCCCCCTCCCTGTGCATGCACTGCACAGCAAGTGGGGCTTTCAGGCCCCAACTTGTTGCAGTTACTTAAACCAGCGGAGCAGCAGCAAAAGAAATTAAAAGTTAATTACAGAGAAACAAATAAATAAAAGATAAATGCCTCACTTTCTTTCTTTTATCTTTCCTTCATTTTCTAAGTACACCCAGTAGACAGGCGTAGTCGAAGATGAAGATCAGTTCAGTTGCTTAGGGCGCCTTATTTGTTATCTGCACGTCCCGCGTTCGATTCCTGGCATCGACAATTTCCATTGTTGTTATAATATAAAAGATTATAAGGGGGAGAAGGTGTGTATTACCTGCTGCCGTAGCAGAGATAAGTAGAGATGTGTGCAGCTTAGCACGTACTGCAGCACGGAGGCGTCTGTCTTGTTGTTTAGTATTAATTAAATTTGTTTCTGTTAGCTTCTTTAACTTTCAAGTTGAGTATCTACTGAAGGATAAGAAGTGTTTGATTAGCAGCAAGCTGTACTTGCAATTTCCAGAAGACATGAAGCAATAAGCGCTTTCTTTTTTAAGTTTTTTGGTGATGTTGCTGCTGCTTTTAGAAGGGAGACGCAGCAACAAACAACACACCCGGTGTTGCTGCTGATTAAAGGAGGGAGGCGCAGCAGCAAGTTTTTACACAACTAAATATGCTTCCTCTGTCTCTCTCAGCATCATCTCAGCTGCTGCAGCAGGCCCTTCGGCTCTGATGCTCAGGAGACACCAGAAAATGGTGTAGCTGCTCCTACAGTTATATTATTCAAACGGACACATTTAAACTCTGCTGAACAGAAGAGAGAAGGCACGCTATATCAGAGAGGTTCCTCTCTTCTTGTACCATGCAGCACCAAACCCTAAACCCCAAACCCTCAACCCGAGCAAAGGCTGCAGGTGCAGCTCTACAACGCAGTAGTAGCTGCATATGATGCAGCGGCTGGCTCAGTTGCTGCTGTTACTGCTGCTGTTGCTGGAAGCTGTCGTGCACTCTAGAGACAGGCTGCTTCGTGTGTATCATATTGATGCATCAGCAGCAGCAGCGGTAGCAGCAGATGCTGCTGCTACAAGCGCGCTTGGATGGCCGAGTTCTGCTGTTGAATTCTACGAGAAGTAGCCGTCTGTACACCTCAGAATTGTACATCATCTTTTAAGTGTCTTCAGCGGAGGCGTCTATCTTTCCTGTTTCTGTTTCTGCCTTTGTTGTTTACAGGGACACGCAGTAGCCACTAAACCCTAAACCCTAAACCCTAGAACATCAAACCCTGAAACCCTAAGCCGCAACTAAGACTGTTTCCGCTGTAAACAGATATTCTTTTATTTAAAAAATGTTCATGGTTCGCACTGCCTTGCTGCGTCTTTGTTGCTGTTTGTAGCTGCAATACCTCTGTCTCCTTCACCCCTCCTAAACCTCTTGCATTGTATTTAAATGCTCTTTCTATCATCCCGATTACAATTAGTTGTAGGTAAATACAGCTATACTTTATAATTATATTTCGTAGATAATTTTCTTCAAACTAATTTTCTCTGTTAGATTTACTCCTCATCAAATGGTGATACATTTAAATCTACTAATTATACTTTAATACAATTTTATTGTATATAAAATAAACTATATATATATATATAAGCATATATATAAGACAAAATAACAATAAGAAAACAAACAAAGCGGTTACATTATATTTACTATTAAACTGAGTACTAGAAAATAACGCTGTACATTTATATCAAACTTTTTAAAACAGACAAAACAACTGTCTCCTCGTCCTTCCCTTCTGGGAAGAGACAATTATTTAATTTGTTTGTCTCCCTTTCTATCTGTCTCTAAATAAACTGCTCCCTCTTGTTTGAAAGATATCATCCCTAACTAAAACTCTAATAACAAACTTCGTTATATGTCTCTGTCTCTCTGTAACACCGTCTGTCTCCAACCCCTTCTGTCTTCTGTCTCTGTCTCTGTCTCCCTCTTTGTCTTTGTCTTTGTGTTTTTTTCTGCATCCTCCTCCCTCATGAAGGCTCGTCTATCCGACGCTGCTTCTCCCTTGGTGCTGCTACAGGCTGCAGCAGCAAACCTTTTGCTGCTGCTGCAGGGTACAGCAGAAAACCCTTTGCTGCTGCTGCAGCCTGCAGCAGCAAGTCTTTTGCTGCGTATCTACAGCCTCCGAGCCCCACCGCAGCAAACATTAAAGAAGAGACTTTTATCTCTCCTGTCTCCCTCCTGTCCCTCTGAGATGCGTTGTTACTCCCCTCTGGTTTATGTCTCCTGTAGCTGCTGCTGCTGCTGCTGCTGCTGCAGCTGCTGCTGCTGCTCTGTTGCAACAAAGGCTGCTGCTGTCTCCTCTGCATGGCGAATTACCTCCAGCGCATGCGTAATAGCAGCATCTGCTGCTTGCAGCCACACAAACTTAACAGAGACAGCAACAGGGTCTTCGGGAAACCCTTCGCTGTCTGAAGCTATCTCAACGACGTCTTTATCTTCTTGTTCCTCAGTCTCCACCACTTCAGGGGCCTTGGCACTACTCCCTGCTGCTGCTGCTGCTGGTGGTGCTGCTGCTGTTGCTGCAGAACCGCTCACACGCGCTCGCTTGCTTGGGGGGCCGTACACCCCATCCTCTAGAAGCACAACCTCATCTTCGTCCTCCTGCTGCTGCTGCTGCTGCGGCTGTTGCGGCTGCTGTTGCTGGTGCTCCTTCTGCTGCTCCTCTTGCTGCTGCGAGCTGCTGCTGCCTCTGCAGCTGCTTGCACTCGCTTCCTCTGAGGAGACGCCAACACCACCCTTTGCATCCGGTAACACCTCCACACCTTCTGCCTCGTCGTTCTGCTGCTGCTGCTGCTTCTGCTGCTGCTGCTTCTGCTGCTGGTGGTTGTCTTCCCGCTGCTGAGGCTTCTCCTCGTGAAGCGGCTGTTTCGTCTCTTGCTGTTCCTGCTGCTGCTGCTGCTGCTGCTGCTGCTGCTGCTGCTGTTTGGTAGGCAGCTCGTCTGCTGCCTCTGCCTCCTCACCCTTCTCCACTCGGTTTGCTGCTGCCTTCGGCGCTGCAGCTTTCTTGAGTTTGCTGCTCAGACGCAGCTCCGTCGTCTCCTTTATGAAGGCCTCCAGCTGTTCCCTACGCACCAGCAGCAGCAACAGCAGCAGCAGCAACAGTGGAGCCAACGAAGTAACAAGTCCTAAGCAACGCTCATTCGCAGCAGCAGCTGCAGCAGTCGCAGCAGCAGTTGCAGCATAAGTTACTGCAGCAGCAGTAGCAGCAGCAGCAGTTGCAGCAGACCTGGTTGCTCTAAAGGAAACGAAGACAATGTCTTGCACGGGGTCCCTCAGCTGCAGCAGCAGCCCAGCAGCAATAAGCCTCCTCTTTAGCCACTGCCAGTGCTGCAGCAGACGTTTGTTCATATCCAACCGAGACAGAAACTCGTCGTGCGGCATCAGCACACAGTCGTACCTGAGTAGCATCAGCAGCAACAGCAGCTGCAACAGTTGCAGCAGCAGCTGGAGGTGCAGCAGCAGCAGCAGCAACAACTCCCCAAGACGCCTCCCTGCTGCTGCTGCCTCTGCTTCTGCTGCCAGCGCAAATAATACACCCAACGAATCTCCCCACGGCGGCAGCACTCCCGAAGAGCAGCAGCAGCAACAGCAGCAGCAGCAGCACCAACAGCAGCAGCAACAGACCCGATAAGCCTGCTAAGCTGCCACTCGGCAAGGGTATCCAGCAGCTGCCTGCTTATTGAAGGCCGCGGATCGGGAGACAGAGCTCGTAAAAGAGCTGCTGCAGTAAACTGTACTGGCGTGAAGCTGCACTTGCAACACACAGACACACAAACACAACCCAAGCTGTTGCTGCTGCCCCTGCTGCTGCTGCCCCTGCTGCTGCTGCCGCTGCTGCTGTTCCTGCTGCTGTTCCTGCTGCTGCACCGGGCAGCCCGTATAGAAACGCACACCCCGTATCACGTGGTAGAGCAGCAGAAGCAACACTTCCCCAAATCCACAACTCCTGAGCAGCTAGCTGGCTAGCTAGCTTGCTGTCTATCTGGCTATCCATCTAGCTAGGCGGCTAGCTGCATCCGAGTTTAGCAGTCAGGTGAGAGCTGCCTAGCTAGCCATGCAGCTAGCTAGCTAGGTAGCTAGCTAGCTAGCGTTCAAGTGGTCCTGCCGCCAAGTGCCTCTCGCCCTAGTCACCAGCCACGCAGCTAGCTGTCCGACTAGCTACACAGCAAGTTGCGCAGCTAGCTGCTTCTCCAGTTGCTCCGGTGCCTTCCGTTGCTAGCTACCTGTCTGGCTAACTGCAGGTCTAGCTACCTGACTAGCTGCTGCTTGGTTACCTGCGTCTGGCTAGCTGGGTGCAGCTAGATGGTAGCAGCTAGCTAAATGCCGCTAGCTAGCTGCAGCTAGCTAGGTGCACCTAGCTGCAATGTGGGCGTGTGCGTGTTGTTTACTGAACGTGAAGGTAGGCGAGTTTGAGTAGGAGACGGCCGCTGGGATCGGATCCCCAATCAACGAAGGAGGGGAAGCGACCCCACACTTGTGTGGCTAAGAGGGGGCATTTGCTGAAGTCTTCTGTGCTGTCCGGTAAGAAGCTGCTGCAGCTGTTGCTGCTGCTGCTGCTGCTGCGCTTCTGCTGCTGCCGCCGCGGCAGCCCCAGCGTCTCCTCTGGTGACTCAAAGAAGGCCTGGTGGTCTGCTGCTGCGCGTCGCAGGTGCAGCAGCAGCGACCGCAGGTTGCGCGCAGCGATGCGGCTAAGACCTACACGCTGCAGCAGCTCCTCCCGAGACCCTGCTACTGCTACTGCTACTGTTGCTGCTGTTGTTGCTGCTGCTGCTGCTGCGCCCGTCGACGGGCTAGAGGGGGTGCACGACGCTGCTGCTGCTCCAGTATCCTCCTGCGGATCCGAAGCAGCAACAACACCTGCTGCTGCTGCTGCTGCTGCTGCTGCTGCTGCTGGGGCGCTCGACGCTGCGTCTCCTCCCGCTTCGTCTGCCGTCGGAGAGGACACCTGAAGCGTCAGAGCGTTGCTGCTGCTGTTGCTGCTGCTGCTGCTGCTGTGCGGAGACACCGCCAACTCTGATAAAAGACGAGCAGCAAGAACAGCCTCCTCGCGAGCAGTGGCCAGACTCTCACGCAGAGACACAAGGCGCTTTACCGACTCCTTGTACCTGCAGCAGCAGCAGCAGCAACAGCAGCAGCAGCAGCAGCAGCTATGCGTGGGTGGAAACGGCGAGTGCGTTATACTCAACTTGTCTGAGATTGGGGGTGCTTCTCCTGCTGCTGCTGCAGGAGCAGCAGCCCGACGTGGCTGCTGCTGCATTAGCAAGACAAATGCAGCAGCAGAGAGCAAACTGAGGCTGCAGCGGCAGCAACAACGACAGCAAGAGCAGCAGCGGCACCTGTCTCTGAGGGCATCCATCTTCTTGCGGAGATCTCCTCCAAGGTCGGACAGGGAACTCTGATATGCAGCAGCAGCAGCAGCAGCAGCAAGAGCAGCAGCAGAAGCAGCAAGTTCGTTCAGCCATTCTATGCCTCCATGCTACACTCCACCCCCTGCGGCTAAGAGCAGCAGCAGCAGCGGCGGCACCAGCAACAGCGAGACAACAATCGCAGCAGCGAAACAGCAACAGCAGCAGCAGCAGCAGCAGCGAGTGCTGCTGCTGCCTCACCCAGGGCTCCCACGTGCTTTCGTCGTCAGCATAGTCCAACCACAAGACAAAAAACTTCTCCTGAAAACGCATGAAGACACAAACCAAGTGCATCTGCTGCTGCTGCTGCCGATGCTGCTGCGGCTGCTGTTGTTGTTGCTGCTGCTGCTGCTGCTGGAGTGTAAGCACACCACCTTGTTTTCTATTCGGTACCCCCGAATATCTCTGACTTGATAAGTTGTGTCTTTGTTGCTGCGGGCTTTGCCCCCCGTCTTGCCTCCTGGCTTCTTGTTGGACGGCATTGTTGTTGTTGTTGTTGCGGCTGCTGCTGCTGTGTCGGTGTTGCTGCAGTGCGTTGAGCTGCCTCGCGCCTGTGCGAGAAGCTGCTGCTGTTGCTGCTGCCTTGCTTGTTGCAACTTCCAGCGGGTGGTGGCGACAGCTTCAGGCCTATCGACGGCCGACGTGCTGCTGCAGCGCAGCACAGGAGCTGCTGCAAAAGGCCCCGCGTTGTTGGTAGTTATGCTGCTGCTGCTGCTGCTGCTTCAGTGCCCTGTGATCTGCCGTGGGTGCTGTTCAGCAGCACTCTGCTGCAACAGAATCGTAGGTGCCTCCGCGGGGCCCCCACGCCCCCCTAGCTGGGCCCGCTGCAGCACCAGCAGCAGCACCAGCAGCAGCAACCCAACGGCCCTTCCGCCTATGAAAAAGAATGAGTCTTGAAGTACAAAGCAGCAAAAGCAAAAGGAGAAAAGGCGGTGTCTGCTCCTTCTCGCAGCCCCACGTCACCGACACCACCGAAGACGACCGCTGCAGCAGCAGCAGCAGCAGCAGCTGCTGCTGCTGCTGCTGCTGCTTTTGCAGCGGCGTGCTGTAGAAACAAGACCAACTTTTAAAGCCTTCCCCATGTAATAATAAGAGCAAGACATCACCTCTTGTGCTCTTAACTTGTGCGCAACCTGCTGGTGCTGCTGCTGCTGCTGCTGCAGTGACCATACATACGCAGCTGCAGCAGCAGCAGCAGCAGCAACAGCTGCAGCAGCGACGGCGCCAACGCCGCTCTCCTGTTCAGAGAACAGCGGACATGCTGCTGTGCCGGGTGTCCTTTATAGCATTTAAGATAAGTAGGAGATTTAGAGTTGTGGCTAATAGGGTTTGTGTTTTTGTTGTTGCTGCGACAGCTGCAGCAGCTGCAGCAGCAGTTAACAGCAACAGCAACAACTCCTGCTGCTGCTACTGCAGCGCAACCAACTCCGGTGTCTGCGCCTTTTAGTCCTCATTGACGGCCCTTCTCTTGCTTCTGAAGGCGCCTGTTCACAAGCAGCAGCAACCAGCTACAGCAGCAGCAGCAACCAGCTACAGCAGCAGCAACGACGGCAGCAGCAACAGCAACCTCGGCGGCAGCAGCAAACATTTTGACTGTGGAGCCGCTCCAGCTCCCGTAACGCGCCCCTTTGAAACAGCAGCAGCAGCAGCAGCGGGAGTTGGAGTTTGCCTCGACTCCTGCTCCCACAGCAACAGCGGCAGCGGCAGCAGCAGCAGCAGCACCTGCAGCACCGCCGGCGTCATTCCTACGGGGCCGCAGCGGCACTTGCTGCAGCACCCGTGCGTGTGGAGAGCCTGCAGCAAAAGGAACGCAAGAAAGATGGGGGAGGGCGACCAGAAGGGGCCCCACGAGCAAGAGCAGCAGCAGCAGCAGCAGCAGCCAGATCCGCAGCAGCAGCAGGGAGATCAGCCGCAGCACAATGAGGACAGCGATCAGAGGCAGGAGCAGCAACAGTTGACACCAGCGGAAGGGCCACGGACGCTGGAGGCAAACGAAGCGAGCTCTGGCTCCAGCTCCAGCAGCAGCAGCAGCAGCAGCAGGGGCGCAGATGCTGCTGAAGAACAGGATGAGGAGGAAGATGAGGGCGACAATTCGTTCATGTTGACTGTACAGACACTTGACCGCCAGCAACTCAGGCTCACTGCTTTTCCAGGTATTGCTGCTGCTGTTGCCGCTGCCGTTGTTGCTGGTGATGCTTTTGATGCTTGCTGCTGCTGCTGAAGGAGGCATGTCGTCTGTAGTACCTGGACTGCTTCATAGGGGTTCGAAAGTCTCAATATAACTCCTTCCCTTCTGTTGCTGCTACTGCTGCTACTGCTGCTGCTACTGCCGCTGCGGCTGCTGCTGCTGTTGCTGCAGATTGGACTGCGCTGCAGCTGAAGGAAGCCTTGGCCCCGCAGCTGCGCTATCCTCCTGGGGAGCAGCGGCTCATCGTGAGAGGCCACGTGATGAGGGTGAGGCATCTAGGCTCTGGTGGTGTGGCTGCTGCCGGCGCAGCAGCAGCTGCAGCTGTTGCTGCTGCTGCTGCTGTTGCTGCTCCCCAGAGTCACTGTGGCCCCTGCGGCTGCCGCCGCTGCTGCTGCTGCGCACCTATTGAAGTGCTCACCACAGCAACGTTCGCAGCAGGTGTTGGCGCAGAAGAGATGTGGCAACAGCAGCAGCAGCAGCAGCGGCACAGATAGCTACTATTGTTGCTGATGCTGCAGCAGGAAAGCCAGCTGCAGCTGCATTTGTTTCCGATGGTGCTGCTGCTTCTGTTGCAGGATGAAGAAGTTTTGGAGTCGCTGGGCATCAGCAGCGATGGGCCGATGGTGCATGTGGTGCGGAATGCGGAAAGGAGAAACAGTCAGTTGCTGCTGCTGCTGCTGCTGCTGCTGCTGCTGCTGTTACTGCTGTGCTGCTGGTGCCTTCGCTGCTTTGTTTCTGTTTCATTCATTTTTCTGTGTACAGGAGTAGATGCCGCATCAGCAGGAGTGGAGCATCAGCAGCAGCAGCAGCAGCGGAAACAGCAGCTGCAGTGTGCGACGGGCGTGTGTGGTGTTGCGCTGCAGCAGGTATTCCCGGCAGCAGCAGCGGCGCAGCAGCAGCAGCAGCAGCCTCCCCTCAGGAGCTGCTGATGGAGCAGCTGGCGCGCTCTCCGCATCTGCAGCAGCTAATGGAGAGCGACCTCATGAACAGTTTGCTGCAGTCGAGCCCGCTGCTGCAGGCCTTGAGGGAGCAAAACCCCGAAATCAACAGTCTGCTCTCAGACCCACAGGTAACGCTCCGCAAACCCTAAACCCTAAACCCTAAACCCCAATACGAACCCGTAACCCTATTCCACACTAAACCCTAAACACATAACCCTAGACACCAAACCCTTACCAGCAAACTTTGCTTTCTAACAGCGCGGGGTTTAGCAGGGATGTATGTCCCGCTCCTGACTGCCGTAAAGGTTTAGGGTTTAGGGTTTAGGGTTTAGGGTTTGTGTGTTGCAGTTGTTTCGCATGGGTATGGACGCCATGAGGAATCCTTCCCTGTTAAGGGAGATGATTAGGAATACAGACAGGGCCCTAGCCAACATTGAAGCCGTTCCAGGGGTAGCTGCTGCTGCTGCTTCTGCTGCTGCTGCTGCTGCTTTCGCTGCTCCTGCGCTGTATGGGGTGCCTCTGCTACTGTTGCTGCTGCTTCCTGTGTTGCTGGTGCTTGTGCTGTTGTTTCTGTTGCTTGATCACTAACTGTTGGCTGTTGTTGCTGTTGCTGTTGTTGCTGTGCCCAACGCTACTGCTGCTACTTCTGCTGCTGTTGCTGCTGCTGCTGCAGGGTTTCAACGCTTTGACGCGTGTCTACCGTGGGGTGCAGGAGCCTATGCACGAAGCAGCCATTCAAATTGCTGCTGAGCTGCGCGGCGGCACAGCGCGAGGAGAGAGAGGGAACCCCACAGGAGAAGCAACAAACCGACGCAGGGATTCGGGACCTTCAAAGGAGGCCCTACCCAACCCCTGGGGTCAGCTGCTGCTATTGCTGCTGTTGCTATTGCTGCTGTTGCTGCTGTTGCGTCAGGTGCTGGCGCTGTAGTTTGCCGCTGTTGCTGCTGCTGCTTGTGGAAGGGACTGTAGGGTTGATTGTGCATGCGGCGTGCTGCAGCCCCTCAGCAATCGCAGAACAGTTTGCAGCAGCAGCAGCAGCAGCAGAGTTCTGAGTCAGCGAGGGAGGCTCATGAATTGAATACGTATCTTGAGGCCCGGAGGCGTCAGCAGCAGCGCCAGCAGCAGGTGTTGCGGCAGCAGCAAATACAACGGGATTACTTGCTACAGCAGCAGCGCCAACTGCAGCAGCAGCAGCGGGAACAGCAGCAGGAGCAGCAGCAGGAACAGCAGCAGCAGGGGACGACGACGACCGCTGGCGCAATATCTCCGCAGCAGGTCAGAGGCAACAGTGGGGTGCTGCAGCAGCAGCAGGAGCTGCAGCAGCAGCTCCTGCTGCTGCTGCAAGGTCCAGACGTTGCCGCAGCAGCTCCTGCTGCTCCTGCAAGGTCCTCTGCAGCAGGTGTTGCTGCTACACTTTGTACAGGAGGCTTTGTTTCTGTTGTGGATTGTCTTTTTGGCTGATAGTGTTGCTGCTGTTGCGGCAGCTGTTGCTGCTGCTGCTACGTAGCGCTGTTGGTGTGTAGCTTAGCTAGCTTAGCTATCGCTGTAGTTGTGCGATGTATCTGCTGGCAGGCTCAGACTCCAAGTGGCTCAGGTGTACAGGCACCTCCGGATGCAGCAGCAGCTGCAGCAGCAGCAGCAGCTGCTGCTGTTGCCTCACTCGCGCATGCATCCTCAGGTGCCTCGGGGGCACCGCCTTCTGCGTGGGGCTTTGGGGGCCCTGGGGGTATCGTTCAAGACTTCACGAGGTATGCTGTGCTGCAGCTCTTTTTTGCTGCTGCTGTTGCTGCTGCTGTGGTGGTGGTGTGGCTCCGTTATGGTCGCTGTAGCCGCAGACGTGCTGATTTTGTTGCTGCTGCTTTCGTTGCTGCGGCGGGGGGTCGGCTGTTTTGCTGATAGGTGGCATGCTGCAGCAGCAGCTGCTGCTGCTGCTGAATCTGCGTCGTGTTGCTGTTGCTCTGCACGAAGCTGGGGTGTAGGTGTGTGCGGCTGCAGGCTGACGGTTGGAAGTGCGGAGCCCTCCGCAGCAACGTCTCCTGTTCAGCATCAGCAGCAGCAACCTCAGCAGCAGCAACCTCAGCAGCAGCAGCAGCAGCAACAGCAGTATGCGCATCAGCTCGCGTCTTTGAATGCCATGGGGTTCTCCAACCAGGCGGAGTGTTTGTGGGCGCTGCAGCAGACTGGAGGTGCGCCTATGCAGCGAAGTAGCAGCCCTTGCTGCTCCTGTTGTTGCTGCTGTTGCTGCTTCTGTTTCTGTTGCTGTGATGCTCATGTCCTGTCGCTGCATCAGCACGTAGGTGGAGTAGTTTGTGCTGCCTCGGCATGCCTTTGGTGCACTGCGCCGTTAATCATCACCTGCTGCTGCTTCTGCTGCTGCTGCTTTCTGTGTTGCATTTTAGGGAATATAAACCGGGCGATCGATTTGCTGTTGGCTCGGCATCAGTGAGTGAGGCTGTCCAGTGGCAGCAGCAGCAGCGAGCCTGCTAGCTGTCCTCCGGTTTGCTGCAGCTGCAACAGGCGCTGCTGCTGCTGCAATAGCAGCAACAGCAGCGCCTGCTGCACCTGCATCCGGGATAGGGTGGGGATTTGCTTGTCTTCATGAGGCGAGAAGACCTTCACCTGCCTTTCAGCTGCATCGCGGTGGTTCTGGGCTGCAGCTGCTGGAGCAGCAGCGGCAGTAGCAGCAGCACCACGTTGTGGCTGTAGGCCAGCACTGCATGCGTTGCAGCTGCTTCTGCAGCGGCAGCAGAATTGTGCTCCTCCCGACGCAGCAGAATTCTGCAAATTAGTTGCAGCGCACTGTTTGCTGCTGCAGACACGGAAACGCAAAGCAGCACCCAGCAGCAGCAGCAGCAGTAGCTTACAGCGCTGTACTAGACAACTCAACGAACAGCAGCAGCTGGAGGAACGCCACTCTCAGCAGAAGCAGCAGCAGCAGCAGCAGCATTCCCTGCTGCTGCTGCTGCTGCTGAGAATTTTTCCTCCCGAGGGAGTCGCACTCTTAATGGGGTGTACGCACAGCTGGTTCTTGTCTTTTAGCAGTAGCTGAGAACAGCGGTAGGCAGGGCTGAATTGAGAGTTGTTTAGATAAACAGAGACAGCAGAAAAAGTGAACAGCAGCGAGTCAGCAGCAGCAAAGAGGGGCAGCTGCCAGCAGCAACAAGAAAGAACAACAGCACCACACAGCAGCAGCAACAGGAAGAGAGGAAAAGCAGCACAACACAGCAGCAGCAGCAACGGGCGGCACAAGCGAAAGAACTAATGAAGCCTTTGGCACCTCGTTACCGGACTGTCTGCTGCTGCTGCAGCTGCTGCTACTCCCCCGCTGTTGCTGCTACTACCATCACTACACTGCTACTGTTCCACTGCTGCTGCTGCTCCTATTGCTGCTGTTGCTGTTACTGTATAGCAGACTGTATAGCGGTCTGTGGTGAAGAGACACCCTCGAAGAAAGCAAATGCCCCAGTGGGTGGTGCTAGCTGTTGTTCATTGCTAGCAAAATCATTATCAGATAGAAGCAGCAGCAGCAGAAGCAGCAGCTCTTCCATATGAAATGCAAGAGCTGCTGCTTCTGCTCACTGTACAACGAAAGCTAAAGCATCTACTGCTTGCTTCTGCTGCTGCTGCAACAAAGAAAAACTGCGAATGTTCACGGGCAGTGCTGCCCTGCAGGAACCGCTGCAGCAGAAACGGCAGCAGGAAGTGCAGCAGCAGTTGCTGCTGCTGCTGCAGGGTGCTACAACATAGGCGCTGAGGAGGGTAGCGGTGCTCCCCATTGTACTATGCCTGCTGCAGCACCCTGAACAGGTAACAGCTGCAGCGGCAAACACCTGCTGCAGTAGTTGCTACTGGTGCTGCAGGTGGTGCTGCTGCAGGTGATGCTGCTGCTGCTGCTGAAGTGAGACGGATCTGAATTAAGGTTTCACTTGGGGGCCTCCATCTTCCCGCTGCTGGTGGTGCTGCTGCTGTTTATCTTGTTGGGGCGTGTTGTGGATATGTTGGCTGAGGACCTTGTTGAGTGTAAACATAGAGAGTTCTCTCTGCTGCAGCAGCGGCAGCAGGCGTTCATCAGCAACTACAATTCTCTTATTATCTTTCTTTTGCAATCCCTTCTCTTTAATGTAAGACCAAATAAACTTCGTTACCTCCACGCGAGAGGCCTGAGTGCGGCCCATAAACTCCGCCAAGGGGGCTCCTAAGTTGCAGACCTTATGGAGACCAGTTGCTCTACGCGTGGGTGCTTTCTCCCTGTTGCTGCTGCTGCTGCTGCTGCTGCTGCTGCTATTTGGGGGAACAGTCGCCGTCGTGGGTGCGCCCGTGTAGTCTGGAGGCCCCGTTGAAAAGATATGACGAACAGAACAGCGGAGAGGGGGCCTCCATGCCGCACATGCTGCTGGGATGGCTCGAGCTGCCGCAGCTGGTGTTGCTGCTGGAGCTACTGCTGCTGCTGCTGCTGCTGCTGCTGCTGCGGATGCAGGTACCAAGCCTCGCTGCGAGAGCATCTGGAAGCGTCTTCCCACTCGGGGCGCCAAGACGCCCCCAAGTCTGCTGGCAGACGATGCATACATCTCCCTAGGCGAAGTCAGTTAGACAGGAGAGTGTTGTGCAGAAGAGAAGAGGAATTTGTTTTGAAAGGGCAAAGCGCAGACAGCGACAAGTTCTTCCTAATGGTGTGTAGGCCGAGGCTGTGCTGCTGTTGCTCTTGTTGCTGTTGCTGCTGCTGCTGGACCTGCTGCTGCTGCTGTTGCCGGTCCTGCTGATGGTGCTGCTGTTTGTGCTGCTGTTGTTCCTGCTGTTGTTGTTGCTGCTGCTGTGAGTAACTTTGCAATGACTTCTTTTTTTGAAAACAAATCTTGAAAAGACAAACAGAAAGGCCTGTGCATGTATAACAAAGCCAGCGCGCGGGGCCCCTGCTGTCTGTTCCGGCTGCGGCTGCTGCTGCAGCTGCTTTTGCTGCTGCTGCTACTGCTGCTGCCGACGCGCGGGTTGGCTTCGTGGATTTCTTTCGTGCATTCTTCGTGTTTTTTCTCGGAAGACTTGGTTATATTATTTATTTTAAATTTTGGGTTCGGTGGGGTTCCCTTAGGAGGGTGCTGCCGTTGTCTCAATGCAGGTAGGCCCAGTCTAAGACGAGACCCGCAAAGCCTAGCTATCGTTCTGAAACACTGACGTAGTTTTCTCGTAACGTTTGCACCCTGAAGTCGCAGATGTATTTCATGGCTTATGGCTTGTTCATTTGGAGCGGGAAGGGCTCTAAAAGGCTCTGCCATATATGCACGGGCTCGCCGCCGACGCGCATGTTGGCATCTCTGGTTTCTGTTGTGTATTCTTTGTGGTTTTTCTCAGAGGGCTGTTGATGAAGCTCATCTCAAGCCCAGTGGAAAGATTAGTTTAGGGTGGTCTGTCCGAAGTTGATGCATGAGTACATGCTTGGCCTTAGTATTCGGAGAGCAAACGCGCAGGACAGCACTTCTCTACAGCGCTAGCGCACACAGGAAAGCGACGGTAGTTGTGCCTGCAGGTGAAAATGCCTTGCACAATTAGTTTAAACGGGGTGCGTTGCAACTCTGTCTGGCCGCCTCCTCCTGCCCCACGCCAACCCCTTTGCAGGTGTGCACCTTTGGCTAGACTCTTTTGGCTCGGTCGAAGGCCTTGAGTAAGATCGCATACTATCGTTGCACTTGTTAACACCAGATGGTTCGTCGCGATGGGTGCGAGCAACGAAGCCGCACCCACAGGTGCTCAGCCTGATGCAGAGCAGTGACTGGTGCCGAAGTTGCCATACAAAAATTGGTAGATACTCTCCACGAAAATTTATCAAAGCTTGAGCCGCTTGTCTCCTCTTGCACAATGGAGATTGGTCATATCTGCCCTCTGGTGGGGAGGCGGACAATGTTTGAAGGCTATGTCGCATTAACAGCAGTTCAGCGTCTGCACCCCACCCAGGAAGAAAGATTTTCCCGACAAAACTAGTTCGCGCAGAACGCCTCCGCCTTTCCTTAGCGCCGTAATATAACGGCTGCCTCGGTGATGCGGTAGTGGAGGATATCCTCGATCCCCTACAGTGATTCCTCCCTCCAGAATGCAACAGAAATGCTACAGTTGCTCTGGGCTGCTTCTTTCTTGACATGGGAGGCACGACACTATGAAAGCAAGGCTACTTTTCCCGAACATAACAGGAGTATGGAAGCCTTTCGAAATACGCTGCGATGCACGATTATTCCCAGGTCGGCAGGGAAAACGCCTGGCCCCACCAGTTGAGCCATACGTAAGAGGGTTCGAAGACGACCAAGATATCAAGCCAATGAATAATTGGGCTATAAATGTTGACCCCTCGTTAGTCGAAGTAAGCAGTAGCAGCTGGGGAATAACGTTTTCAGAAAGCTGGAGGGAAGTAGCGAACGGCTAATCTGCTTCCTTTGCAAAAAAGAATGTCGCCTCGTCCCAGGTTGCGGACGTACGGGAGTAAGGAATTGGAGAAGCAACACCTCAAGAAACGCTACCAAGTGAAGAAACAAAGAAACAAAGGAAATGCCGCGGTTCCCACGCAACGTATGGAGCGGATTATAGGAAAGAAAGAAGGAACAGCCGCACCTGTGGACTCGCCTTGAATCAGCCCTATGATTATTCAACTCCGCAGTAATAGTCAAGTGTTGCTAGGGCTACTCGATGCAGGCTGCGAAGTGGGTCTCATATATGTGTTTAGGATGAGGCGGTGCAATTTACCTGTCTAGCCGCTTTCGCAGTCTCTGCAACTACGCATAGACGATAGCTAATACGACACGAGGACCGGAAAAAGCTGTGGGTGTACAGTGCTAGCTCAATCCAGAAGTGGCTCGTATTACCATGAAAGGGGTCTCCAATGCTGGACTAGTTGAGCATGACATTATCCCTAGGCACGCACTGGGTGTCTCAGTGGAGTGGGCGCATGCGGTCCCTAGACGAGACGATAGTGTTGAAGTCTATTTGCCAGGAGGCACTAAGAGATTGCAGCTCTAAGCGGTCCTAACGGCATTTGCATCCTCTGCGGCAATAGGAGTGGGAACAGTGCTACGAGGGAAACGGGACGAGGCGGCAGTAGTAGGTAGGAGGTAGGTGTAGAGGACATAAGTTTCTCCGCCGTTGCCTGCAGAAGTGCTGCAGGCAACGGCGAAGCTCTTAGTGGTGTGCAGGCTGCTTACTAACGATCAAAGGTTTAACAGCGACCCACAAAGGATGCAACCAGCGAAGGGGTCTTACGATGCTTGCACGTGGGGCTCCTTTGCAGCAAGGTGCGGTGCAGCTCATGACCGGCCTGCTGCTCTCCCCAACATCCCCAGATTCTTGGCTGCTGTGCGCGGAACCCCTGGGGACCAACTGAGGTCAGCTGCTTTCTCCAAAAATTCCTACCTTATGCATTTCAGCTTGCGCGCAGGCTGGCTACGGAAGGCCGACTTACTGCTTAGCAAATGTCCACATCATAAGTGCAGCAAAGGGAGCTTAGGTATGTTTGCATGTGAGGTCACTTTGTAAGAGGAGTTGCAATCACATGCGTTGCAACAAACGCTAGCCCGCTTCCTCTCCGCACGAGCCCCACGCCCTTGTGCCGTCATGCCCAAGACACGCGGGGACCGTAGAGGATGTCAGCTGCTTTTCAGGAAGTCTTACTCTGACGGTTCTGACTTTGTTGAGGCGCACGAGAATCCTTCGCTAAGATGGGGACTCTCAGTGATGGTTAGGAGGAAAAGTAGGAAGATGCCGAATTGACTGTATCCGACTGATTGTGGACACTTTGACGAACCAACGCAGCCAATAAACGTGAATTATTTGCAAATTCGGAACCAAATTTTTAAAGAACGTGAATTGTGGTTGTGACGGAATTTGTGGAGTGACTGCTAGTGCAGTCACTGGCGCTGCGGACCTCAACAACACCGGACCACCGAAGGAGCATTCACCGACGCTTCGCTTGCTCAGCTCCTCTAGATTAATAATATTTTCTCAAAATTTCCACTAATTTTAAAAAATGCGTCAGAAAAATGGCATGACTGATTAACGGGAACAACGGGTGGTGCTGGTCACGCAGTGGTTACTGAATCTGGGGGCTGCAGCTCATGCACACGCATCCCATATTGAATAAGACTCAGTTAAAAGTGAAAATATTTAGAAAATCTGAAGGCAGCACTATACCTTAGATAAGAACAACTGAAATTACTTGCCTTTCCCTTACGCTTTTGTGGAGACGACTGACAGACTCGATGCCATCAGCAGCAAGGCCTGCGAGTTCCCCTGCCAGCTGCCGTTTATTCGACAGAGCAGTGGGAAAATTTATTAGCACCTCGTCCGTGCGCTGTCTCCTGAGTGTGGTGCTTTATGCATTCAATTAGTTTAATTCATTACCTGTTTTTGTGTTGCTTTTTTCCTCGTTGTAGAAGCGGCCCCGCCAATGCATCTCAGCAGCTGGTCCTGGTGTTGCTTGGTTGGGATTTGAGGCTGCAGCCACTGGCGTTCGTCTTTTCCTGATGCAAATTCGTCTCTGTTTAACTGTTTAAATGCTTAAATAGAAATCCCATTTAAAATTTTCAAATATACTTGAGCCTCTGGCCCACATGGCCGACCCGAGCAGCCCCTCCAGGCGCTCCGACTCGGCGGCAGCCGACGGGTTGAACAGGGGGCCCAGTACTGCTGCAAATTTTAGAAAAGATACTTTAAAAGGCAAGCTGTCCGTATCCTCCCAAAGTGTCTTGAGGGTTACGAGTAAGAGAGATGGCGGCGCCCCTGCGAGGAAACCCAGCCGTTCCGCTCCTGAAGCAGCAACGCCTGCCGCAGGAGCTACATTTTTGCCTGGAAGGTTCGAAGACTTCTCTCCCTCCTCATCCCACAAAGCTGATGACCCAGCCACTCTATTCGTGCTCAGCAAGAAGCAGCCTCCAGGGAAGCTCGAAGGGAACAGGGCTCGGCCTCTCGTGGGCTCGCGGCAGCTCTCGGCAGCTCCTGGTGCTGCTGCTGCTCCTGCCCTCACCGTTGGATCAACCGCAAGGAAGGATATGATTCCGAAGCGGCAGCAGGGTTGGGGGGGTCCCCGGAGAGGTATTGATCTTTTTCCCCGTCCGTTTTAGCACCCCAGCAGCGTGCAGCTACAGCGGGAGGGGATGAGCCTAGAGAGAAGGCATTGAAACTCTTGTATGCTTACTGAACTGAGCAGAAGCAAGAACATAGTGGATGCATGACTATTTGACTAGCTAACCGTGCACAGGGCTCCACCATTTTTTTTTGTGTGGAGTGCGGTTGCTTGTGGCTACAGAGGGCCCGCGGCAGCGAGTGGGCAGGGAGGGTGGCGACAAAGACCCGGAGGATGAGTGTCTTCACAGGCTGGATGTGTACGGCTTGGAAGTTGAGGGGTTCCGAGGTGCTGCTTCTGCAGCAGACACGCTGTTGCTTTCGGGGTCGAAAGTGTTCATTAGAGGCAAAGAGGTCGCCAAAGGAAAGACACCCGACTTTAGGGGGCTCGTCACCATGCAAATTATCGACCCGTCCCTCCTAGGCAAGCCTCTTTTGCAGCAGGTGCAACCCTTTCAGTTCGGTGGAAGCAGGGGAGGGGCCCGAGGCGCCCACATAGTGCAGAACGAGCTCCCGCTCTTGATGCACCTCAGCAGGCACAGTGTCATACCCGCAGAGGCTCAACTCGGAGAGAAGTAAGGTCTAGGATTAAGGGACTGGGAAACGAATATAAAGCTGAGGAATTGCTGCACGCTAGCTCGACTGGAGGGGATTCAGCGCACGGGAGCGCGGAGGAAGCGTTGGGCTCCTCTTCAAAACGCACGCAAGCATGCCCTTGGGACAAGCTGGCAAACGTTACTTACCTGTAGAGCATTTGTTTGCAGTGGTTACGTGTATGGTGTTGGCTGTTTCTTCCCTGTGGTGATGCTGCAGAACAAAGGACCCGGAAGAGGCGATAGACAGCCTGATGTATCTTCCGTCCTGCGACGACGCCGCAATAATTGATTGCTTGCAGCAGCGGTTTAACAGGGGCAAGTACTTCACGTCTTGCGACAATATGCTGATATTTGTGAACCCTTGGGACTCGCACGATTCTGCGAGCGACGAGGTATTCAACCGCAGCAAAGCTGTGCACTACTGGACGTCCCACGTAGCGGAGCTGCCATCGCATCCCTACTTGGTGGCTCGCCGGGCCTTCACGAACGCAAGAAAGCAGCACACAAACCAACTCGTGCTCACCTTTGGCGCCTTCGGCTCAGGACAGGACCGTGTGCACCACGAGCTGGTGAAGCTCTTTATCCGCTTCGCCTTCATCGTGGAGGACACCTGGGTAGGGCTGCACCGGCTTGTTTCCTTCGACGCCTGTAGCTGATGGCATTCGATTCCCACAACCATTTTATTCCAGCAAGATTGCTGGTTGCGGCACTCAGCAGTGCCTTACGACGTTATCAGGGCAGGCCGACTTTGTGGGCGCACCTCTTTCCTGCGCAGACAGATGAGCAGGCGCTCGCCACTGAAGCGAAGAGAGACGCTGCAGTGTCACTTTTAGAGTCTTTGCACATTACGAACAAGGGCCAACTATATGGTGGGCGGCTAATGGACCTCTTTCAAGTAGAACTCGACTCCCAAGGAGGTTTCGTGGGATTCAGCTTTTTGCCGAACTCATCCTATGAGCCCAGCCAGTACGTTCTCGCTGAGTGGGCGACTGCTCAGGATGCACAGTGTGCACAACATGCTGCTGGTATGCTCGTCTTGTTCTTCGTTGCTAATATCCTGAGGGATTTGAATGTGACTGCGTGGCGTTTTGGGCGGGCGCTTCAGAGACATCATTTCATGGCAGATGCGCCAGGCTGTCAGTTCGCTCCCCCTGCCCAACATCTTTTACCATCTCATGTACGGCATTCACTACAACCCGGGAGACCCACTTCTGAAGAATGCGGGTCTCCATCCTGTCGACGTGAAGATTTTGATGCATTACTTTCCTCGCCCCTTTGTTTTGTACGAAGACGTGCACTACGAGAAGTGTCAAGAAATCCTCGCTGATCTTTCCACCCTCGGCCTCTCCGACAGACAAAAGGCCGAGTTTCTCTCTCTGCTTAGCGCTATTCTTGTGGCAGGTAGCGCCAGGACCCTCCTTTTGCATCATAGTGTCTCCATACAAATGCACGAGACACTCGTGACGCACCCGTCTCCCCTCAGAGATTTCGGGCGCATTGGGCGTGGGGATATGCTAGCTTCTCCTTTCTTCCCTGTGCACGCATGGTTTTCAGACGTCGTGAGTTTCAAGATGCAGAACGAACTCCACAAGGAGGAGCTCGAAGCTGAAAAAGAGGAGGAACCCCCTGCCCCCGCGGCGCCGCGGGTGAGGCGTATAACAAGACAAAGCGGACAGACAGTTGAGCGTACGCTCATGGTAGGCAAGAAGACAGGGATGACTTTGGCCGGTCTCGACATTATCAATCTGGTCAGCGAGCCTCTTAAGTGAACAGATTGTTTTGCTGCAGCTGGAGCAGAAATGTTGCAATAAAGGATCTACCTACATGAAGCTTTAGTTGGCAAACAGTCTGCAGCTTTTTCCACACGAGACAAGTTTGTCATCCCCTTTTTACAGGCCTACGGTTGTTGTTTGATATCAGCTTGCAAGTCTCCTCGGTGTTGACGAGACGGTGATGCGCGACATCTACTTGGGGACAGACGCCTGGCAAGTGCGGTATTTGGCCCTGAAGCTTTTCGTCCGTTTGCGTTGGTGGCTACTGGGAATCATCAGTCAAAGTCTGCGGCTGTCCAAGGGGACGGAGGTTCACAAGTAAGAGCAACGGAATATGCAAGAGGAGGCAAGACACACCTCACTGTTTGGGACGCTTGCGGTGAAAGGGGAGGGATACCTGAAATGGCATTCGGTTGGCAAGGCCTTGCGCTGCAGTTACATAGAGCATTCTCCTTCAGGTTCACAGGTTTTCTGCTGCAGCTAAACACACAGCACAACAGTTGTTGAGCCTTGTTGGTGGTGCCAGTGAATCACTTTGGTTCTCATTAGGCTCGCATCAAGTAAAGTACTGAAAGACATGCAGTGGCCGAAGGACCAAAGGATATGCGTTAGGACTTTTCAGTAGGATTTACATTGTGGGTGCGCTGCAGCCGAGTGACGCTACTGAAGGCGGCTGGCCTAGACTTTCGACGTGTGAGCCCAGAATGGGCTTTCAACCAGCTGTTGCACAACTACACGGAAGAATGTTTACTCCACATATTTGCAACTTGGGCGTTTACTCTCGGTTAGCTTCGAAGCCCTGGCATTGCTTGCTTCATGCATTATTCATGCCTGATCTGTGATTTACAGCACCACGCATGCATGACGAAGGATGAAGCTAGCTCAGTAGGGAAGGGAATCTTCCGAACGGCTTGTGTAAGTGTCCTATCAACTCGTCTGTTCCAATACCCTTGACGGAGATATTGCAATGTAAACTGCGTGTATGTATGCGGGTACAGATCAAGCCACCTATCTGCTGGAAGACGTGAAGCCTCCTCCGGCAAACTTTACTCTGAACGACGAGATTCTAGAAGTTTTCACGGGGCCGGAAGGTGTATGGCAAATCCTGAAGCACGAACACACAACTAGGGGAGGAGAAGCAGCAGATGACTTGTCGGACGGAGTGCCGTTGGCTGCTGTTTCCTTTGTGGATCGGATCCTCAGGAGCAAATGCAGCACTGACAAAATACGAGTAAGGCCGTGGCCTCTAGGACAGCATAGCGGAATACCGAATGAAACTGTCAAAAACACCAGCTCTAGTATGAATGTTACGTGATCTGCAGAAAGTGCCAGGGTACAAGCCCCCACAACCTGAAATGCTTCGCCCAAAGATGGCCGTGCGGGTTGTGAAGGCCACTGTGAAAGCGGGGAAAGGGGCAATGGTAGGTGGTGCTGCTCCCGCCAGGAAGTCAGCAGGCTCCCATCTGGACCCAAGTACGCTCTACCTTCTTAAATTTACGGCGAGCGAGCGCTTCTTCAACATTTCTGCTTACAAACAATTCCTCAAAAGGTTTTTAGTCTGTCGATCCGCTGTATTTGTTTGCAAGTGTAGTTCCATCATTGTGCATCCTGGGCGCTCACACTTAACGTCAGAGTTATGTTTCCTTTTTCTCAGTTCTCTGCCGATTCACGGTGGTGCACACCTCCGGCACGCTTGTCTACGATGCTACCAAATTTTGCACAAGCGATGCAAACGCCTACACTGTCGCTCCCAGTAGGCCCAACATTCTGCTTGTGCAACGTTCCTAGAGAGCCAGTTTACTAAGGGTGTTGTCGTGGCATGCTCTATTTCTCAATTCATAATTCATCCTATGTTTGCGCTTGCCCCGTTGGCCGTAATTTTCTTTGTTTTACACACTGTTTACCACCTCTCACATTTTCTCCCCTTGCTCAGCTAAATGCCAGAGGGGTTCTCTGAATATTCAGCAAGCAGTTTGTACTGGATATGGTGTCCAACACGAATTGTTATTCGCAGGACTTCGAACGCTACTGCTGCAGAGCAAGCTGGAGCTCATGCGCTCTCTTGTCGAACATGAAAAGGCTCACGACGTCATTCCCCCCGACTGTCTCCGTATCAGCGTAACCAATCGGTTTATTCAGTACACTAAGGACAGCCTCTCGGCAGGATCGGCAAGTTATTAGGGCACACGAACAGCTTTTTCTGTTGCTTTTACACACTGGGACCGCTTGAGAGCTATCTGTACCAGTTCTGCATTTTCTTAAGAGCCTTCTGGGCCAAGGTTGTGTTCTTAGCGGCTTTTAGCTTGAGTGATGCCTACGCCAACTGTATCGTCACAACAAGTGAATGAACATTCTGCGTCTTCAGGAGGCGCCGCAAACCAACTTCATTGCGTGCGTCAGTGCACTTCGACCATTCTCGGCTGCAGATGCGAATGGGGAGGTAGCGTCCTCGTCAAAACTCAGTTCCTACGTGAAGCGCTGGAGGCAGAACAGCCAAAGCGAACAAAACCAGCGGGCGCAATATCAGCAAGATGCGTACGCTTTGATGACTAGCGCCTTGTGTCATGAGCCGCAGCTTCCTCCTCGCCTAAAAGCCCTCTTGGCCAGTGAAGCTAAGCTGGAGCGTAACTGCAGTGGGTATATGTTAGGATTCAACTCTGTTCACGTGTGGAAGCAACTACACGATTTGCAGGTGTTGGTAAGCCGTACATTAATTGATGGATAGTGACATAATAGCGTGTACAGAGGAAGAGTCTTCTCTCTTGCAATCGCCAGCCTTCGTGCTGAAGTCCCGCTTGGCTGTGCCGTGTGTATATGAACCTCCCACAGACCTACTGCACAACTCGCTACCTTGGCATGACAGTGCGACTACTGTATAAGGAGTTCCTCGAACTCTATGCTATACTCTGTATCCCAACTTCGTACGAACAGCAGACGACTAAGCTGTTATTACAGCATCCAGATCCCAAAGCAGCCAGTGCCTTTTTGCTTCAGGTGCGTTTACTAACCGTGCTAAAAAACCACAACCATACTTTGGAGGTGGCCCGTTAGCCAAGCCATGATAACACTGGGTCTCTGAACAGCTGCGTACATCATGCGTACCTCAAGCTTTACTGCCCTTGCGTATAGGCCCTGAGGTTTCCTGATACAGGATATCAACTGGGAAGGACTATGGTGTTCTTCCGCAAGGCTGCATTCATAATTTTGGAAAAGACGTAAGTATGGAGCTCCCGTGGTTGTCTCGCGCTCCCCAACTGAATGACAACTCAAGATACAGTTGGTGGGCGCTGCGCTAAGTCCAGCTATTTCGTCGAAAGACCGTGCGACAATGACAGATGAAAAGCGTATGAACTGTGTAAAGCGGACTGCCTCCGTTCTTTCCTTGGCTAATGAACTTCTCCAGTCCATCGAATGTTCTGAGTTTGGGCACTTTCGGCGTTTCTCTTTTCAGGAGAATTGACTACCTTGAGCGTCTGGTGCCAGCTGTTACCCGCGTGCAGCGCATTTGGCGAACTGTGAGGGAACGCGCCTTCGTGGCGGATATGCATTGGCTGTGCGTCCGACTGCAGAGCCACGTCCGTCGAGTCCTTTTCACACGGGAGCAAAAAAAAATTCAGCCTCTCAAGGACATTTTCTTTGGGGCCGCCGTAACCGCTGGCATAGCGTATGCCTTCCGACGGTTAGGCCTTAGTGACGAGGTGATCCATTCCATTGAGATGAAGTGAGCTCCACCCTGGACACAACATTAATGCAAACCTTGGAGAACACTCTTTTTCCCGCTCAAAAACGTGGTGACGGCTGCTGTGCCTTCCCGAGAAGCCACTCGCAGACGCTCGTGAGGGATGGTAGGCGGAGCGTAACCTCTCGTACATGGCTGAGATTTGGTGGGTCTGGAATGCAGGTATAGGGACAGGGAAGTATACTGTCTTCGATGGTGCGCTGCCGTGTGTGTCCAATCTTGGTGGCGTTCAATCATGGCACAGAAACAGGCGGCAAAGCTCCGGCACGCTGCGTTCTTAGAGTACTGTTCCCTTCTTGTACAGGTACTGATTCGATAGTGCAGTTAGTATCCAACTGGAGGTGTATTCGGCAAAGGGACTCCTGGTTTAGAAGCGTACCAGCACGAATAGTCGTAGGGGCAGTTGAAATCGGGTGTGTTGCGGCTTGCTGAGTGATTCCAGAATGCGTGGAGATCGTTCAAAGCACAGGCCGTCATTTTGGAGAAAATCACTGAAGAAATTATCCCAAACCGAGCAGCTACAAATATACAGCGACATGTCAGAGGGTAAGGAATTTTCAGCAGAAGTGCATGGATGGAACGGCAGTTTGCAATCACCGAGGCAAGAGACGGGACAGAGGTTTGAAGTGTCTGTGCAGGTGGAGGGAGCGCCGCAAGTTCCAAGAGCTAAGAGGGCTTACTATGGCATTTCTGTCTATTCAGCGGAAGGGGGCCAAGCTGTACAGCATGCGCGTCATGCTGAACTACCGGCCAATCATCCGGCGGACGACAGTGATGAGAGAAATGATTTCGTAGGGCATGCAGAGTAGCTCTTAAGCAAGTGAATAGAGCTGAGCTGTACATGTTTTCTGGTTTGCACTTTAACAAATAGTCAGTATGCCTATTCATGGGGGAGACAATGCTCCAGGTGCGTGGTCATTCCGGTGCTGGGATTCGAGAAGTTATTTTTCGTTGTGTTGTCATGTTCCTCTTCTGTTCAGGGTGCAGCTGAACACTTCAGTTGTTCGTATTCAAAGCTTCTTTAGGATGGTCATTATAAAGCAGCAATATGTACGCCTTAGGAATGCAGCAATGCTTTGCCAAGCTGGAGCTCTGATGAGACTTCGCCGGGTGAGACATCCACTTCCTTTCTTATCTTGCGGGCGCGCTAGTCCCAGCGCATACCACTAACTTCATGAGCAAGCCTTTTGTGCACGGGCAACAGGTTAGAGATTTGCCTGAAGAATGCCACCCGGTGTAAACGTCCACGAGTTGTGTTGAGGGGCACGCGTAATGATGTTTTCAGGGTGACTTTCTCCTGGCAAGGCGCATGGTTGTGAAAATCCAGCGCTGGTGGCGTTCCATGCTTTTACTACGGGGATTGGATGTGGAGCTGGCGCTACCTCTTCCCATTCAAATACCGAAGGTGAGGAGGGGGCTCCACCCGAATGCGATCGGGGGACTGACATCGCTAGCAAATTGTGTATTGTTCTCGTTGCATGAAGCAGGAATGTCTGGGTGACGGCGGTGCTTGCCTACATCCGACCAGGGCTGAAGACTTGTTGCTCAACTTATAGTTTGATTTGCTAGAAGTGTCTCAGTGCCGCATGAATATCCCGGTGTATGCTACGCAGAAAGCGGACTCTGTGGTCAAACGGCGAGAGCATGTTGCTTTCGAGCTGCTTCGACCTCATTTCCTTCGGGTCCAAGGGGTGTTCAGAGTCGAACGAATGCGCCAGGAGACCCACTATGCCTACCCAATCAGCCTGAAAGCAAACTGCGACTGTCGTGGTATATATCCTCGCACGTGGGCGCAACCACTTCAGGATCTCTTGGCTCAGTTAGCCATAGCTACAAGCCAGCAACAGAACGGCTACATGACTGAGGCCACACATGTGGCGCCGGTTATGGTACGTCTCTTGATTTATCATGCGTAGCATGCAATGGTTGCCATCCTTGTAACTCCTAATGGCGAAACAACTGCAAACGTGGATTATCGGATTGACATACTCAGCGGACTGCTATTGATCTGTTACTCACTGGCTCACTCGCGGTAAGGAATCTGTTGATGCGGGGCTATTTGCACAGTTTCACGACATGGCAGTTGGCGGCCACCACAGTTTGGTGCTTCTGGCGGTGAGACGACCGGCTTCCGAAAACTTCGCCACCCGCGTCCGGGCGGTCGTCAAGGGTGGAAGCTGGCAGGATTTCAACCTAGTGCCGTGTGTGTATGCATGGGGTTGGGGGGACAGAGGACAACTTGGGGAGTCTCAGACTCCAAGAGAACAGGGAATGACTTGCGTTGGCCCCCTGAAATTTGTGGACCGCGTCTTCAGAGATACAGTGGACTTGGAAACTGGTAGGCCTGCCGAATGTTGGCCGTTTGGGGACATGTGCAAGCACTTGGCAGCCAAATGCATTCAAACGCGACACATATACAGGTATACCATACTGAGAGTGTGATTGGTATTTTATTTACGGCGCTTGTAGGTCATCTGGTGCAGCAGCTTGTGAAGGAGGTCGACTATACGCACAAAATATGCTCTGTTGTAGCTGGTCTAGACCATTCGGTCGCCCTCACTAGCGAAGGTATGGCTTTCGCTTGGGGAGACAACTCGGAAGGACAGTGTGGTTTGGGCCACAGGCTAATGTGGGCTCGATCTCCAACCTTGATTCCTACTATACGTAACAATGGCATCAGACTGAAGAGGTGAGTATGCGTGCACGTAGTATGTAACTTAAGCCAAATGAGCCACCTTACAAACTGCTCCATTCACCCACCAAAGCTATATTTGAAGAAGAAACCTTTTTGCTTAGATGCACTGCATGCTTGCGCCTCTTAGTATCGCGGCGGGACCCCGGCAGACAGGAGCGGTGTGTTCGGACGGGAAGGCGTTGATGTGGGGTGCTGCCCACTTTGTTCGACTACCCACGCTCATCCCGGAATCGCATTCTTACACTCCGCGAGAGGTACCCGTTGATTCGTCTGAGGAGGCAATGCAGGTTAGTTTGAAATGCTTTTAGAGAATACTGTTCTGCACCTTCGTCAGTTCTGCAAGATCGTCCACGTTTTGTCCGATCGTTTGCTGGCCACGCTGCTATTTGTTTCTCAGATTTGCTGCTCTTCTGGATTCAACGTGTTAAGGACAGCTCGCAGCAGTGGCGTTTTTACATGGGGGTGCAACGACAGTGGTCAACTGGGCCAAGGAGTTGAAGACAAAAAGTCCAGAGACGTTCCAACGTTTGTTCGCCTTCCCACGACGCCGGCTCACCATCACGTAGTTTCGAAGGTTGCTGTTGGGACAAGGTTTGTCGTAGTGTCTCTTCAGCAAGCATCGCCTTTTCTGTACACTTGGGGAGCACTGCGTGTAGTAGAAGTCACTCAGAAGGCCTCCGGGATCCTCGACGGTGTAGAAAGTAAGAAAGCATCAGCCGCGGCGGAGCAGCGGGCTGCTGCAAACCCATTTCTGAAGTTTGCCGGCTTCAAAGTACAACAGCCGCAAGGGAGCAAAACGCAAAGCTTACCCGCTATTACGGCAGACAAAGTGAAGGCGATTTGCAGACCGACTCGTGTTTCCCACTCTCTGTGGAAGGACGATGCTGTAGTAGACATAGGAGTCACGGGCACAGACGTTCTGGTGAGTACAAACTGAAACTTTAGCTGGTTCGAAACTCTCTGTGCGTCTTTTGATGGATATAACAGTTGCACGAATAAATGCAGTACAATTTTTCCGTGTTCATCGCCTGCGCTTACGGACTACAACAGGTCCTGTTTGAATCCCGGGTCGTTCATGGTTATTCCGCCTTGGAGGTTATATATTTGGGAAAGCCTGCGGCCCCTGTCTCCGTGGTAGAAGAGCGTGCTACCGTTCAGTCTTTCTTTTTCAAACAGCCAGCAGCACAACCCAAGTTGCAGGAACCACCTAAAGAAAAGGCCATATCGTGCGAATTAGAGCGCCTTAAGGGAGAGTTTACGTTGGAGCCTGGCATTTACAGCTTGCGGCATCTCAAGTGCGCTGCTTTGCACGGAAACCTAGAGCGCTTGTTCCCCTTGAATGCTTCCACCCCACATTCTTGCCGAATTCGTCATTCGCATTGTATAACTTCACGCCTGTGACCAATGTTTGCTGCTTGCTCTGATGTGTTTCCCTAGGCCCTTAATGATGGCTATACGGTCAATTCACACGACCGGAAACGCAGTCTCGCTGTCTTTCAGCTGGGCGAAGGCAGTGAGGCCGACGAGGCAAATGCTTGATAATATCGTCAGCACTAGAGAGTCCAGAATGTTAAACAAGTACAAAACAGCAACAGGTCGGCTAGTACTTGTATTTGCAGCCTCGAACACCCTACAAAACTGTTGCAGTTTTCTCTCAAGCACGATATGCGTTGGGTCATTGCTACGCAAGTGCTAACTGTAGGCAAATATCATGATCGATGAACAGTTTTAAGTGTACCTCAATCCATACATAACAGAGGCGTGCCGCAACAGTGTGTTCACGTATTTCAGGTGATCCAATACAACAGCCAAAGAACGTACTTGAACGAGACCAAAGCAAATACCGGGAGATTCTGGAAGCGAATTCCCGTCTTCTTGGCAGTCCAGTGCTCTCAAGAGAGGTATTGTTACGCAGACTCTGCATTTGTTCTCTCACTAATCAAGTGTGCAGCAAAGAAGCTATCACTAGGGCGGCATTAGTTCCGTATGCAGGGGGCGTAGCCGCAGCGGTTGCATGTTGCTATGCAGGCACCTACTTAGCGCAGGGGAAGCAAGGCATGACACTCCACAATTATCCAACCTTAACAGATAACATTCGCTTACAGTGTAGTGCATGGGCATTGCTAACTCTCGCCTAGGTTTGCTTGTGTGCACGTCTCAGAACCAGTCCCGTCTAAGTGCACAGCAAGCAGCGGAGACTTTAGTGCCTGATTCATCTCTTATGCAGAGGATGCGTGCCACTTACAGTCTTCCTAGCGGCTGCAATAAGAGCATTTCTAGCGATTCAGAAGGTGGAAACGGTGCGTCCTAGGAATGCGCGGCACGATAAGTTCGCAGGTCTCTCCAGTTAGAGTGGGACCTTCAGATGTCATTCACACGGTAAAAGGCATCTACGCGTTCTTCAGGTACCGGTTATACGGTGAAAGGCATTTCAAAGGCACAGTAATCAACATTCTTTTGCCAGTGTCGTCACTTTGGCATATTCGCTCACCGCTACTTCCGCAGCAATAGGTTTTGTCACCTGGCATTTGGGCCCTACGTAGGTGAGTGAGGCCGTCTGATGCACCCCGTGACTGGGGCATGCATAATATTGGCCACACCCTGGCTGTCCGGAAGCATTTCATTTTTTTCTGTCGCGCAAAGTCGCACCCAAAGCATCGTCACGGTCACGCCGTGTGTGCGAGTCCGATGGTTCCCAGAAACCCAAACAACTCCACGGTTTCGTCCGCTGGCTAACAATAATTTTTTGGTTTATGAAGTTACGTGCACCTGTACTTTATGCGCAAACTGCTTTTTTAAATGAACAGCTGAAGAACACGGCGAATATTGTTCACAATCATTTGCAGGCGGAACACCTAGTGTACGGAGCCTGATCCTGACGAGAATTTTAGCACGCACGATCCTCCAAAGAGAAGATCCAGTGAAGCATCGGCTGCACTTCGCGTGAAGCAGCACCTCCTGCATATGGTAGTGCATTTATAGCCCGTTTAACCTTAGTTTCTGGTGTTCGGTTGTTGGACTATCTTGTACAGACATGCAAAGTGGCTCAGGAAACAAAGTGATTCGGTGAGGCTGTAGTGAGTCAGTGGAAGAACGCCTCAGCGGTGGGCGTTTGAAGCTTGGAATAAGAGATAGCGAAGCCTTGTCTTTGTGTTTGGCTTGCCTATGACTAACGCAGTGAATGCCCTCTGCATTTGTAGAAGTTCAGAGTTCTCACGGGGTTATTCAAAGCCCATCACAACATTCGGAAAAATTGCCCTCAAATTATTCTTTTATTTGGGAAACAAATTGGCAGTCAAAGTAAATTGTCGTACTATCTTGTATTCGGGAGGGTTTCCAAGGCATATCGTCAGCGCCCAATTTGCCTGTCAATGTAGTTTTAGTTCAATCACTTTATGGGTTCAGGCCATTCAATAATAATATCACATATTACCTGTGGCTGAGTGATTCAAAGCCTCTCAATCTCTTGATTATTACTAAATAGTAGATGAGCACTACCTACATAGTGAAGCACATAGTGCGCCGCAGGTTAAATTACTTCGTTCCTCGAATGAGATTGGACGCCCCAGTAGTCCCAATTGTAAACAATAGGCACTCGGAATACAATATCCTTGAGTTCTATTCAAACACCCCAATGTGTACACCGAGTTGCACGGTGCAGAACAATACGCTACGGGCAAAAGCTGCGTCTGTTTTCCTTGTGGAAAACGGGGGGAGAAACACGTCGAAGAAAAACCTTGAAAGATAGTGTTGGTAATAAGCTGCTTCGCTTTCCCGCTAGAAATAGGGGGATAAAATGATGAGCAACCGCAGCGACAGGACCATGTTAAGCCTCAGGCTGGCCGAGTGCCAGGAGTGCAGTAAGCGCGGCAAAACATGTGCCTTCTCTCAGTTTTGTCAATCCTAACCTTGATATGTGTCAACCTAATTCATTGATCTCGATGCAGACTTGCACAGAACCTTCTGCTTCAAGCCCTGAGGGGTCAAACTCCCATGCCTAAAACGGTGCCTCGGAGTCACGCCTACAATTCGGGTAGGTGATGATCCTGTTTTGTTAAAGGCACGCTTGACTTGAAATTTCGTGATTGCGTGGTTTGTCCGGAGGCGGAGGGCCAAGTTAAAGGGACCAACTGCACGTTTGTGCAGCATTCGTAGCAAGTTTAATCGAAGGGGGTTGAGTTCCTCACAGAGCCGAAGTGTGCGACTGTGCACTCTTCGAATCCCTCGTCTCCGCCTTCTTATCACTATACGCAAGCGCAGTTGCCTCAGTAGAGCTTGCAGCAACGCAGGAATGCACGAAAAACGATATAGGAAGAAATTACGGCACACGACGTAGTCACTTTCAACCCTAGCCACTTTGTGTTTGTGGGCTGGTATGCTTTCCGGAGGGCGCAGGAGAGTGAGATGTTTGTGGATTTTGGCACTCGTTGGGTAGGGCCATATGCTTGTCGTTTCCCGCACAATGCAACTTAGATTTGGGCCTCCTACAACGTTTTGGGCAGTTGCTTTTTCTGGTGTGTAGACGGGCAAATTTCTGTATGTCTGTATGCTCTTTGGAGTAAAATATGGTCCGAACAACTGTCTAGTTTACGGTGCCGAAAAAAAGCCTTCGTCAGCTGTGTCAGTGACTGGCGACTAGTTTGCAGGCTGAAGAGTCAACCATATTACCAGCGTCCGTATTTGTCTTTTCTCCTCTAGATCACGTAGTTCCTCCTCAGTTACCGGGTATTTCTGCTCCTTGCCCGTGAATCGCTTTAAGCCAGAGGCGACTATTTAGCGTTTTTTTCGAGCGATCAGCATGCTGAGAAAACATTCGAAGGAATCAACGCAACCACCACGCCACAAAGAAGTCGTGTAGAAATCAGGGAGAGCGAGTACTGGAGATTATTGCACGTGTCTAATGGGGTTTGTGGAAACATATTCTGTGGCCTTTGCCCAAGTAAGGTGTTCTTCCTTCTTGAGTTGACAGTTAGAGGATCGGCGATGCAAAGACATTGCGAAATATACTTGTTTTATGGGAGGTACTTTGGAAACTTTTGAATGCCCGGGCGAGTGTCTTGCTTGAGGCCACGTCTCGATGGCCTGAATCTTACCAAGATTTGGTTCAAATACAGCTGCAGAGACACGAAAAACCGGAAAGCTAATTCACTGCATTAAAAATGACCATCTTTGAGCTCTACGATCTGCTGTTGCTCAAGTAGGGTGTTGCAGAGCACGAGACTGTTGCGGCAAGTGCTCCTCGACAGTCCAGTCCAATTTCAGCAAGATTTATATGCACATGCCTATCCATTCTTCATAATTTGACCCCAAAAGTGTGTCTACCCTGTTGCCAAAGTTTGGCAGCTGAATTCACCAGCCCCAAGTTTGCGAGTGCGGGTATGGAACGCTGCCTTATCTTTTTTTTGTGGTGTATTGGGATAGGCAAAAATGCGTATGCGAGCTTTTCTAAGTGCATTTAAATGCTCTCTTCAGGTTGCGATGGTCTTGCATATTTCGAAACGAAGCTTGGAGCTACCACGGAAGTGAATGGGATGCGACGCATTAGGCATCCAAGGTTGCCGACCCGCTAGACGCAACTTGTACTTTGGACTACTTGATCTTTACCCCCGTACATTTACCAAATCCTCTTGTTCTTGTGTTAACCTGATACGATCTCCCGAGCCTGCGATCTTCGAAGAGCATATTTTTGGAGTTCATGAATTTCTCCGTCGTTGCCGGCAGCGCCTCGCCGCTGCATTGAATCCCTTTAGCTGCTTACACTGAGCTTAATCCTCTTATTGTAGAGGAAGCAAATGCTATAGGAAGCGCTAACAGGCGCACTCTGTCGTCGCTTCCCTGCACATGGACTTCAATCAAGGTCTCCACAGACCGCAAGTGGGTCCTCTTCTGCGCCACCCACAACATGCCTACGATTATGTCTGGGTAAATGATTCCACCGTAAAAGTCTTACATGAGGGTAATCTAACCCCTAGCTAAATTGGTCCCCACACTTTCACTGATCCGCATGCCGTACCTGCCATTGACCAAGCGCAGTGAGAGCGACTGCGCCAACGAACACACAGGTAGATTACACCTCCACGCCGTAGTTTATGACACCAGATCCGCTTTGCAGTTTCTCTCAAATAGCGCCACCAACTCCAGCCCAAGGAGAACTTGGGTAAGCATAAATTTCATTCGAGGTGGGGCTGAAGGCGAGGCTATCACCCCTTCTCGCCCCTTCACTGCGCCGCACGTTGCGTAGGCCCCAACGTTGCCCTGACCGGTATGCTGGTTCCCTTGGAGGCGCTGTTCAAAAACTTGACTCTCCTGTCCCACGGTTGCTTTCATGGGTTAGAAATGCCAAATTGTGAGACTTTCCGTACTGCAGAAGAAGCCAATTCACCTCTCGTGATGTTCCCCTGGCTGTCTGAGTGCCGGATTCTCCCGGCTCCCTGAGTACTCGCCTCTGATTTTTGCGTGGGCCGGATTGCCGTTGACAGCTCCAGTATTAATAGGCCCTAAATATCTGGGTTATTTCCAGACACTTTTTCTTTCCCATGCCAGGTAGGGAGGTGGAAGCGCTGTTTGTTCTGTTTCATCTTTGCTCCGCAAGTATTCCATAATCTTGGGGAGTTCCACTCTTTAACCCCTTAGTTACCTTGTCATTGCCAAACAATTTATGGATTGATTATCTCCAAGGGGCAGCCCTGCTACGAACCATTTATGCAAAAGCTGAGGATCCACTCCTGGACAAAGGACTAGTGCGTTTGGCCGTAGCGTTCCATCCATAGCATTCATTGTTCAAATTTTGTCAATTCATATATCCTGCAGCCTTCATGGCCTGGGAATAAATTTATATAGCAGCTTCAGATGCACATCTGGAAGGTGGTACCCTACCTGTTATAAAGCCAGTATCGTCGGGCTCCTGGTAAAGTTGCTGTTTTGTTCCTAGCAAAGCGCCTTCACAGCTCCTTTATTACCGATCAGTGCCCTGAACTACGAAGCCAAGTTGGGAGAGTAAGCTTCGCTCTGTGTGCTTGCCTCTCTTAACCAAATGATGCTGCCAAACGTGCTGAGAGTCATGGATCTGAGCAGAGGACTCTCGTGAGCCGCAACAGACTTGAAAGAATTAAGAAACGACTTCCCACAAAGTCGCTAACCTCCCCTCCAATCATAAGGTGTCCTAGGCATAGCGTCTCTTAGGCCTGGGATAGTGCGTAGAGAACCTGGCCTTTCATGAATTGAAACTGACTTTGCTGTGCAGCGAGATTCCTTGGCACTATCTGAAGAACGCCATAATCTGCGATCGAGCCAAAATGCTCATGGCAAGAGCTTCTAAGAAGCAGCTGAACTCCCTTCCAGTCCTCAGACGTTCTGCTTACAGCGGCCCAAGGGCCTGGGGTTAGGGGATAGCAGGCGGCCTGTCATTTGTTGCAACGCACCTCGCTGCAACTAATGCTGTAAGGCACTTCCATTTGCAAGCGCAGCAGAACCCGCCGTTTTTTCCGTGCAATAATGCTGTAGAAAAATGCTGTGCTTCTGGTCGAGCGCACGCTGCCCACTAAGGCCAAGTAAGTATTCCTGTATAACCACGAAGCACTTCATGCTGCATGCTGCAACTACTGCTGGCAACCCCACAAGCACCAATACTGAAGGTAATTGTTACGCACTTAATTGGCTATCAGTAGCCAATCTGCACGCGAGCGGAAATACACATGCTAACTACAGACAGACCATGCTAAAATGCCGCACTTGCAGTGATTGAAGGATAAAATTTTTAGGCCCGTTGAGGCTACGGTTTCACCTTTGCATAGCGGGTAAGACAAAGAGGAAATGAAAAATACAGGACGGGCTAAAGTTTTCCTTACTGGTCCGGAAGTGAGGACAGACAAGTATCAACAAGGTAAGGCTAGACAGCCCTCGTGCTTAGATACCGTGCAGCACCTAGCGGCAAGACACAGGCAAAGCAATCAGAAGGAGGACTTCCCTGATTGAAATGTTAAACTTAACTTGACAAAAAATAGAGACAAATGCAGAGCGAATTGGCTCAGTTGTTCACTAGGTAGCGGAAGGAATGCATGAACGGGCATACGCCGCCATCTCCCAGCCCCGTCGGCTGCCAGTAGCTCTTAGTTGTGGCGTCAGCCGGTGAAACAGTGTTCCGTTTCTGTGTGCCCCCAATTTATGTGAACAACTAACCTTATGAAGGACAAAGCATTCAAATGTACCTGAGTGTAGGGATCTCACTTCCGTCCGCAGTATCGAGCGAATTCGGTGTTTCTGTTTTCCTGCAGTCACAGATTTTCTTCATTTCGCAGTGAACGCTGTCTTAGAGGGCTCTGGGCTGTACATGTCCGTGGGGCCCCCGCCAGAGGGGGGCCCGCAGCTACCTGTATCTTTCCAGGGGGATCCGTTATTGCCTGGGGCCAACAGCGCCTGACGGTGCCGCTTTCGAAGCATAGAGGATGAAGGGGTGGAATTATCTACTTGGGCTGCATCCGCAGCAGCTGCGCCGAGCGCTGTTCGGTGCTGCTTTGTTACTGCGACTGTTGCTTTTGGGATATGGGGAGTGGCAAGATTCTCACTGTAAGAGGGAATAAGTAAATTTAAGTCTCGTTCCTCCCGGCAAAAAAACGTGCCTTTCATGGGAATGCAGTTTTTTGCAGTTAAAGGTTACGGTCTTGTGGTTTCAGGGTGTCGGGTTTGTTATTTCAGTGGCCGTGAAGTTTACTGACATCGATTACAAGGTGTATACCGATGCTGCTGGACATATCTTAAAGGGTGGCTCGCCGTATGAGCGGCATACTTACAGATATTCCCCTTTGGTGTAAGCTCACCTCAGAATAGCCACACCAGTAGAGTTAATAGCAAGAACAGCAGCAGTCGCGACCACAGCAGCAGCAGCAGGAACATCAGCCGCAGCAGCAGCGCCAGTAGGTTTGGGTAATATGTTTGATCTGGTGCAGGGCGTACATGTGTCTTCCAAACTTGTTGGGCTGTCCCTTTTTCGGAAAGCTGTTGTTTTGCTGCGTTGATATGGCGGTAGCCCTGCTAATTGAGGTGAGACCGTGCTCTACTATTACTCTTTTTCATTCAGGGTACTGTCTGCGGTTTATTGTTTACGGTCAGCTTTTGAGGGATGGAAGGGTAGATGCACTGAATCAGCTGCCAACTGTGGTGGTCTGGCTTGCTATATTCCGCATAGAGGGTTTAGGTTTCAGGAGCAGGGATTAACAGGCTCGGTTTTAGGCTTAAGGGCTGAATATTTTAGTTGGCCGTATGCGGTGCTCTGGCCACAGCAGGGGCTCTGGAGGATATACCTGCAGCGCCAGAAGCAGCAACAACAGCGGCAACAGCAGCAGATAGGCAAGTCATTCTATTGGAGACAATCTGAGCGCACTGGAGGGCCCACAGATGGCTGTAACACCAGCGCCGCTCCCCTCAGCAGTATCAGTACCAAAGGCAACACGTGCAGCAACGACGAGTATCCTTTGCATACATTTTTGCTGCCTTGCTGCTGCTGGCTGTTTCACCCGGTTGTGGCTACCGTCAGTGCACGGGGGAACGCCGACTCTGTCCCGTGCCTCCTCGTGTTGCTGACATTGGCTGCTGTTAGAGCCCAAAGGCTTCTCCTCTCCGCAGTCCTGTGAGCTGCACATATGGTGCTGCTGCTTGGTTGCTACTGTTGCTGTTGCTACTGCCTCCGTTTTTGCTGCTTCGTGTGGGCCCGCTTCTGCCGCTCAGCAACAGCTGCGGTGGGCGTTGCTGTTCTGGGAGAGGGGCGTCCCTGATGCTGCCTGACTTTGTTTGCAGTATCCGTTTGCATGCTGTTTTCTCCTCAGGTACGGGCTTGCGGTGCACCTCAAGGTTTACCCGGTGATCTACGGGGTGCCCATCCTCCTATACATGCAGCAGGGATTGCTGGTGAGGCAGCTGTTGCGGCTGCCGCCTTTTTGAGTTTGTTTCTGCCCCATCTGCTGCTGCATTGTGGTGAAATAGCGTGTTTTGTAGTGCTGGTGCTGCTCGTAGGTGTACACATAGACTGCTGCTATCACTGCTGTTGCTGCTATCGTTTTGCAGCCTGAGAACTTAACGACGTTACCACGACGCCCGACGGGTTTGTGGCAGCAGGTGTGGTGGGGTCTTGTTAGCGCTCCCCTGGCCGCGTTCCTGCTGCCGTTCCGAGTGTGCTGCTTCTTATTGCGGAGGATGGGGCTAAGGCAGTGGATTTTCGGCCTCCTATCGGTTGCAACTTGCTTCGCCCTGGGCTTTCTCTTCTACTATATGTAAGTCTCTGCGTTGTCCTTACAGGTGACGGGACGCGCGTGTGCCAATTTCTGCATCGCGGTACAGATTGCCGCACGCGCGATTCCTATGGTTTTGCGGGTTTTTTGTACACCTGTAGCAGACGGATGCCCCCGATGAGCGTTCACAGCATTGTCTGGCGCCGCGTTCCGCTGCAGTCACTTCTCTTTGTTGGCTGGCAGTTTTTTTTTGCGCCGAAATAAAAGGGAGCATACAAGCCGATCACAAGCAATCGCTGCTGCCGTTCTTGTGGCAGCGGGGGCTGCATCAGCAACAGCACCTGGCGCACTAGCTGCGCTTTGACTGCTCAGCTGTGGCTACAACTAGATTGAATACGTTGTTGTGCTCGTTCGAATGCTTTTGTAGAGGGTCGCTGGGTCGGGTGATTCCGTAAGCATGCATACATCTGCACTGTGGCGCAAATTTTTGCCGCAGGTACGGGTTTCCGTTTGTTTTCGAGTCTTACCTTTATCACGCCACGCGCAGCGATCACCGACACAACATGTCCCCCTACTTTTATCTGCTCTACCTGGATTCTGTAGCCCCTGTGAAGGTCAGCAGCGCCTGCTGAAACGCGCCCCAACGAAAAAGCAGACGATTCGGGGTGTATCGACAGCTGCAGTGTCTCGCTGTCTCCTGCACTGATTGAGGGAATCGTTCCGTTGCCCATTTGTATGCAGTTAGTAGCTTGCTTTTCTTCCGCTGCTGTTTCAGTCTCGTGTTTGCTTCCGTGCATTATAGTTGTCATTCTTGCGGATGCCTGCCCTTCTCGGTTATTTTTTTTTGCCTTGCGGCAATACATAAATTTATTTGTTAGAAAATGAGCCTTTAATTCTTTCTTAATGAATTGAGTATTCTTTAATATTATCAAAAGAATATATTGTCGGTAATATAACAATAAAAGAAATATAAGTCCTTTTTTTCAAAGGAAATCAAATTTCCTGCCCCGCCCCCCGCAAATTGTAGAGTACTATGAATTACTCTACTTTTTGCCTCGCTTCTCCCTCTCCTTATTTGCTAGTGCCCTCCATTTGCCGCTGTTTGGCCTGAATGAGTGCCTGGCTTCTCCAATGACCGTATTTTGTGGTGGTATCTTGAAGCAATCGCAACAAAGGCAACAACAGCAGCCACAACGACAGCAGCAGCAGCTGCGTGTATCTGGATGGTGTCTCCTTCCTTAGGGTCTTTCAGTGGCGCTGCTGTTGCCTCAGTTGCTGTGCGCCCTTCTTCTCGGCTGTTTCTTTGCGGCGTCTAACCTGGAGGCTGGCTTATTCCTGGAGGTAAGTCATACAAATTCCGTTTTTGTTGAAGCATTTGAAATGGATGCAATGGATGCCAATGCGCCCTTTTATAGGTATTAGGCTGCATTGGACAGCCTTCCCTTTACAGGCTCTCTCCCAAAGCGCCCCATGCTTCGGCATTGGCTGGCCTAGCAGGCTTTCTCCCTGCTAACCCTTTGTTGCCTACTGTTGTAGCAGCGCGCGGGAGCACGGGACTGGAACAATCCTGTGTGGCGACAGCAGCAGCCGCAGCACTGCATCACTGCAAAGATTAGAAACCCACAGTGGTCTTGGTTTTTTAGGGGGAGAGGAACGTTAGGTGATATCTTCTTTACGTCAGTTTGAAGACCCCTTAAGGTCTAGCTTGAGAGTCGCTGTGTCACTGTGTTGCTGCTGCGCAGACTGTGGCCTTTGTGGCGCTCAACAAAGTTTGCACTACTCAGGCAAGCCGCAAATTTCACGAAAGTACATCGGCGATAACCCTTACTCTGCTCCTCATTGGACCCGGAGACGTTCACTCATTTGCTATCTGGGATGCGCAAGGGGTTTTATTTCTCTTGCTGCTCTGAAACTCCCTCTAATTGAGGGTTTGGGATTGTTTGGTTGGTCTATGTGTTCGCAGTATTTTTTGTGGTGGCTGTGTCTGCTGCCGTTTGCTGTGGCGGCCACTGACATGAAGAAGGTAGAGACGCAGCGCCGTCTGCTTTTCCAGTTATTCCTCTCTGCAACGGATTTTCAGCTGCATCTATACGCAATTGCAGTCGCAAGCTAGCTTCGTTATCTGGGGCTAGTTTGGGGCAGGATGCTCGCAACTCGACGACGGGTCGCCCTGTAGTTGTAAGGGGTTTGTTGCTGTTCTGCTGTTTGCGCAGAACACTCTATTGCAAACGGGGCTGGCGATGGTGGCGTTTCAGGTGGCCTCTTTGTTTTGGTTGTTTTATGGGTATCAACTCGAGTTCGAGGGAAAGCCTGTTTTCCTGGAGGTACGGAGGAATGGCTTTTGGGCTTTCAGGCACATGAGCGGCGTGCTTGCCCACTGGGGAGTTGGTGTCTCCCCCACGTCGTGTCTGGCTGTCATTACACTGGAAGCAGCTCTTTTGTGGGCTTAGCAAGCTTTCTATTGCCCCCCCCTTGCATGCCCCTACTTTGTTGCCTGTTCCTGGTTACTGCGTCGTCGCGGCTATGCCTTGCTTCTGCCTTTCCGTATACTGAGCACACCATTGGGTGCGTTAGAGCCTGCATTGTATCCACAGTAAAGAGGCACTGCTGCAAAGGACCTGCCCGCTAGCGACGCACTGTCTTCAGGGCCTTGATGGATGCACTTGACTGTTTGCCTCGTAGGGTATTTTTATTGCGCTCATCCAAAGTGCATATGTTATATTTCTTCGTCATAATTTCGTTGTTTGCCACTTGTTTTTATCGCTTGCTTACGCTGCATGTCTTGCTCGGAATTTGTATCAGGCGCTTCGTCTTTCTGTGTCTTCAGCTTTCTTTTGCATCCGCGGCGTTCGCCAGCACCCAGATCGGCATCGTTGTATTCTTCGTGCACAAAATTCGCGCCAGGGGTGGAACAGATAGGATCAAAGTGGGCGCGTCCGTCTCTTCACAGGCTACGTTGCTGGAGAGGAAAAGAGCCTGATCAGTGGGGCTATCTGCCTTTCTCTTGATTCGCCGGGCTCTCCACCCCTCTTACGTGTTTCCTATCCATTATCACTTGTCTCCCGTCCCTCTTTGCGCCTCTGCCTTCCCTCCTTTCTTTCCTCTTGTCCTTTATTGCTTGTCTCCTGCCCCCTGCAGCTCTGCAAGTAGCCTGCCGGAGGCGAGCAGTGCTTTGGCCTGCACACGGCATTCGCTTATATAATAAGCGTGAGGGGCAGCGGGGCAGAGGCTGTTGGCACACTGCGGAGGGACAGCCGAAATCTTCACGTCTCCAGGGAGTTTGTGTACCCCTGTAAACACTTTCAGGAACTTTGTCAAGACAGCAGGGGAGCTGCAGAAGCACCAAAGACTGGTCTGCTGGCCTGGAAACGAGACATGGCGGGGACTGATTAGGAAAGGGCAGAACTAATAACAAATAGTTGCCGACGAGATGAAGGCGCGAGATTAGTCTCTAGCAGAACTTGTTAGACAGCATTTCGACTATGTGCATACGTAGAAGACGGAGAAAAAGTTAAAGTGGAGGGTTGGTTTAGACAGGAACGAGACACGACCGGGGTTAAGACAACCAATCGCAGTGGTCTCCGCTACAATTCTACAGCTGTGTACACTGCCCCAGCGGCGGGCAGCTGCACTCTGAACGTCTGCACCTGCAGACAAAATAACTTAGAAAAAGGCTTATCTTACAGAAGCACGAAGGCGTAGCGGCATATCAAAGAGGTCGAGCGACTCCAATGGACGGGATAAACGTGAAGGGGGTCTAGTCTTTGCTTACCTTTGCAGCTTGCCGTTGTTCTGAGGATTTTTCATTGCCCCCCTGTGTAGCCACGTGGAGGCAGAAGTTGCACCAAGCTGTGGCGCAGCCCAGGGCATTCCCCTCCTCTCCGCATCACCACCAGCTGTGGCTGGGACGCATGGAGACTGAAGGGGGTTTCAGTTACTTCTTGGAACAATTGCTCTGCCCAGCTTGACTCACCTGAGGCTTACGAGTGTCGGTGGCTAAGATCGACTACTCTCCCTGCACTTGGTAGCCTTTCATGGCTGAGACGGGCAAGCGCGTGCAGCGAAATCCCACGGTGCATTGAAGGCGCTTTACGACAAAGACGGAAGAAACCATTTGATGCTCTCTCCAAAACCTTTTTCGAAAACCCAGGCTTTTTGCCTGCGTGGAAGATGGGAACTCCTCAGGAGCGGCTCTGCGCAATTTTTGTAGCAACTACAGCAAGAGGACTGTTGACGATTCTGAAGATGAAAGCACTGCGCCGTAATTTTGCAACATGCCCATGCCCGCCTTCAAACTCATCACAATAGGTTAGCCCTGCAGCTAAAGTGGGACTCCCATGAACTGGCCAGGCGCAACACGCCAAGGCCCGCCTCCAAGCTCACCACGATAAGCTGGCAGCTCTCTGCAGCAAGAATTGGGTATCCGTACACCGGTCAGACGGGGCAAGGCGTATCGGTGGTACACTGAATCCTCTTTTGTCAGTGCCGTTATTTTGACGTATGCGGTCACCGACAAATCCATAACAATGGATTTTGTCACTTCACACTTCGGGCCCTAGAAAGGTGAATGGAAGCGTCTGATGCAACCATTGGATGGCGCATATTGAAGACTAGAGGGATCATCCGCTGGCGCTGGCTGTTACCAATCCATTTGTCTGCTGTGTACAGTCACACTCAAACCATGCCCAAGCCCACGCCGTGCTTGCGAAATCGGTGGCTTCCCACAAACCCTAATGCCTCCAGCTCTTTTCTCCAGCTGACAACTAAAAGTGTGCTAGCTTATGAAACTTAGTGCGCCTGTATTGACAAGTGCAAAAGTCCACTTCCCAATGAACGGTTGAGCGATCGTGTGAATATTTTTGCACAATCATTTGCAGACGAAAAACCGGGGGAGAAAAGCCCGCTGCTGAAGAGAATTACAGCATGCGGCCCCCCCTGAGGCGTTTCCAGCAGTTCACGTGGGGCAGCTCCTCTCGCGGATGGAGAATTGCACTGCACAGATAGTCTCGTTCAGGTGTGAACTATGCTGTTTTGCTACGGGGCATTGTTGAAACTGGCAAAGTGAATGAGGAAACAAGAAAATAATGATGCTGTATAGAGTGTGCGCAGGAACGGACGGGAAGAGGATGTTTGAACTATGAAAGAAGCGACCGCGACGGTTTGTCTTGGCTAGGCTCTGACCAATACGAACTCCCCTGCATTTCTCCAGGAATAGATCATTCAAAGGGATATCTTTAGCCCGCTGCCAAGCTCGACGAAATTGCAGTTAGCTTGTTCTCTCGACTGGGAAGTAGAATGGCAATCAAAGCCAACCGTCATTTTGATAAGTATTCGAGGTAGATTCCGAAGAGCATGCTCATTGTCCACTTTGTCTTTAAGTGTCGTTTTAACACAATCATCATCTCACCAGTGGACAGCTCGTGCAAACGCACCACAGACTGTATGCGAAGGTCATCCCTTCAACGACGCAGATTGAACTGTCGGGTTGCTGTAGTTCCAAGAGCACGGGCAAACGTTGTAGGCACACAGAAACGCGCCGTTGCATATTTTAACGAAGAGATGACGACGATAGTACTGTAACACTCGGTGCATGACTCCTCTTCGCTGTTTTCTCAGCTCCCACAGGCTGCACGTGGTCAACGGTGCGGCTAACATAGTGATCTGTAACGAAAACATCACTGCATTACTTGATTCAATGTATAGTTGGATGAAAGAGGCTATTTATATTCCTGTGGAGCTGGTTGAGCTGGTTGAAATTTCTGGCGCTTCAAGAGTCCTGACCAGCGGTCATACACTACGAACGTACACTCGCCTCGGTAGACCGAGTTGCAAAAAGGTGTAGGAAAATAAGTTTGGTAATAATCTTCTTCTGTTTTCGGGTGGAAAATAGAGGGCGGAATTATGGGAGACCGCTGCGGCGGGACAATGCTCGGTCGAAGACCGGTCGAGTGCCGCCAGTGCAGCAGGCATTGCACTAACTGCGTCTTCCTTCGCATGTTTGTCAAACTTGAACCTGATTTGTGGTTTCCGTGCAAACTTGAACAGAATCCTTTGCTTCAAGGATTGAGGCGCTATACGCTCATGCTCAAGGGGCCCCGTGGAGTCACTCTACCGCTGAGGTAGGTGATGCTCGGGCTTTTTGCTGAGGCATGCCTCACTTGAGATTTCAGGAATATGGTTCTTTTTCGCCCCTATGACAGCACCGGTGAACCATGTTTCTTCGAGGTATACGGCAGCAGCGCACGGCTGGCGTTTAGCCGGTATTTCGTTGTGGCGCATGTGGACGGCTTCCTTTACGTTCTGGACAAATACTTTTGCATTTTTCGCCTTGTGCCATCTAGAGTAAAGCGTAGCTGTAGTAGTCTGACCGATCAAGCACGACGCAGCGGCTCGGCAGGGCCGGGGCCACCGATTAGTGGAATTTCCCCTTCGGAAGCAATCCGAAATGGGGAGCAGGGAGATGGCCGGCCGCTTGTTGCAGAACAGCAGCACACAGGGGTTTGCAGCTACCAGATGGCCACGGAGGAAGACCATCTTGAAGGAAACCAGCTACTCGTGCCAGTACGCATTGCAGATGTGATCTCAGCACTGTTTCGGGCTGAAAAACGTGCTTTCTCCCAGCTCTTTACGGGAAATAATCAAGTTAGTCATGCCACTGCCCATAGAAAGATCCCTTTTCAAATTAACGTGTCAATGTGAAATCCGTGAAGTGCTTTGTTGTACACGAAGAAAACTGTATTTGATGGATTAAGATCTGCATTTAGGAAATAATTCAGTAGGAGGGGTCAGCTACATATGTGCATAGTTTGTGATACGTCAGGGGGGGGGCTTGCATTTGTGCGTTGGTGTGGCATCAGTATGACCAGCGGCAGCTGCAGGGGCTTCGACAGAAGAGCCTTCTCCTGAGCAACCATCACGATGGGTGCCTGTATCTTTTTCTCAAGAAGTTCCTATTGCGCGTTTCATTGCGAGGCGCGGTCACCGTGGTGGGAGACTTACTTGAGCTGGCACTGGCTGCTGCTAGTCGTCTACGTGTAAGTGGCTCGCTGGGATCCGCTTATGGAGGAACCGCCACATCCGCTTCTTCACATCTTTTGCGGGACGATGACGGCACTGGGCGCCAGGGTGATATCGCCCCTCTCCGCCGAATATGCAGCGTTGGGCAACTTTGCCGCGAGTTGGCCCATGACGAGGACGCTTCCTCCAATTGTTCTGATGCTACTGCACGGGAGCATGCTAGCAGTACGCCTAATTTTGAGAATGCAGCTGAAGAGGAACAAGAGCGAGGATCTCCTGGTTCGGGGCGTACTAGCACACAAGAGTGGGAGTACCTGAGAAGCATGCACGATTGGGCTCGTATTCCAACAGAGCAGTACCCAGATAGCTTATTTGCATCCGGACGTCTGCAAGAATTTATCGCATCTCGAGGAGAAAACTGGGAAGTCAATAACTGCTGCATTGATGGCGAAGGCCGCTGCTTCTTTACAGTAGCTCGTAGCAAGGCCATGTCTCCTGTTGAGGAAAGAGGTGAGGCCGATGTATTTGGGTTTAGCTTTACTTGTTGTGCACTCACCTACCTGATACGGAAAATCGTTACTTTAGACAATGCTGTCAGTAACTTTTGTAATTTCTGATGTTCTGTCACCGCTGTTCAGGAATGGTTTTCTGTTTGGACACTAAAGGCCCTGTTGCCCGTGCCGTGGTTTTGCGCTTTGGTAGAGGAATTACCCAGAGTGAAGTCCTCAGCCTATCACTAGCTGCCCACCCAAATAGCGGATGCATCCTTATGGTTGCAAAGAGCGCTGCAAAAGTGCGCACTGGTCTAATTAGTCCGGCGATTTCCCCACATTTGTCATTAGCTACAGATTGCCATCAACCTCTAGGAAATGCCGTCGCAACGGCCATATCTGGCGGATTGAACAGTCCCGAAGTTGGCGCAGGGATGAGCAGGGCGAGCTCTGCCTGTGCAGTTGGTGAAGCAGGGACACTCGCAGCTCTGGCGAGACTCTCTACCACGCAGTATTCCAACGGAGTCCCATCTGCCGGCGAGACAACGGTGACAGGCCAAGGAAGTGAGAGTGCGATTCAGCGTAGCAGGGACAATACAATAATACAAGCGGGTACAGGGGATGATGCTGCAGATTATCCGAGTAAGAGCTGGTCATCAATACTCCTCGCTGTATTTTATTCGTAGGAGGCATTTGTGACTGGCAGGCAAACGAGCATCCCCGCCATTTCGTGTGGCTGACAGAAATATCAAGACAAAGTGGTAGTTCACTACTGAGTTTGGCGGGTCTGTCTGCAGTTCAGGGCGGCATGCGGGATCAAGCGAGACATAGGGCAAGCACGAATCGTTCCGTCGGGAACCTCCAGCCGCCGAACTACCCTACGGCTCCGCGTGAAGAGGCACGCAGCGCACACCGCGAAGGGCAGCAAGCTCTTGACGAAGAGCGGAACGAATTAGTAGCTGAAGAGCACAGCAGTTGGTGGTTTTGTCCCTGCGATGACGACCCAAGTTTCTTTTACCCTGTTTCTGAGTGTTTTGATGGTAAGCTGTTAATTTCATGAGAGCTTGCACTCACGCCTTCAGCAGGCAGACATTGGGTTTGCTTCTTGCAGAGGGGGTTCGGAATTGCCGTGTTCGTGGCTCAGGCGCCTCTGCACAGTTTTACAAGAGGTGCTGTTTGTGTTTGTCAGATGACGCAATTCATGGGGCAGCTCAATCCATTTGCCGCCAGTTTCGAGGGAGTGCAAGCAGCAGTGTGTGCCGCGCTTACTTTGAGGATAATAGTGGAAGCGCGCTTCGGGAAGCAAAAGCGGCCGCGGCAGCTGCGCGCACTGCAGAACTTACGATTGCTGCTACAATACAGGCAGAGGAGCAGCGCGACTGGGGTCTGGGACTGAAGTGCTCGTCCACACTTTCTGTAGCGAGTGCAAAAAGGGAATCCTGTAAAGGAGGAAACTCTGCGCGAACTGCTGCACTCAAGGCTCTCAGGGAAGCTGACCTCGCGACATCCCGGGCTGAGTGCACAGAAAGCAGTGGATACATTCTGTGGCAGCCGGGTGTCAAAGTTCGGCGACCAAAAACGGGTGAAGAAGCTATTAATTTCGGGTCTGCAATGCTCTTCCGTGCCCGCACCACTTTCAGGAGAGAAACCGCTCCAAGGTGGATAACTGGCAAATCACCGTCTCTGCAACTGCCATGTGCTTCCGATTTTATCACCGGCGGTGAGTCGACGTAACGTTTTTCCCCGTTTTTTTTCGAGCCCAGTAAACCAGTGTACCTTCTTTCCTCATTCGTGAAGGAAACTGGGCTGGAGCAGTGGGAAGCCTTCTGCCGCTAGCTTGTGGTTGGACAGCAGCAGGTGCTTGGATAATAACCAGTTAACTGGTTCCTTAGGCGTGCGCCCACTGCGACTGTTTATTTGACTTGCAGAGCTGGTAGCCGTTATCAGTCAAGATGCCCGGCATTTGGAGGTGCGTGACGCCTTGCCGTCTCCTCTAGGCTTGATTGTTGTTCCTGCGGAGGCGGCAAATCGCATTGTCAAGCAACAACCGGATGGCGTTTCGGGTCGTATGACAAGTCGCAGCAACATTTCGCTCACATCATTTTTGGCGTCATTTATTGCGGGTAGCTCCTCAGGAGCGCCTGAAAGGGAAGACCTAGGTGGTGTAACAACCCCTACTGGGCAAGGAAGCGTTGAAGATGCCAGACGATTTGCAGCTGAGAGCCAGGTGGCTGAACCTCCTCTGGCTGGAGCCACAACTTCAGTTGCTTACACTAATGCAATGCAGGACAACGCTCCTAGAAGGCCTGTACCGGCAGTCAACATTGTTTTTCTTGTTGATACCTTGAGAGTGTGTCGGCTTGCGGAAGCGAAACCGACACAGGGGAGCTTGGACCAGAGCAGTTTACCGCCAATGCGCAATCAACGCCTGCTCGGCTTAGCCGATGCAGCTTCCGGTGCGGCATGTGACAATCTCACGCATGAATCCTCCCAGAGCTGGAAGGAAGAGAAAAAACGTGAGCAGCAGTCTGCGGGGGGCTTGCCGATTAGTGATACACTGACACAGTCGCCTTCGGATTGCAAGGGAAGCAGTTCATGCTCGTGCGGAAAAGCCAGCGCTTCCTTAGGAGACCTTCCCACTCCCGTTCTGCACTCACACTTCGCGGATGTGACGCTGCTTTGCGCCGATGGCTACGAGGTATCATCTCACAGAGCATTGTTGGCGGCGCGATGCTCATTTTTTGAGGCTAAACTGACACGACCACATTGGGAGGCCCGAGAAGCTGACAAAGTGAGGCCGACTTGCACCTGATTAATACTTCACATTGTTTGATGAGCCTTGATTCTGATAAGTATGTAAAAACTAGACGTAGAAGAATAAGAAAGCTCACGGAAGCCTATGGAAATGCATTGCGAGACCCTCTCTACCTCGGTGTCTGGGGTTGCCGCAGGTTGTGATCGACTTGCGTGGCTTCGCGGGCTCCGTCGTGCAGACAACTGTGCGGTTTTTTGAGACAGGATATTTCGTCATCCCTTCGTCGTGCTGCTGTCCCCATTGTTGCGTCGAGCGACGAAGTAACCGTAATGAGCAGTACCAGGCTCCGCAGCAAAGAGGCCTTCCGCCTTATGAGTCTCACTGCTGCTGCAAGGTAGACTGGGTCTTGCAGGCCTACACCTTTGCTGCATATTGCCTTCTTCAAGATCTTAAGAATGAGCTATTGGCTGTCTTGGCTCGTCTGACTTCGCAGCGGACGTGCCTGCACGTGTAAGGGGTTTGTTGGACATCTACTTTCGGCACGGATACGGCTAGGACATTCACTGAAAGATTCAGTTTAAAATGCTTATTAGGTGAGATTATGTTGAAGAGGTATTGATTCACTTGGTTGTGCACGCTGCGTGTATCTTGCAGGCTCACACACCCAGCAGTACGTAACCAGCGGCGCATATTGCAGCTTGCTGCCCATCAGCTCGTTTATCACATGCCTATGCCGAATTTGCTCCTTGAGGTTGACAGCTGCCGAGACTGGCGGTTGCCTCCAGCTGACAACAGTTCATCAAAATCGCAAGAGAAATCACCTCCAGGCGGAGGGAGGACTCAACGACAGAAAAGAAGGAAACATTTGTTAACCCAACTGTTAAGTGAAGGGGTCTACGATGTGGTGATCAAGGCTCTCAGTGCTTGGGTCTTAGTAAGTTCACTGGAAGGCGTCACAACCATGATTAGGCCCTTAGTTCAACGTTTTATCCTCTGGAGGAGGCGTGCGGCTCTTATGAAAGGCCGGTTGCTAATGGGAAATGTGCCATCTTCGGCGACATACATTTGGAGCCCGTTGGCTGCGTGGTTGTAACTGTGATACAGGATACCCAGGAGAACATAGTATTACTAGCGAAGCTGCACTTCTTGAGGAATTGTGACACGCTTTCGCCCCGTCTGCGTCCTCGCCAGCTGTTAGTGTTGTTGGCCCTTAGGCTTCTTCAGGAGAGTGTCACTGCGCCTCTGTCTGCGAGGAGTGTCTGCCGGGGACCGCCAAACAGCCCATACAACGTCTCTAGAAAATCCAGAACGTCTAGCCCGACAGAGAGCCATTCAGGTCCAGAAAGCACGATGCCTACGTGGGAACGCCCCGACAAGATATCTCTTGTAGTCCCTTTGCGTGATTCGCACGCCGCACTGCGCTACTTCTTATTTAGAGACGTTGTGCTTCTTTGGGCCAAAGTACTCGATGTCCCCGAAGAAGAAGCCAAAATCGTGGCTCACGAAGTGGAGTATTCGTGCCTTCCATAATTAAATCGATGTTTTGGTTGTTTGAATTGCATTGCGTTTCGCTCTGGCGCGTTGCGCATTCCAGTGCTTTCACCCCCAGCACTGTTTTTCTCCTACTTGGACGTACTGTCCAAGTTTTCAGGTACTCTGTTGACTTGATAGCAGCGTGGGAATGTACAGGTCATTCAGCTATTGCCCATGTTTCCCAACTCTGGACGCCGGTGCCGTAGGTCGCGACAAAATACATGGCGCTAGGCTGAAATGTGGCCACAGTGGGATAGGTAGATCGCAGACGAGCCACTTCTAGTTGTAAGAAGAGCAAGTGATGTAAACGAAGCGTAGGTGCAACGGACACGGAAACCGTCATAAGTACAAGCTTTACAAAAGCTCTACAGCTCTACAGGTCGTGGAGATAACGGGAAGTCGCACGCGTCACTGTGGAGCTCTACAGGTCGTGGACATAACGGGAAGTCGAACGCTTCACTGCAGGTCAAGCAGCACTTAAGATGAGTAACAGGATGGTGCCTCTTGCAACATTATCAGACCTTGGTAGCTTCTTTTCTTAAATTAATCTCCCCGTACTCCTAACGCAAAACAATATTTCCCGGATCTACATACCGGATGACCTTCGCAGCTTCCGGGACCGTCTCGGTGCACACGTATCGGATACGGCCATACAAATCTCACAGCCCTGATCCTAGCCGCCTTGAAAAGTACATGTGAACGCTGTATGATATTCAGTTGTATAGCAAGTTAATGCGTTACTCCAATGCCGATTTGAAAGTTGCGCTCACCCGCCACTGGTGGGCATTACACCATGCTTATGGCCTACTGCTGAAGCACAGCCAAGTCATCAAGTACACAAACGCTGCGTCCGCAACGCTGCAGCTATTATGCGTGCAAAGCACTCTTTGCTTTGCACCAGTACACTTGACCGCATGGGGGAATACATGCATAGACGGCATCTCTAGGAAGCGGTAAGCTGCTGCTGGTAGGAACGAGCCCGTAGGCAGTGGCCGGGCACAGTTATGCTTCTTCAAGCAAGCTGTCAATGCGGGAGGTTAAATTTCGGCGGACTATTCCTCGTGCTTGTTGTAAGGAATGCTGCGCAGATAAACGTAGGACATTCGCGCATGCCACAAGTTTGGGGGAGCGCACTGTAACTCCAGTCCCTTCTAGCGGCGCAAAGCACTTAAATGGCCTTGCACACTCACAAAAACAGTGCTGCACCGCAAGGCATCAGCGAAGTGCAGGCGGATCTCCCAAAGCGCCGGACGCCCCATGCGAAAACCTTCTTTGAGAGGAGGAGCTGTCAGGCTGACTCTGCAGAAAGCACCGCAGATGCAGACGTCTTCAACAAAATACGACCTTTTCTAACAACTTCTTGCGAAAGCGGCAAACTGTAGCTGAAGGTGGAAGAAACGACAGAGGAAGTGCATGATACCGCATAGTAGGCAGTTCCTCTGCTGGTTCGCTGGACGGTGAATGCGAAGGTCCGTCGGCAGGCCGCACAATATCCAAAACCAGTAAATGCATGCAGCGCGAGCTGTTCGTTTTCAGGCGGCATTCAACATTACGCAAGGGATGGGAAGTCCTGCGTGCATCATAGCCAACGCGCAAATGGAAGCGCCGCATCAATTCCTGCCCAGAAGGCGGTCTTGCTCACAGCCTGTGACACGGTCAGGTTCCCTTCACACAAGTGGTACCTGATATCTCCGACGCCGGGAGAGATGGAGGACGGGGTCACGAGTAGAAGACGCTTGTCATCTTGCACGCAGTAGCGGGTAGCCTGCATCCCGCCAACCCACACGTTTATCAAGGACAGTTTTCGAATATGCTTGCCTGCACCAAAATCAAGCCATGAACTGCTGTATATTTGATGGAAACGATACCAGGTTAGAGCTCCAAATTACCAAGTTACCTAGGTAATGCTGAGCTTTGCAACAAGAAAACTCACAGGCCCAGAAGAAGTTTCCACAGTGCAGCGGATAATATTACGACCTTCCAACGAAAGTTCTGAAAATCCAAGCATTAATTCTGGGCATTCCCATGCCTTATTTATGCGGCATATATCATCGCCAAAGGCAATCAACAATGCTGAAACATTCCGTTGCAGTGCGGAGTGCGACATTCTGCCAAAAGCGAGCAAACTAACTGGGTGTTGCGTCTTCCCCTACTGTCTTGGACTCGCCAACCTGGGGACACAGGTCTGCATTGTCTTCACTTTCAAGAGGGTTGGGCTCCACAGACATGCCATTCAGGATTGATGACGCCTTCTGCGCAACAGCAGAGGCTTCATTTGGAGCTTCCCTGACGGACTGCAAGATTGCTGATAGATCTCGATGCAGTCGCCGCAAGAGAAGAAACACCTGCGTTGGCAAATTCAACACAGGTATCACTTCCCACACTTCCCATATATATATATATATATATATAATCGACAGACTCGTATGAACGGGCTGTGTCCACTAACGGAATAGCTAGTAATGCATACAACAGCGGCGACAGAAGAAGCAAAAGTTTCCCTCGCCAGCAAATAGAAGCAGTGCCCAAAGCTTGCAACCAAGGATAAACTACCTGGATGGACCGTCGCTCGATCTCCTGGTCAGTCGTGGCCACCAGCAGATATGGAGGAAACACACCGGCCTTTGATTCTGAAAACCAAGCTTGCAAATATCTACGTTTTTGTCAACCCTTTAGGCCTGTTGCACGAGTTTAGAGCAACATTCTAAGTAACTTAGTACAACATTCTAAGTAACCGAACCGCCGGGCCTAACCTGTCTGTGAGGCTGTTTGTGATGTTGGGGGGGGGAGGAGAATACGGAAGTCGCGGGCAAAAGCCGAGTCTGTGATGGCCCCCATTCTATGCACCTCCCATTCATCCTGAACAAAGCTCACAAAAATACTTTATCAAACTACTATGAAGTCACTTATTTCACCCGTCACTCTCAGAGCCTTTCCTACAAACAGCTCATTTAGCGTCTGCTTTACTGGTCGAAATTTCTTCGGTTAAAGAAACGAATTAAACTACGTACCCAGAAAACATCGATTGTGTGGCCGTCCGATAGTGCAGAGAGACAAAGTTTCGTCGCCACTCCCGCTGCACGTCTTAGCTTTTGCGCCTTGTCGAGAAGCACCTTCAGAGACCTCGCTCGGTATTCAGAGGATTGAACCTTCATAATGTGTTCTGTTATAAGCGTGGCAAGGACTGAGAGAACCATCCTGAAGTTCAAAACAAGCCAGTGAAAATTGAACAATATCAACGCGTGCAAGAGCAACACAAAACACGAAATGCCAGTATGCACATGACAGCAAGACTATTACACTAAATATTGCAAAAGGCAGGCAGCACGAAGTGCATTGTGCTGGAGATTACCGGTGAGTTTGGCAGCATACCTCAATGTAATTGGGCGTAATAATGGGTTGGGTAGGTGGGCGTGGATAGCATCCAGCATCTGTGCTGTGAAGCACCAGCTCATTTTGTCATAGAATGTGCACTCATGCACGCTGTAGGTACCCTGCAATTCGGATTGTCGATGAAGTCGTAGGGACGGACTAGGTGGTGCACTGGCCGGTAGCCACAAGACATCGTCAGTTTCAAGATGAGTATGCTTTGTGGGCGACGTCAAGCAGGCAAATGATTTCATTTGATGATTGTAGGTGTTATGCCGCGCCATAGTGATCCGCTCAGGTGTGGACGGTTCCGATTTAAGTTTCTGCCTGCCAGGCGAGCAGAACCAAAGGAATTCAGCATCATTATGCAAAAACGAACACAGGACTTCCATGCGGGCCATTGTTCAAATGCTCCATCGAGATCAATAGTTGCATGTCGGTGAAGGCCTCACCGAGAGCCCGCTTTTCCAAAACCCGAGATCCCCAAGGTATTTCTGCTCGCTGTAGGGTCCCTACTTGGCAGGATGCACGAACGCATTAAGACCCCCTGAAAATAGCAATCAAAGCGAATACTTCACCTGATGATTTAACAATGCATTATGGAAGTACCATGGCATCCGTGAAGCCTTTCGAGGAGACAAGCTCCATCCATTGAACTTACTTGACTGATGTAAACACCTGGCTCCTTTCTTCGCCTAAGTGACACCTTGCAATTATTTTGTACTACTACTGCGCCGCAACGACGGGCTACTACTCAGCATGCAAGCACAACACTAACCAAGAGCTAGAGGCTACCTGGTACGCTGCCAGCATCCATCATCTACCGGTGCTGATACTGTGCTCTGCGCTCGACTCCGGCATGGTACAGTGATAAAGGGCAGACTAGACGCACTGTTGTGGTGGAAGGATGGCGAAATATGGACTGCAGTAGAATAGCCAGCATCAGGAAGCAAACGTCACACTGCCGCTTCGCGAGCTCGCAACCATCCAGCAGCGTCAAGAGATACTGTTGGACAGGATTATGACACCACTTGATGTGATTCCCCTCCGTCTGCCCCCTGATTGACGCTCCACCCAGTATGGTGCCAACAGGAGAGGACGAATCTCTCGGCTGACAGGCTTCTCCCCAAGAGTGAAATCCTTCCATGCAATCTACCTCGTCAGAACAGCCCAGTCTATGGAGAGCATCCACAGACGTCGTCAGCATACGGATGCGATCTTCGAAAGACAGGACTGAATGCGCCTTCATCTGATCACCTGCAGGTGGAAAAAGTTCCTCGCCGGTTCCTTCAATAGCCTGACTGCTCTTTTTCCTCGCGTCACCGCCCTCACTAGTTACATCGACGGCCTCGTCACTGCTGGATAGCTCATTAATCGGGAGGAACATGTCTATATTCCCTGCGCATTCGGTCGGATTCCGCAAATTTCTGTAGGCCTGTGGCGTGGCTGGTGCTTTGGCAACTATCAAGTCGTAGAGCGGCTTGGGTACTCGCTGCAGCAGCAATGCAGCTACGAGAGGTTGAAGCAACTTTTCACTCTGAATGCACTGATACACACACAGGGAGGGTACAGAGAAACAGAACACCCTGTCAGCGCTATTGTGAATTGCCATTCCGGTCGGTGTAGCAGCTGCCCCTGCCTAACTCAAAGACGTACATTAAATGTCTGAATCAGAAAAAACAATACAAGCCGCAGCGCCCCGTCAGAGCTGGTGGAGCTTTTCCATTGGTTTTGTAGCTGGGCGTCTTGCAAATTGTTAGCTCGACAAGGACCAGAAACGTTGCTTTCGTCTCGCACCATACATGCGTTGCCCGCTACTTTCTCCCGTGGTCCTTCGCCAAGCCTCCTCGACACTGCTTCTGCTGCTCTAGCCCGCCATGATCTGCTGAGGTCGACCGTTTCACTAGGCAAACTATTTGCGCCTTCGTCAGTATATCCTACTTCGTCCACCGTCCCACTACCGCTCTTTGGGTTATGAAGATCCTCGGGTGTGCTCCATCCCCACATCCAACCCTGTTCAAGACGCTTTTCCACTTGGAGGATGCCTTCACGCTCACCAATTTTTTTTGGAGAGCCCATGCGGCAGTGCTCGTCTCCGCTGCCAGGTAACTGGAGGCAACCATCTGGACTGTCATGCGCGCTCGCCACCGTCTTCACCGAGTCCGAATGGTCCCGCCCCCTCTTGCTCTCAACCCGAAGTGCAAGCATGCCTGCGCGCATGAGCATATGCCTACACCGCTGACTCCAATGGGGATTGCGTACACAATGAATGCATTCCAGTTTACAATGGGCCACAAATCTCTTCCTACACTATACGCGGTATTCCGTCATGAAGAAGCATATCCTGGTCTCCTAACCTATAAGGGGCAAGTAGCAGTGCACCAGAAGACGCGCTGCAAGGAGCTCTGAGAACTCCTCAACGCCCAGACTGAAAATATCTTGAATGTAGAAAAGCATCTCTTCTATTTCTAGCACTCCATCCTGAACGCCACAGATTGGTGAGGCACCACGGTTAGCTGTCAAGCGTAAAAGTTGGCCGTCCAATAGCTCCCGGAGATAGCACGCAACGTGTGAAAAGAAAATAGGCCGCTCTATGAGAAAAGCCCGTAGAGAGAGGTCCTGGACTGTGCAAACATCCACACACAGCCACGGATTAAAGACACGCAAGCTAACTCTATTCAACGCAAAGAACATGTACAGGATCCACGGTAGCGGGATTCGAGGCCCTTGCCAGCCGATCTGTGGCGGTCGCGGCACAAACAGCCACGCAGGTCCTTCGTGAGGAAAAAGGAATTGATAGGGTCCTAAAATTTCTTGCCATTGGAGGGGAGAGTGGTACCTCTGAATATGCTGAGAGTCACGTTCCGCGTGTGCGTACGGACCATCGAATCCTTGGCTCTGAAGAACTTAACGGATTCGCTGTATATTGGGAAGTGCTTCGCTCGATCGTTCAAGAAGAGCTTTATTGTGTCCGGATTGACTAGCAGCGACAAGCTCTTGATGAAGGACACATACCAGCTCGCAACCTCTTCATCGTCAAAGTCAAACTTCGTGCTCAACAATGAATTTATGTAGTTGTTGCTGAACATGTAATCTGCAACAACGGAGTGCACATTTACCTCGCCAACCCCCATAGGTTTACAATTTGCTGTGAGACCTTGATATAAGGCTCCCTGCATGTGCACGTACGTTGCACGCATAAAACGATGGCAGCTTCGCTCAAAATTGACAGCGTCTTAGAGTGTGCCAAGGGTAAGGTTCCCTCTTCGCACTTACAAACCGCCGTTTCTTTGTTAATGCTCTGCACTATGATGCTCAGCGTCTGAAGAAGTTGCACTTTGACTGCATTGGGGATGGTCGGCTGCTCAGCCAGTTGCACAAAGTATGACAGGACATTTTGCTCGCAAAAAATGTCGAAGTATCCTCGATTGTTGTTTTCTCCCCAGACAAGCACCTCAGCAACTTGGCGCAGCGTTTCAATCGTAAAGTCCCGGTTCCTCTCGTCGACAGCGTCATACGGCGGCAGGGAATCCAACAACCTCCTGCGGGACGAAAACCCACCCACCACACGAAGAGGCGCGCATGCGAACCTTTCGAAGTCATGATACTTATCTTCCCCCCATCGCTCGAATCGTTCGTCCTTACAGAAGGTGGTCGCCGGAGTAAAACTCCTGAGGAGAGATGTCAGTCACATCTTTCTGCGGTGAGTTGCTCGAAGTTCCCCCCCAAAACCACATCTTAGTCGCAGATCTCCATGACAGCTCTGCGCGAACTCCCCGTGTAGATCACCGCGGCGTTTGGGAGAGCGGCATCCGTTCAGCATTCTAGTCTCATCTAATAGCTCTGCTTGTAATGGAACAGCCAGCCCAGGTGCCCAGGCTAGCTGGTATCTGCCTAACTTGCTAGTGTATCTGCCCAGTGAGGGCATTCATACTCGCGAAGACACTAGCTAAGCCCCCAAATCCCACCAAAAGCAGTTATGAAAGATTACGAAGCATTATTTAGGAGAGTCAGCGGCTGCCAATATTGGCAGAATTCAACCTTTTCGGGTGTTCCTACGTTTTGCCAGCCCCAAAACGCCGCCCTCTGGCTCGGGAGCAGCGGGCACAAGCCAGAACGTGCATTCTGTGGCAACAAAGGACTTAATTCATCATTCGACTGCTGCTCTTAACAATTTTAACTGAGTTATGAGCCTTCCGTAGCGGCCGGCACAATCCGCTCCCGCCCAGTGGTCCACTGCAACGGTTACGCTGAAGACTTCATGACTAGTAAACCTTCTTATTTTCGTTCCCCCCGGTCTTATATAGAATGATACTTGTTAGTCCCTACCAAGTCTGTCTTTTCTACTGCGGCTGATGAGGCTGGCCGCATGCAGAGGCACCTTCACAGGCTCCATACTCCACACACCATCTGAAATTGCATCCCTAACCGCGGGTCAGGTTGGCTACTGAGAGCCAAGCAATGTTCAGAAATTTTCTGCGTTTTGTATATGTATCGGAAGAGTGCTTGGGGATGGTTGCATACGTCGTTGCCTTGGGACGGTAGTTGCATGGAGGAGCGGTGTAACTAAGGGCAAGCCTCGGCCTCCCTGATTGAACGGTAGGCCGTTACTTTGCTGAGGCTAGGATGCCTGGAGACTGCATGGGACATCAGCTGAGTTTTTTTGGGGAACGCTCAAAAATGGTAACTACATCGCAGCCCGCGATTTCCTTTGCCTAGAGATAGGAGCACCCTCGTTGTATGTGGCGCCGACACCGCGTGGCAAGCTCAATTACTAGTTTCCAAGTGGACTCTTTGTTCTTTTCGCTCACCTTTTGTCCTATTTGATATGTTATTTTCAGCGTGTTAGATTTCATGGAGTTAGGTTCCTAGATTTCTCGCGTATTGCCAAATCAGACTAGCGACGTGCAGCATGACCCTGGTGCTTTGTGAAGGCACCCCTCCTCATGCACCGATTTAACCCGTACCCAATAAGTTGTTTATCCTCTCCCGTTGGCTATGCAGTGGAAATGCACCAGGTGTAGTGCGACAGGTAAGCTTTCTACCAGGTATATCCCTTCTACCAGCTGAGGCAAGACACGAATGCAACTGTTAGGCTGGACTCGCGTCGTCGTCTTTGCCAGTCCAGACGGGATAAACGAGTCAGACTGACAAATCTTCAAAGTACTCCAGTTTGTACTGCAGGTGAGCTTCGCTGCAGGAGGCCGCTTGTTGCAAGTTGTGTTGAGTTTTTGCTGCGGCTTTATGAGGTTTATGAGGTCTCCTAAATATGAGGCCACATGACATTGCAGTGCAGTGCATCCCATAGAGACTTATTTTTTTTAGTTTGCGCGCATGTATCCGTTAGATTTTTTTCCCTAGTCCGAGGGTCAGAGCCATCTTTGCGAAAGGAGGAGGCTACAGTGGAGGGGTTCCAGTTTCTCGTACACACTCCAATTAGAGCTGTGACTTCTGCCTCAAATGAACGAGTGATTTGCCAACCCCAGAAGTAGCAAATTACGTATTTCGTATGGAAAGAGCACAAAAATGAATCCCCAACAAAAGAACCAAGCACCCAAGGGTGGTTTGCCCTCTTCTCTTGCCTGGTGCACCGCCGAGAAATATATAGAGGACAGGGAAAAGGCTGATGGTCTGAGGTTACTCAGTGATGCACGCTAGGGTTTGATCTTCCTCACTAAGCTCATTTGCCTCCAGCAAGCATTTTAACCTCGACTGAGTATGCATGAGCTATGCTTGCGTCCCTTTAAAACGTACATCTTCCACTACTCTTCTCCATTCACGAGTAAGGATACCACGGGGATTTACCACAGGGATAAGAAAACGCTTGTAGGATCTACCAACACATGTTAAGGCATCTACTACCTCAATTAGCAAGGACTATAGTAAACTGTCTGCTCTTCTAATCACGGTCAAGAAAGTTTTTCGAGCTTGGTCAATGCCTCTATCTGTGTTGCGAACTTCGCAACCTGTCGGGTTTCAGTCCAATCACCAGTCCTGCACACGCTTCCCTAAATCTCATTAAAACCTATATTTTGTGTATTAATCTCACAAGGGGCAAGTTGAGGGGCTAAACGCCCTTGTGTTCGCAAGTATCCCGGCTGGCAGAGCGGCTCGCACTGGCCGCGAGCGGTGGAAAGAAGGCGCACTGTACACGAAGCAAGGATTCTTTACCGGATACCAACCAGCCTTTAGTACGGGTGAATGAAAACATTATATGAAGGAATCTGGAGAGATTTCTGTGAGCAAGGAACAGAAACAAAAAAGTACAGTAGCATGCCGCGTATTTTGAGTGGGTGACAGTTGGCCTCGCCACAGTGGGCCAGTGAGCGTGCAGTAGAGGAACTTGCAGCGAAGAAAATGTCGAACGACGTTTCATGTAGAGTAGAGTACATTATTATTAAGTGGGTTTCAAGGGAGCATTCGTATTCAAGGCCCAGAAGTCAGCTTCTTAAGCCACATTCCCTATAAAGATCGCCGTTGTGTCGGCCTCCATCGACTGTTCGAAGAAACGAAGCGCAAAAGGCAAGAACTACCAGTTCTGCACGTAAGCTCATTTCTCTTACTTCGAAAACCTGTGAATGTAACAATGGAGCAAAAGCTGGTCCTTGGATTGGCCTGAAGTGTCTTTAGTTTCCTGGCGCGTTGCAGCCGATTGCGGCTACCTCCACAATGGCTCTCATGTCTCTCCCGGTGTCAAAGCTGGAAAGTATGTATGTATCTTGGGGCTTTTCCTGTTCAGAGTAAATCCCGCTTTTCTTTACGAGTAAAATGGATTTGAGCTTGGAGCGCCACGCCTGGCTTCTACCTCGTTCATCAGTCGAGTCACCTTTAGGGCGTGTCACCAAGGAAACGCCCAGAGGCTCGGGCAGGCGTGCACTTCCATATTGCGAACGGCATAAAAATCAACGGAGACATTTGAATATGCCTGGAGCTCACCTTGACTGCCCCACAGGCGAGCCTGAAGATCCATGCAACTCGCGCGGCAAGGCTTATACGCAAGGCGATGATGGTGCACCACCAGAGCCAGTCCTCTGGGTCCGCAGACCAGCAGCTGCACTAGCTTCAACACATGCTATTACTCCATGGGGTACGTATGAATTGCAGAGGGGACCCTCTCCTCTAGAGGGTCTTGAGGAGTCCAGAAGGGAAGATACTCTAAAGGAAAAGGATCGTACAACACCCTAGAAAATTGCTGTTTTTGCTCGCGCTAAATCACCACATTTCTGCAAAGCTATGAATTAAGCATCCAGTGACTGCAAAATACTCTATTGGCTTAGATGAAGCACCGTCCTTACTATCTGTTGCCCGCGTTTTCAGGGAAGCTACTTTTGTGGACCCTAGCTATTATTGGGTGCATGGACAGGCCGGCCAACGCTCAGGGAGCACTAACAGAGAGTGGGGGAAGTGATACCTCGGCGGCATTGGCGCAGGCGCCCACTGAAAACCTGGATGCCATCTCCCATGGTCCAAGGCTCGCAGGTACCGAAACCAACATATCACAGAGCGTGCGAAGCGTACTCAGCTGCAATGACTGTACCCTTTTCTTTTTCTGCTCGTATTTTCGTTGTTTCCGGTTCGCTAACCATGGCAACTGAACTGACCCTAATGTACAGGCAGCTTGTACAAAGAGGTGTACTCAGTTATCTTTGGAATCCGTATGTTAGTTGGTAGTGCCTCCCTTGGTGAACGTGCTGCAGGAATACACCCAAGCCTCTTCGAGTCCGCGAGAGACACCAGCGGTGAGGTTATTGGCGACAGTTCGAGACTTGCACTTCGCAGCACCTCTACCGATGGATATGTACTGAAAACGCTAATAATAGCGTATAACCCTAAAATGCAGCAATTCAGCTTTGCATCTTATCCAATAAGTTCTTTCTCGGTCCACTACTCACCCTGACACAATGATTCAATATGGTTTGCTAGGCTTAAGCGGGATAATTTGCTTAAGCCTGCTTGAATGGCGAATCATGTGCCTTCGGATTTCTCCTCTGTGTCTATTCTTAGGGGAAGTTCAGAACGAGTCACTGGCTGCGGGAGAAGGCAAGAAAAGGGCGAAGAGACGCCAGAGTAGAAAACCACTTTTTTCGTTGAAGAGACAGAGGAAAGGCAGCTCCAAAGGAACGTCGCAGGAAAGCTTGTTGGCAGGGCAAACCGAAGACAGCGACGCAACTGCTGACATATCCACGACAGGTATTTTACTTGCCAGATAGCACAGCTGAATCTATATTTGGCGGCCTGTCGAAGAAGTGGCCATCATCTCCACAGAGGATGACACACGACACCGGCACTCCATGCACCCTATCAAAAAAGGACTTCCTAATTTCCTGTACAGTCGCCACTCAGCCAACAATGCAGCGCGAATCCGATTACCTGCCTGCCAGATAGTTGAACGATAAGCCCTAATCTGTCTCAGCGGAATGCGCTTCTTTTTGTTTTCTTCTCGTAAGGTTCAAGCGAGTCATTGGCTGAAGGACAGGGCAACAAAACGAAGAAGGGACTCTTGAGAATGAAACTGCCATTGTCGAGCAAAAAGAGAAGACGACGAAGTTCCCAAGGAGCATCACGAAAGGCATTGCTACCACCGTATGGAAATGAGAGCGAAACGGCTGCCGAAGAATCCATGCCAGGTCTTTCTTGCCAGATATTGCCTAGTGTAGCCCACCTGCCGTCAAAAAATAATGGCTTCTTCTGTCCCCGCATGAAGACGCCATTTCAGTTGCCAGAAAGTAGAAAACAGTAGTATGCCTTCGCTAGCGTGTAGCCTCTCACTAAAGCAACGGACAGGCTAAAAGGTTTTAGCAGAACTGTCCGCCAGGTGCGGTGGAATGAATGATATTGTGATATCCCATCTTTATTTCAGAAGGAAGTTCGAACGAGTCGTTGACTGGAGGCAAAGACAAAAAGAAAAAACTAAAGGGACTAAAAAGAGTAAAAGCAGCAAATGCATGGAGAAAACGCGGAAATAACAGTCCCCTTAGCACGTCACAAGAGAATTTACCAGTTTCTGGGAGTGACGAGAGCGAGAGCGAAGCTGTTCCAAAGCCAGGTAATTTTTCAATGGCACAACCGGGTGTGTAGAAATGCACTGCTGTGGAACCAATCTCAGTGTCCTTCGGCTTCTCCTTTGAATGCGGCTGGTAGAAAAGGTGGTTTGTAGTGCTAACAACGAATAAAGCAAATGGCAAAGGCCTTTGAGCATGTAGACTTACCTTCGCCCCGTAGGGGAGGTAAGCGGTTACCTGTGGTGGAAGTAATATGATTCGCGAAAATTTCAGTCTCGGGCTACTTGGAAGATGGTGAATGAAAATGACAAGCGTTGCCGCACAACGCCAACCACAGCATAAGTTGCTCACTCTACTGTTCTGTCAGCTTTGTCTAAACGCTGCAGGTGCAACTAAGGAACTGCCTACCGAGAGGTCCAAGAAAAAACGCTCCATGCTAAGGGCTTTCCGACAAAAGCGGAACAAAAAGGAAGGAAACGAAAAACAGCCCAGTGAGTTGCAAAACCGTGAAGAAGCATGCGCCGCAGTTCGACTGCATTTTCCCAGTGAATTAAGAACGCGTAGGGAGCAGGCTTATAGCTACACTCCCTACGCATTCGTGTACTCCCTGCTGCCTTCAGTCGCATTAGGAGTGGTGTTCGATGCAAATGGACTGGCTCAGATTTCGGATATTGGCAGGCAGGCACTAGGGAACTTCGCAACAAGTACGCTATATCGTGCAGTCGGAAAACAGCGCTCTGAAATTTTGCTAGGCAGTTGCAAACTGCCTTACTACAGCATACAATCAGGTTTGATTTCTCCTTCCGCTCAGGTGCAAGCGAGCAGAAGGAAGTATACGAAGCTGTTGAAGCTGCAACGGCAGATGGCGACTCATGCTTGAAAGCTGTGGTTGATATTGACCCGCGGACAGCTGGATACTTTCCTCATGAGTTGCAGTCAGTACGTCAGGGGCTTTTGATATACGAAGCCTGCCAAAGGCTCCTAGATGATCTAAAGAAATATAGCGGTAAATCTGTTTGAGAGGACCATTCCGCGTACACGTTGTGGCAAGCTGAGTAATTGGGGGAAGGTTGAGCAAGGTGCTTTCCTCTCGCTCAGCGTTGGCGAATGCCTTGCTTGCGTTGCTGTTTGCGAATGTGCAGTAGGTGCTGAACCAAATGCCATTTTAGAAGGTAAGCCATACCAGCCGACAGGATAGAGCGCATTGCAGCAAACGTAGTTTATTGGAATTATCTGAGGTGTGCTGTAACATAGCCAGTTGCATACCGAGCATTTTGCGAGAATGACGGCTGACGCAGGCATAGCCTCGTTACCCAAGCCCGGAAGCAATGTCAAGATTCTTGATGACTTCCTCCACGCCAGCGAGCCGGTGTTTACTGTACAAGCAGTGGAAGGGCAAAGTGCCTCAGTAGACGGCTTCGAGCAGACAGTCGACGTAGTAAAGCTCATTTTTGCTCCAAACCCCGGTTGGTTCAGTAACACGCACCAAGTTGTTGCACGGGAGGTTAGACTAGCATGGACGCTACATACATTGTTGCTCTTTCGCCTAGGCTGATTCCTTCCATTAACATTGTTGTACGTTGGAGTCCTAACTGCTCTCAGTGGAGGTTGGGTTTGTGGATACGGCGCTCAATGGCTCATGGCGCACAGTTGAAAGCGAAGACCCGGACATCTCCGCCCGTTTTCTTGACTTTGCCACCCAGAATGGATATGGAGAAGCCCTTGAGACCGGAAGAAAAACTGGAGATTTTGGAGGTCTTTTGCGCTCTTTGAAGGAACATTCCAGCGGTAAGCTTTTCCAGAGTTGGACTAAAACACTAGCCCTGCAGTGTTAGTTCCCATAGGTTTAATAATCAATACAATGAGCTTGACGCCCCTTGAATAATTGCGTTTGCTGAATGCAGTTTTTGGCATTGTCGTTGGAGTACGTCAGATTCTTGGAGCTCCAATGCCCGAATATCCATCTGGGAAAAAGGCAGGCAAAAAGTGGAAGGACATCTCTGTCAAGCATAGCATGTTCACTGCTTTTGAAGCAATGAAAAGCAAGTTGCGCACGCTTGCCAACCCCCTGTGCCTGCGCTTGAATTGGAAATTTCATAACAGCTTGAGCATGAGATCGTCTATTTTCCCTGAACAAAGTGTCTCTTTTGCGCTTACTCAGTGATCGAGATATTGCAGACTGTACTACTTCAACACGCTCTACCTGGATGTCTGCCGCTGAATGCCACCAGTTTAATGATGCAGACCAGCCTCCTTCTGGCTCGTCTACTTGAAAAGTTCATGGCGGGATCATCCCTCATGGGCCCGGTAGGCCAAGAAATTGCCGACAATCCGGTGAACCGAGCCTACCTGACCCCCACACATTCGCCAATACAGGAAATAGGACGGAACGCTCAAGTGAGGACTCAGTGCCTTGTGGGAGTATTTGCTGAACTGGGGCTCAACGCAGCGCCAGCAGAAAACCTAAGCTGTTACTCGCACTGGAGGCGAGAACAAAGATTGAAGGGACGCCACGGTAAGAGAACAGGCGATCATGCCAATCAGAGATTGTTGGGTGAAAGACAAACGAATCTAATTTTGAGCGGGCTTGCACAAGTGCTCCTGGTTTACTTGTGTGCAGCCTACAGTCCTCCCGCTCACATATTTTCCCACTTGATGAGATCTGTCTGCTCCACGGAAGGCGCTAAAGGACGCAAAGGAGGTGTGTTTATGTCTTAGACACCACTGATTGCCTATATGCACGCAGCGCATATTCAGTGGTGACGACTATCCGTCTGTTTTACGTCAACGTTTCCTTTGTTACTCTCTCAGGCTTGCTTCCCGTGGGATCGCTAAGCAGATGCAATTCTGACTGCTTGGTTAAGGCAGCCTTACGAAAGGATTGGTCAAATAAGGAAACTGAGAAGCATAGAAAAGCATACCGGCTTAGACGTCATGATACAATAATTGGGGACGGTGAGGGGCCACACGGCAACGACTCGTCATGGTTTTCTGTGATTGCCTAAGATCTACAAGTCCCTTATTTTCTATTTCCAAATGCATATCATTCTGTCTCTTATACTGCTGCAGCGTTGCGCATGGCTACATTTTACTCGTCAGACGAAATTCTTGAGCTTGATCAGGCGGTCGCCGCGGCTTGGCTAGCGGGAAAGCTGCTATTGGATGCTGCGAGGGAGCAAACGAAAAGTGTCGAATCTGAGGCTGGACCTTCGTCTCGTGCAGAACCAGAACCCCAGCAGGCTGATTCAGAAGGGTCACGGCTCTCCCCAGGTGGTGTTCATGCCCTTTCGTCAAGTGAAACGAAAAGCGTTTCACTGGTGGAAGTCGCTAGGAAACTGACCCCTAAAGGCCCAGGCCTTCCCATACCTTCTGCCAACGTGCATCCTTTTGCGGTTGGTGGAAATGTGAATATCAATGCCATCAACATGGCCGCTACTGCCAACGTCTGCAGGGGACTTCTAGAAACTAGCTTAACCAACCCAATGTTATTCGCCTTGAACGTGCTTACAAACATTCGCGGCTATGTCAACGACTCGGGAGCAGGCATTGAGAACACAGAGGCACAACGAAAACTGGCAAAGGGATCCGACGTGTTCAGCGCCATGTACAAATGCTTTTCATGTGGACTTGGAGGAGAACTACTGCCTCCTGTGTTTGCACCGTATGCCTCTACAGCGATGCAAATTGGTGAGCCATTTGGAACGCACAAACAACAATTCGCGTTTTATGCTCTTCTTGGCAAAACAAACTGTTGTACACACGCTGAACATGGATAACGTACCGTTGTTCTGTTACTTTTCCAGCTTGACGACTAGACTCCGATTATTGTATGCGCTGCAGGCAATTTTTTAAGGGTGGACTTGGAGGAAAGTAGAGCGTTTCCATGGGAGAAAATAGTGCAGACGATGGGAGATGGCGTATTCAGTACGAGCGCCCACGCTTCTGCGCTGAAACACCTACGCAAGAAGGCATCCAGGTTCCTTGAAATGTTCACGCCTTGTATGGAAGAAGCAGAGGAGGCATCGGACCTCCTTATGCTTTCAGAATCAGCTAAACGCAAGCTCAATTTTGCACGACGCCTCCAAAAGGCGCTAAAGATAACAAGAGGGAAGAGACGGAGAGCTAACGGAGAGATGTGCGAAATTTCGGGAGAACTTCAGCAGCTCGCTCGTTTGCTTGTCGTTTGGTGGGTGCTTGGCCCTTCTTCAAGCCAGTCTACACAGGAATTGACTCAGTCATTTCAGAATACAGCAGTCACATTCAAAAACGCCCGGTTCATATTCGCATTTCTCGTTTTCAACAATGGTACGCTCTGCAGCCCTCACATGTCATCCACCCCATTGCTCAATTTTTAGATGCTTGAGATGCCAGCCATACGCAAACGAAACCCTAAGGAATATAAGCAACTACGGTTAGTTCTGCATTCCAATTTTTCAGGTCACAATCAGGCTAAGATTGCCACGGAGATTGTAACAGCAGGGTGTAAAAATAACAAATTCGTGGTGCCGCCTGGCTGGGCAATGGGATCAAAAAAGGGCACCCGAGAATCCCATGAGGTCTCCTTCAAGGACATATCTAAAGACATTAGCGCCAGTTTCATGTATCATGAGTCAACGTTGGGCTCACGAGGCCTTTCAGACTGGTTTTTGCTGCTAACGGCAGCGCAGCAGCTAGCTGATGCTTGCGGCCAGCATCCAGTGGTAAAGCTTGCCGACTTGCTTTCGACCGATGCAGGCAGTTCGATACTCACGGGGTACCAATGTATAAAGCTTCAAGGTGAGCTAGAAGGATAAGCAAGTCCAAATGATTCCTCCATTCAAAATGCTGTATGCACCCGCTTTGCCATAGTCAGAGGTGCCTTACTAGAGCGACGATTAGGCTTCTTTGCGCTGTTAGTTCGGGCCGTGCGTACAGACGAAGGAGTTAAGCTTTTATCGGGCGTCTTGGGGAAGCGATCTAAAACTGTAGACAAAGGTTACAGTCATGTGCTTTTCCAGTTCCTCAAAGGCATTGATGCCTGGAAAGAACCGAAAGGTTCTGCCGAACTTTCTCAAGCATTTGGCAGATACTCAAGCACCTCCGCGGAAGCAGATCAACAAGCAGTGCTTGCACAATGGAATGGGGACTTCCCTAATGTTGACTGTGCATGGAAAACAAACAAACGGGCGCAAAAGGCCATGATTAGAAAGGGCACAAGTACAGCTGCTTCCTAACCTACTTAAAAAGGATTTGATTGTAGCCACTAAGGATTTGTTCTGCTGCTGCAAACCATTCTCTCTGTAATAACGTTGTGGTGTCCTGCAGGTTACCAGAAGCCTGCTCGTCTTCCAGGCAAGGCCGCCGCAAAGGCCATGGAATTTCATTGTTCAGGTACGACACAGGCAACTGTACAGCCCGTAGTATGAGGCGAAACATGGAGAAATGCATGCGTGGCTCCTTGAACAGTAGTGAAAATGGAAATACGATGGTAGCTAAGTTAGATGTACCTGCGATTTTGTTCCAGCCCACGCACCACTTCGGTTGCAAGACCTGGCAGAGGTTCCTCAACCGGCACCGACACAGTTCTGCGCCGGCGACTCCTCTCAATGCATTGCTTTCGAGCATAGCACTGAAATGCACAGTCGACTGTAATAAAGTGATCGAGCGAGCCATCTGCTGAAGAAGCCCAAGGATTTAGAAAGTGTAAGATTACTTACAGGTCTCCGTTGAAGTAATTTCCCACACTGTTGCTTCCTCTCAACTGTAGCAGCTTGCTACGTTGCGCTTACCCGGATTTACTACCGTTTTGTGCAAAAAGCTCCCGGTGGAAATCGCTCATCGTTACTAGTTTTAAGCAGCAAAAATCGACTTTTTTGGCCTCAATTTCCCAATGAATCTTTTCAACTTTTCACTCAGCATGCCGTATCCCCAGTGTTTTCTGCCACCAGGCGAATATATATAAACATTTCCGATGTGTAACAATGGACAGAAAGCGACGCAATGGTAGCTCCGATCCATTTGTGGTGTGATCCGCCCATGTTACCGCGTTGCCGGCACGCGGTACGGCCGGACCTTTACAATGGACAGTTGCTCGCGTTGCCGGCGCGCGGTAAGGCCGGTTCCTTCCAAAAGAGATGAGGCATTTAATGGGCGGAATGACAGTACGGAACGTTATTAGATGAATACCATCGAGCACTAGGTGGTGCTTTCCGTTCCCGTATGCCCTCCGCAACATTGTGCATGATGGATGCCGGAACTAAGGCTCATTCTCAAATAGTAGATAATCGGGTAAGCATCTTATAATAAATCAGTCGCTTCCACCCTCACCCGTCAGATTTGTGTGGTGGTGCATGAATAACTCAAAACGGCATCCACCGGTTCTGCTGAGGGCTTCGTTGTCTACAGACCCCATACCCGACTGGAACCTTTTTTCGACTCAACTACTAACACAATCCAAAATATTAAATTGCTTCAAAACACACTTAGCTAAGCGCTACGTCTTGTCTCAGTCAGGCTCTTCGATAGGCCGTGTGCTGTCGGGGCGGGGTCAGTGTCCCGGGCTGAAGCAACCCTAGTGCAGAAGCGTACAAACAATCAAATGCTTAGACGTTATAATATTACTGTAAACAATTAATGTTTTAGGACAAATGAGGCTAGCTGGGAAGGGGTGGTGCAGGACTCGAGGTCATCTGGGTCTAGCGGACCATTGGGGACCTCGATTGAGTTGCCCTGGCAGCCTGCGCCCCCATGGTCCTACCCCAGGAATGCTGACAAGAAACGTATCTTTCCCCAACAATTTCATCTTTTTCAGTCTCACGTATTTTATTCACATCATTGACACTGCTGCCGCAGTGCCTATGCGTTCGTGAGCATCGCCGGGTTTTCGGACCAGCGGCTAGCGAACGGCTCCAAATTCAAGATTCACCGTCTCCCCTTACTTGGGGAGTAGACGATTTGTCGTCGGCCCTTGAGCACTATATTTCAGTTTTACCCTCAAAGGGAGTTATTTTGATTCGTTGGCGAGCTGTTACGTACATCCCAACTCCGGTCTTCGGCCGAGAACCCAATGAAGAAAGCGGGAAGACCAGACAGTGTTGGCGTGCTTCAGTAGCTTCGAATCCACGAATATTGCCAAAAGAAGGCAGCGTTTGTTATACAGGTGACAATAAGAGTTTGTTGAACATGAAATATCCTCTACAGGTGCCCTGGCCAACCACCCGTTGAACTTCCAGAGCGTCTTCCTGTCCAAACATATCAACAACACAAACCCGAGGAACACTACTCCCTCAGACAAGTTTCACCCTCCAAGTATAAACCGCAAAGCTTCAGAGGTCCGGTTTGCTTCCCTTCACGCCCCGCCTTCCAGGTTGATGCCCCATATCAACGACGCAAGGTCCTGCACATCGCGGGAACTTTAGATCTATTTCTGTCCTCGTGGGAACCGTTTTGTCTGTGACAGTTTCAGATGACTCTTTTCAAGTGCGACGATATCTGCCCGGTAGCTCGACGGCACATCCTGAAGCGGGTCCAATACCCTCCCAACATGAGTCCAGCGACCTACGCCAATACGGGGCCGACCCCCTTCGCCAGCCACTACCTTTCCTATCCCTTGGAGAATGCTTTTAACGTGAATCCTCAGAAAACAGCCTCCTTACCTGGCCCACTGTGCACTAATAAATACGCGGAGGAGGGGGCTGGGATTGACCTTAGTGGAGGTGCGGGCCCTCCTCTCACTGGCTTTACTGGCGCCCAACAACGCATGCAAGCACCAGTGTCCAAATATGGGTATAGTACCTCCTCTTTACCTCCACCAGAAGATATCGTGTATGCCGGTGTGCCACATTCAACAGGAGGCGGCCTCGGGAAGCTCCCCGAGCCTCACTCTTTGCTGACGGTGCCTGAACCAGGTACGCAGTATCGCGGTAGCAACAGAGAACGGTTTCAACCCAGAGCAACGACGTCCCCCGCTGGGATAGCCTTTCGTGAAAATGCCGGAACCCACCAGCATGACTTGCAGCAGGAAGTCAAACGTCTTCAGACGATGCTAAACGCTCGAGAGAACCAACTGGATTTGAAGGAAGCAGAGCTGCAGGATGCGCTGTCAAAGCTGCAGGATCAGCGCAAACAAGGAAGCCAAGAAGAGCTATCGGAGAACGAGGAGTCAGTCCCGAGTACCCTAGTCTTGCGCGCGCAAGTGCACCAGCACTAAAATAACTCCAGGAAAGAGGCCGTGCTCAATACTATGCAGAAACGAGTTGAATTGTTTTATCCCCTTTGTAACAAAAACAAGCGGAAACAAGCACAACACACACTCTACTCCAATTACAGTTCTACATGCATCATTTCCTACGTATTGCGGCATTACTGCGTCATTTGCTTGCAGCGTTGATAAAACTGCTCTTGAGGAGAAAGAGGCCGAGCTCAAGACCATGCGAAAAAGAGTGGAATTGCTGCGTCGTGAACGGCAAGACCTGATGGAGTTGCTTCTGCAGAAGGAGCGTCAGGCCGCTGTACTAGATACTGTCGACCCATCTACGAAAGAAGCGTCCGCTCTGCAACTAGGCGTTCAGGCAATTACCATGGTCCAGGGGGCTTCTGAGATGCGGGCGAAGCTGGAGCTGGCGGAGGCAGAGATAAAACAATTGCGCGCAGATCGAGAAGCCGCCGAGGAGCTGCAGCAAGACACTTTTGAGAAGCTCACGGATAAGCGCAAGGAGGCAGCAGAACTCCTTGAGCTGCTTTCACAGCGTGACATGAAAGTAGCCCGCGTTGAAGCGTACCTACAACAGAAGACAAGGGAGCTTGAAGTCCTAGCAGCCCGGTCAAAAGAACGCCTGCAAAAGGAGCAAAGCAAGAGGGAAGAGGCTGAGCAAGAGTACCGTGTAGCAGTTGAGCAGTGCAACGCTTTCAAAGCCACCTTGGCAAGCCGGGATGAAAAGCTCATGCAGCTTCAAGCAGAGGTGGTGCGCCGGGATACCCTGTTGAAGCAGTTAGAAGAACGAGTGCGGGTTTTGAGCGACGACCTTACAGGGGCACACTCCCAGCTGCAGCAGGTGCTGAAGGCAATGGCTGCAAAAGATGCATACATGCAAGAGCTCGAAGCACAGCTGCGGAAGAACGACACTGAGCGTCAGCTTGCCTATTTGACCGAAGTGTCGAAGAGCCGTAAGCTAGCCCTTGACACCCGTATTCAGCAAGAGCTGTGTAGGGCCGCTTTAAATGATAAGCGTGAGAAGTTGGCGGCAGTAAAGCAAGACTTATTTCGAAGTGAGTCGGCGATGGAACGAATCCGCAAAGCTATTGGAGCCGCTCAGACGACTGAAAATTGTTATGTGCGGTCGTCAGCGCTGCAGTCACCTGATCTACACAGTCATCCAGCAGAGCCACTGCACGTCTCCTCTGCTGGTGGCGGGATCCCAGCAGTTTCAGCGGAGCACAGCCTCCGCACCATGGACGCTAACTTTGTAGTTTGCCAGCCCTCTCCTTCAAACCATCCACGATCTGCATGTTCAACAAATCAGCCACGCGAGGCTTCGATAAAGCCTGCGAGCTCTACCGAGTTCCAAACCACCTCAAAGCCACCCCAGTCTACTTCGAAGCCTCTATCATCGGCATCGAGGGCCTCAACAGCAGGCTACGGCCCACAGTCCGAACAATTCTGCCCACCTTATTCTGCCATACAGGAGGATCCGCTTGATCAGGAGGTTGCACGCGTGTGTGAAAGCCCAGAATATCGATCCATTGCTCCTCACATTTGCAGGCTTGGCCCGGGCTCGTATCTCTGCTGTATGAACGAGGTTTCGATGGAGCTCCAGCCAGATGGCAGTGTCTCGGTGCTGCAGTCTGGCAAGAACAAGCTACCCATACGAGCCTACCTCGACACATTGCGGTCCACTGTAGAGGCAGGACTGCGAACAGCTACTTCAGCGCCCTCTGCATCAGGTGCTGCACGCGCTACCGGCCATTCGAAGAAGAAAAACGGCAACTAGTGTTGTGGGTGTGAGCTGATGCAGCTGTGCTCGTCTCCTTATCAGTCCACCGAACTTTTTAGTCCTAACTTCCTTTTTAATGGTGCCTGAATGTGTAGTCCCTGGAGATGCCAGTGGCCCCAACAGGCGCTCACACGTACTCCCCCTACGTACCATGCAATAGTCTCTGCGAGGCTTCTTTCCTGTACAAGTAGTAACAGTACTCTGCACTTAAAGGCTCACACGTGCACTGAGCTTCAAAGGTTGCTCCATGTGCTGGAGTAGCTTTAATGCGTTGTAAAGTTCGTGACAGAAATTGTAGCTAGACTGCCGTGTCTTCTAGTTACAGGTCATCTTCGCACCGTGTATTACTCTAACAGGGTACAGCAGATGCGCACTAACCAAGAAGAAGAAATATATCGTGGAGAGAACGACAAGGTACACAATATTGAGGAATCGCCTGCCGCTATACACGAGGGCAACGGATCCCGGCTGGCGCATTTAAATTTAGTAGCACGTTCAAGAGATTGATAACACTTAGTGTCGCTCCATCCCTCCAGTGAATCCACTTGCGTTCTGGATCAAGAAAGGTTCGTGCCCATTGCGACAACTGATCTTCGACAGTTTGCGTTATATCAGCCACTTCAACGGGAAAAATTCCCAAAATTTTTTCTTTCACGACAAGCCTTGAGATATGCGTGTGCAGAAACGTGGCGTCAGAGAGATACGGAAAAGAATTGTTGCACCTGACGCTCATTTGAAGCATGAATTTGATGTCATCTCCGCAGCAGGCGTCAGCGCCATCCCACAGGACTGGGCATTTCCCCGGGTCTTCACCATAAAAGCAACCGCCAATCCGTAGGGATAAAGAAAGAGACTTGATCTTTCCCGTAATTGTGAACACAATCCTGAGCGCATCGCATTAATAAAACAACACCCAAAGACGGGAATATAAGCAACACCCAATTCGGACTCCCCTCCTCAACGCCAATATCCCTCACAACAGCATTGGAGATGTGTGTGCGTGCAGGTTGGTACTCGTCACCAAGTAAGGTCTAGGTGCTCTTCAATTGAAAGGTTCAGCATCAGGAGGAAATCCCCAATCTTCGCTGCTGTGCCTTGGGACCAACCCTTCTGCTCTCTCGGCATACGAACATGTGATGCGACCGGATTTTACAGCGAACTGGAATGGGCGCATTTACGTACACACAACAAGGGGTTCTGGCACTATATCTGGACTATTCCAGTAAACCTGGATACAAGCCGTGCCTAAATGAAAGTTCGTACTGCCCACGTGCCCACCTGCTCTTCGATGCATCAAAACGCGCAGCATGCAGCTCCGTCGAATTTAGACCTGTGGCCCAACGGGCTGTAGCTTCGTAGACATTCGTCCGAACGTAGGCAAGTGGCATCGATCCAGCGCATGGCGGAGGAGCTACATGGGTGGCAGAAGCGCAGTCACCGAATGACTGGGGCAGCATGTTCCTCAACAGTGGGTTCACGTACTCCATGAACCCTTGCAGCTGTTTATTCTAAGGGCAAAAGCCAACACAGAACATCATCAGGACTATGCCACGGCAGTGAGGTCATGCAGAAAACATTGTCAATGGAAGGGAAAAGCCGCCCTGCGTCGCAGCAGTATGTATGGGTAGAGACTCACAACTATCCCGAGGTCAACATCTACTATCTCAGTCGGTCTGAGCCAGATGGGCAAAAGAAGAGCCACTGAAACGGCCAGCCGAATGCATCCGTGAAGTATTAAGCCAAATGACGGGCTCCTGCGCCTCCTGCTCCGCGTGGTAATACTCGAATTCTCTTTTGGCATGGTCAACACTGGCGAGTAAGCCACTGCACCATCATCCAGGCAACCATCACGAATGGAGCTCCTACCGCCACCAAGCATAGTTCGTGGTGAGCCTGCATTTGCCACTAATAGTGAGGAGGGGAAAAAATGGTCCTTGGCGGCCTCATTATGGAACAATGCACGCATATCCCGGCATACATCGTCAAACGAAATCGCAAACCTCTGAACCTGCGAAGCGCTAAGTCCCAACGCCATCATTGCCCAGAAGCCGCTAAAATTCCACAGGAGCCTTTCTGGGGTGCAGCTAGGCTGACCGAGAGGAGTTCCTGGTAGGCGCGCCCCTAAAAAGTCGATGCTGTTGGCAATGAAGTAGCATGCCAACACAGCAATGCTTTGGACGTCAGGCATAGCTATGTCTCCAAGGAATGCCGAAATGTTTGACAGTGCCTTCATTACATGCATGGCCTTCTGAGCTATGTTCATTGTACTACTGGGGCTCGTCTGCGAAGCACGTTCTGGCATTGTGCTCGCTGGGAGCTGTTCCGAACCCCGCGCTGCCCAGTACGCAAGACATGCACTTGCCATCGTGCCTATGGACGCGACGTACAAAACGAGCGCCGCTAACAACGGAAATACAGCAATAATGATACAATCGTTCCACTGGTGCCCCATGGAATACAACTTCCAGAAGACATCACCCAAAGACATCACTGACGTCTCGACTGCAAAGCCTCTCTGCTTCCCTGGAACTAAAGAAACATTCATAACTGGCCGTACCCAGCAGATAAATGCGGCAAAGGCAGAAATGCAAAAGCTACATGCTAAAAAGAACATGCGAAGTAGGCACTCGGAAAAAGAGCACCTTGGATATGTGGACCCCAGCAAAGCAGCACCCAACAGAAGTTCGAGTTCGTCAGGAACGGCGGCTTCTGGAATACGGGGAAGAGCATGAGGCAACTCGTCGAGAAATCGCCCACTTCTTAGACACGGATCACGTGGAAAAGCCATTATAGAGGTAGTCACATCTGCAGCCCTGACAAGTCGACATGAATCTCTTTTCTCAACTGCGTCCACATCACCATCGCTTCCCACCGGTACTTTCTTGAACCCAACGTTGGCAGGTTGGGTGTCGGCTGAGCTGAAGTAGCCTGAGAACTCTGCAGTTGTGTTAGCTGCGCTAGGATATGAGTTGTGTGGTAATGAAGCGTGCGAGTAGTGGGAGGCCCGCTGCTGAACACCCTGGGAGCAACAATGGAATCTACTGCTCTGCAGATCCTCCACCGAGGCAAGAGAGATAAGGGCTGGCAGCCTTCGGGAAGAAAGTGCTGTTGGGCCTTCTGAAGAAGAATCCATGGGTGCGGTACACCCATTGAGCGTAATATTCGCGCTCACGGGAATGCCTCGTGGAAGTAGAGGACTGCGTAGAGCGAGATGAGCCCGCCTACAGCACTCTGTCAGCTTGCTTCGCTCCAACGTCTCCGAATAGCAGTAGCATAGCCACTGTATAGTAATGATTGACAAGAGGGAATAGGCTTGATAGGCGCGAGCCGCAAAGAGAGGCTCAGCAGAGATCCCGACAAAATCGATGAAGCCCGTCAAGATAATGGTCGAAAACACGTCCACAAGCTGATACTTGGCAAGTACACGCAGCACCGTAGCTATCTTCAGGGGAAAGGAACCTGAATACGGCCATTGACGACAGCAGGCCGAGGCCACTAGACTAGCCGTGATAAATGCGAACTTGAGCAGTGGGATGACAAACGAAAATGTGAATATGCACAAGAAAGGCACATAATCCCCCTGATCTAGCAGTAGATGGAGCAGTCTTGGCATAGAGAAGTCGTACTGTCTTGCTTCGGCTACGAAAGGCCCAGGATCTCCTCCTGAGGCAGGCCACCACAATTCAGAAAGAACCACACCTTACTTCCCGCCAGGTTGGGTCAACAACCCTTAGGAAAGCCACAGGGGCAGCGTGGAGAGCCAGGTTGCGCTAACAGAGCCAAGCATGCAAACAATCTGGTGAGCGCGCGACATCGAGTCACGTTTTAGTTTGCACTTCTGGAAAACCCTCCTTGCACGTAACGGAAAGCGAATGAAAGAAGGCACTTATCGCCCCGTACTCCTTGTTGGTTAGCTCACCCTTAATTCGTAATATCGGGGCGCTAATGCCATATATATAAAGAACGAAAGACAACAACAGCAACGCTGCTCCTAATGAGTACTTCAATTTGGAGGTGAGAGAAAATTTCATACGACTCCGGAACATTTTTAACGCAGCGCCTGCTTTCTTCTTGATGCCATGACAGAAAAGGAGAGGAAGACCTGTTAACGCAGAGACGGGGCGCTGGACAACAGCGAAAGTACACTGCTGCGGCGCACAATGCGGGGTGAAGATGAGACGCCACTATTCAAGTAAGCACAGCAGAGATATACTTTACAAAGGCATTATGCGAGGAGATCGCGGAAAAAAAGCACGTAAAACCGTTGTGATGGTCCGGCGCCTTTGTTCTACCATGGTGTTTTTTCGACGGGAGCTTCGTCTATGGCAAAAAGCAGTAGTTCTGTTATAATTTGAGACATAAGCCACGAGTGCAATCATACTGAGGAAATGGGAAAGGAAATCCAATCCGCCCACAGTACTTTCTGATCGGTACCCGATAACTGAACCAATGGGCAGCCAGCCCAGCGCCCAAACGCTACCGGAAGAGCACCAGTTTGCATTATGGGCGTTGCGACAACATCGCACACAGTTATAAGCACATCAAATGCAGAAATGACAAAAAACACGTTCTTCAGTCATTTGCATCAAGCGGAGATTGGCGACCCGCGCCTCCTCACGTTATCTTCCCCACACCGCATGAGGTTGCTGATGATGAGCGAGGAAAGGGATGATGCCTTTAGGATCCTCGCTTCGAACAGGCCGTGCTGAAATGTATCTCTTCGAATGGCGGAAGGCTGATCTGATGGATATATGTGTATTGTTGTAGACGTACCAGTGCACGGGATGCCACTGTTGATGGACTTCCATGTGGGGTGGAACACCAGCCCATTAGAGTGTTTTTTAACTCTGCAGAACCGGCGGTGTTCGTCGTCAAGGTCAGTTTATTATGCATGTTGCCATGCTGTCTCTGGATGAATGCCTCGGAGGGACTCGTGTAGGGGCGTTACGCATGCAGAGAAACTGTTCATAGGCGGGCCACCTTCGCATTACTTGCGGCTGCAAAGCTGAGGTTCAGGCAGGCAGAAGACAGTTGGATGGCATTGTTTATTTGATCTCTACAGGCTAAGGAACTAGCCGGAATTCTATGTTTAGTTCTTCTCAGTGCAACCGTTCACTCCCCAGTTCCATCGGGTACTTCAGAGGGCTCGAATATTTCTTGTCTAAACTCTTTTGTAATGTAGGTGTACCGTGTCATTATTACAATGCACAAGGTGCCCAATTCGGCTGTCATCTCATGCATTTTTTTGGTACGGGCAGAGCTTTCATGCTTGGCGCCAGCGTGGTGAAATACTTGGTGCAGTTTCCATTCTGCCTAGAAAAGTAAGTTAAGAAGTACACGAACGACGCTAACATACTTGCACAGCACTCCCATGGCTGTTAATTAGTCAATTTGATGGGTTCAAAATTTTATTCATGTTTGCGGGTAGCGTGGCGGAGGCGTTTCTCTCCCCGTGGTCAACAGAGACTTGTACACAGATATATTTACGCATATTTACTCATACTCATTTTCCTAAAATTCACTAAGGGCATGGAGGCAAAGAAAGACGGCTTGCTTTTTCTTGGCGTAGTAGTAGTGCATTCATGAAGAGCATGTAGAATGAAGTCACGAATGGTTCGACGTGATACTTCGCGTTGGCCTTGCTCACTTTTGGAAAATCGGCGCCCTGTCTGGTAGGGGCGATTCCCCCAGTGTAAGCTTCTTTCAAGCCCGCAGTTGAGGTTCGTTGTCAAGTTGTTGTGATTAACCTACATGTTGAGTATGCGAAGTATGTGTAGGCTGCCTGGTTACTTAGTCCGAGGGAACTGCGTTTGTGCCTAGGGCATTCTCACATATCATTCTCCCAATAGTCGTGCTGAGGCGATGGGAATCTGGGGGATTTCTGGTGTGTTGGGTGTCAGAATTATTCTACCAGATGCCTATGCAGCGCAAGGCCATGGTGGAGCTTTCTAGTTTTCGTGGTGAAAGAGGTTGAGCTCACTGAAGTCCAAACGTTTCACGCAGTGCATTGGCTAGTACTGCCATGATCCCCACTATCTACGTCAGCCCCTTGCATCTCTCGTTGGTGCAACTACCGAATGCAGCAAGCAAGATATAAGGCGTTCCTTCTCCTCGACTGAGTGCAAGTACTGAGTATTGGAGCCGGTCGGAAAGTGCGACACTGGCACAACCGCTTGGACCTAGGAAATGTGCTAGGCAGTGCTATCAAGCGAATACAGATCGTACTTCTACTTGTCCGAACTTTTGTTGCTGTTTGTACGACAAGTGCAACTAATAACAAGGTTTTTGACGTGGAAAATCATTTGCCCCGTTGAACACCTGATTTGGTTTCTTGACTTCTTGAAGAGTGTGTATGAAGAAGCCTGTAATAAAACTGACAACTTGCGGCTGAGGTACTCAGCCTCATGACACTGCTGGTTGACAGCGGGAGTTGCTACCTCTTCCCCAGTTGTGCTCTTCAGGCAGTTGCTCATATGTCCATATTCTTCGTTTTGAAGACGGCATTGGCATCGTTGAACAACTAACTTCCGATGAGGAAAGCTCTGGAAGTGGCGGGATAGAGCAGTTATCTTGAATTGCGTACGGTCTGCTGCTGTAAAAGCAGCTATGAGATCAGCTGGTGCATCGCATGAAACAGCAGAAGTGTACACCGAAGCGTTCGAAACTCGAGCGTCATCTGTTTGCCAAGGGCCACCATTCACAGAATTCTCCGCATAGCGAGTTCGTCCTGTAGGAGCGAGCGCGTACAGCTCTACAAATTACCGGACCAAGCTACAACGCGAAAGTGCCCGCAATAATCCAGGCGTTCGTTTTCCTGGGATGAGCGAATATTGCGCATTGCTATTTGCTACTACACAGCGAGGAAGCCAGCCGCACGGCACTTACAGCACGTCGAAGCCTCCCTATGCACCAACGGGCAAACCGACCCTCAAAGAAAGGCACCCTTACACCCATTACCAAGCAACGCAGATTGCGCGGAGTTCCCTCAAGTATGAATGTGGTGCGATGCACCAATTTCAGCCTGTTCAGACGCGTACCCCACTTCATTGGGCGTATGAAGGCAATAATAAAATTGCAGCAAACGATATTTACTGGAAGCATGCACCCGAAATAACAGCGGCGCCAAAGTACACGGTATTCGCAAAAACTGTTGGCTGGCGCTCCCTTTTAACACTCTGGCAAACTATTGGATCATGCGTTGGCACACCACAATGACACAACAAATGGTTTAATGCAGTCAGCGAACCTGACCCACAGGCACAGCTCGCAAGTGCCAGCACACTTTGGCCACGACACGCAACAGAACCAGAAGAGCGCATAGAGGTTATGCACAGAGAAAACGCCCAAAAGAGTTAAGTCCTTCAGGACTTACACACGGCGGAAACCGCCACACTATGCAAGCCAAGCTTCCAGGAAGGGACCACAACGAAGACTTTGATGAGCACTTAACAAGCTGCCGATGACAATATCCAACCTGTAAAAAAACATTCATCCATCCTACGGCAGTCCTGCACTCGGAGCAGCTTAATCCGGAGCGTGATGACGTGGATTGCTCTTTACAACCGTAGCATCACCTCCTTCCCTCTCTGCTCCCGCCGAAGAAACGTTGCAAATAGTCAATACCTCCGCCTCTTGATTGTTATGCGATCCGGAGACGTCAGATTCTTCCATGCGCCCAGAGGTTGTAGTTGTCCCTTCAGCTGCCATCCGGTTTCTGTTTTGCCGATGTCCTTCGGTACTGGCCAAATCGTCGCCAGCTCCAGCATCTAGGCGCCTAATTTCCTCAGCTGCAGTACGGAGTAAATGATTTAACTTCCCCGCCAACAAGTTCAACTCCTCCTTCGAAACGGTCACACAGCCCTCACTAAAGGGGATTTCTGTTTTGCACATGACTGTGTCGATTGCCACTGAAAATGCCTCTCCCTCCGAAACATCCGGTAGTGGAGCGCCGACGGTTGCCTCCTCTGCTGATGCTGCAGGGTTCCAGAATTGCCCGAACGTCCGCTCCTCCAGAGTTTCCTGTGCAGTGCCGGTGGCAGCAGGATCCGGTGGTATATCCACAGCTTTCCCTTCCGAATTAGGTACGCTATCGTTTGGCAGAGGAAGGAGGTTGGGCATGTTGTACTTCCTGCCCATCTCCTCACGCGGACTCCCGTCGAATTCCGCTGGCAAGGCCGAGCCCTTAGAGCCATCTGTACTATCAAAAACAGGTCGCTCCCCGCACGCGGACGACTGGAAAGAGGGAGCGCAACTAACCGCCGATATCGGAGACCCCTGTGAGGCAACGCTACTAAGCGGCTCCACCTGAGGTACACAATCGTTCTTCAGCAAACCCAATGGCGGAGCACATAGCGGAGAGATGCTACGTTGAAACGGAATAGCCTGTGGAGCAACGGCAACTTCTAGGACAGATGCATCGTCATCTGCCGCTCGAAGTGGTTCCTTGCTTCCCAAGGGGCCACTGCGTGAAGCCACCACTGGCCCAATCTGTGCGCCTCGCAAACGGACAACATTCCTGTTTTTTGCCCAAGAAGGTTGTTGATGGGAGGGTGTAGCTCCCTCAGAGTCGCCTTGAAACTCTCCAACTTGTCCCCGCTTCTTAATCGAAGTCACCTCCTGTGCTCCCCTCGTCCCTACCGTGTTCTGGCGGTCTCCATAGCCCTCTTCGTTCATTGCCTGCTGTTGGTAGCTCCCTTGCGGGGAACACACAGTGTTAGAACGACAGGAGGAGCCTCCGCTAGTGAGAGGCCCTCCCCGTTCGTCCTCACACCCCGTCGTTTCACTGCAGGACGGAGGCGCCTGGAGATCCAAACTGCTGGGGTTCACTGGAATTCGGCAAGTACCAGTTGTCTGTAGTGTCTCAGCGCATTCCCGGTCTACAGCTGGTTGCACTGGCGGTAGGGCTCCACCGGTAGCCGGCTTGCCGCTGGCTGCTCTGGCCTGAGACGACCGAGCAAAGTGCAGCGGCTTACAAACAAAAACGTTAAGTGGCTGAGGGTAGTTACTGGTTTCTTCATGGCTCATGGATTCACGTGCACTCATTCGCGACGCCACGGTGGTGTCCACAGGTGTAGAAATTGCCACAGTATGCTGTGTTTCCGAAGTAATTACTGTGACAACCCTGTTCCCCGTCTCCACTTCTGCCGTTGTGATGGCGCGAACAGCAGAATCTTCTGTTCGCAACGGCAAATATTCGTGGTCCTTTGAAGAAGACCTCAGCGTGCTGCAGCTGTAAGGTTTGTAAGGAGATCCATGTAGACTACCAGGATCGGCAACCCTCTGGCCAAATACACCGTGACTGAGACCATGCTCTGACGGCAAAGGTGCTTTCTCGTCATGCTTGGAGCAAACTTCCGGAATCGGCACAAGAGTTCCGGAAGAATGGGGAGCCTTGCTGTCTTTGCCCACAGGTGCCAGGGTCTCTTGAAGTGTAGACCGGGTACTGATACTGGACGTCTCGACCCGACTTAGAAACCCGCCGCCTGATTTGTACTGCTGCGCTACTTCTTTGTTCCAAGAGTTTGCTATATATAACCATTCCCCTTCGGCAGGAAATGCATGATCTTCAGAGTGCTCCGCAAAACGCCGAGCATTCCCAACGACTGCTGAAGCTGCCGGAAGGCCAAACATAGGTGCTTCTGTCAGAGCACAGAAACCCACAGACTCCGCCAAACGAGGACCAGATGGCGTTCTAACGGGGTCGGCCAGGCCAGCCATGCCTTCGCCGACAAATGCTCCTTCCGCAAAGTTCCTCCCCCTCGGGGCGGAAAACGAGACCGAGCCCACTCCTGATTCTACGGGCCCCACTCCCTGCGAGCTCTGCTGGGTGGTAGCTTTCTTCTGCTCGCCGAACCTGGTTAAAACGCCAAGATTCGCTAGGCACCTCCCCAAGAGGTCGCTTGATGAAGACCGCGGCATGCGAATTTTGATTATTCCTTCAACCTTCCGTCGGATTTCTTTCTCAAGCTTGTGATGCCTAAGTAGCAACTGGTCTATTTGCTGGCGCCATGAAGCCCACTCCGCCTCCCAAGCCTCCCAGTGCAACTCAGCCTCTTGTCGGTCTTCTTCGGTGTGGAAAAACGCGCACTTGTTAATATACGGACACCGGCCCGTGTCAGCGAGAGCCATCTGGCACTTCTGCAGGATGGCAGCACCACAGAATTTGCACAAACAAGTAAAACACTAAGCATAGGACTGGCGCCAAATGAAGCAGATTTAGTGTTAACCTCCACTCCTGAAAAACCTGCCGACGCCTCGTCGCCAACGAGAGTTCACAAACAAGCCGGCCTCTTCGGAGGCAGCACGAAGGAAGGACCAGTAGAACTCAAACTGATCACATGACCCATATGCAGCAGCGAAGCCAACCTACTTGTGTCTTGTATACGATCGGATGGAAAATCTTTTCCAGTTTTGTGTGTGCCAACGGGCAGACGCCATCGCAGCAACTGAACGCACCGTACTAACACAAACAAGAAACCCTCCTCAAAGAAGCCCTGCGACAAAGCACCTTTGAAGCGTTCTGTCTGGTGAGTAAGGAAAACTGCAAGACAGGTGCACTGAACCGTATGTATGCTATAAAATGTCCACCTCCAGATGCTGCACTGCTCCTTTCTTCCTGATGCGCACATGATTAAGCTTTACGCTGGGTGCTAAGCGTGCTCAGCGACCTCCTCTCGCTGACTGCTAAAACCCTCACCGCCGAGCGAACGGGCAATCTACGGGGATATAGAAATGGACGTATGGATCGCGCCTGTCAAACTTGGAAAGTTCAAAAGGAGATGCACGGAGTGGGTCGAAATGCCGGGTGACTGGCACGCCGATGGGGGCCGCGGTGGAAGCGGTGCTTGTCCTGGGTCCAAACGAACCGCTAGCGACGGGCTGGATGATGGGCGCCTGCACAACTGCGCTCGGAGGGGAGGTCTCGCGTCGCTGGAACGTACCGACCGGCGTCTGTCGATAGGGCACTGCGGAGCGCCCTGAGCACATAGATCAGACATGCTTGTAAACCGATGCAGTGAGCATGTAGTTAGAACTCCTTGGGCTTCCTCTGGTAAGGAGGCTCTGTGTGTTTGCTCGAGGGACACAGAGAGCTCCACCTCTGTGCTGTCTGCCCGCGTATGTCACAGAAGAGCTACCGCGTAGCGTTGCGCGCAAGGAGGGAAACCCCTCCTCTGAGACACAGTATGACAGAACACCTGCAGGGGCAACATCACTGTCGTGAGAAAGATGGTTTAGAGCAGAAGGGCTGCGGACGGAAGAGCCGCTACCCCTGGAAAATGAAGCTGTAGAGGAACCAGCAGTCCCGCGACGGCCTCCACAGCATGCCCAGCTAGGGAGCGGTATCCTTTGTTGGCAGAATAAAACATCTACGCTTCTCGCAGGGGAAGAGGCACTGAACTGCGAGGCCGATGAACTCAATGAGCCCAGGCTCCCACAAGAGGACCCCCAGCTGGAACCGGAAGCACACGACCCCGCATATAATCTGTGGGATGAGTCATAGGACGCTGACTTCAGCGACTGGCTCCATGATGCTGGTTGGGGCCTATCCATGTTAGATTTGCCGTAATCTTGGCCTGTCAGAGTTTGGCCGTGATGCTGCAGACCTGCGGAGGCCGATGCTTCCCGTCGGAAAAACTCGGCGGCACCGGGCAGCTGCCACTGTTCCTTCAAGCTCCTTATGAAGCCCCTGGATTCCCCAGAGGGTCCTGATAGCGGATACCCCAGCGACCCATCATGGCGCCTGGGTGGAAGGGGTGCCTTGGCAGACGGTTGCTGCTGAAGACGATCCATTACGGATTCCCGCAAGAATAACCGTCAGAGCGTCTAGAGAATGTTAGTCTTCCTGTATCTTCAAACACTGTCAAGCGGTAGACAGTTTCACTTCGGCGCAGTGGACGAGTTGGGGTGTCGGCGCGCTGCTTAGGACGCTTCGGCAGTTGAAAATTGACCGGAGGCCGAGACCTCAGTACGCTGCGGGCCAAGTGATGCCTAATAGGCAGAAAAACACGTGAACAACAGGTTGTCTTAGCCAGTCTCGGCTTTGTGCATTTGTCTACTGTACCGGCGAGCCCTTGAGAAAGGGAGGGAGCAGCACCCTAACGGCACGGCAAGGCTGCACGGGAAAGGACAAAACGCGTCCTAAGGCAAGTGTTTTCTACTGTTTTTGTGCAGGGGAGCACATAAGGTTGGCTTGACAGGCCCAGAAAGGGGAGAGACAAGCCAGGATTTCCAGAGGGTTTAAAGACAGAACGATTGCCCCACCCACCCTTCCCGTGTCGGAGCGAAACAAACCCCTTCCAGCCATAGTAATCAACCTTCTCCCTCCCCTCAATGCAGAAAGATGAGAATTCTTTACACCTAGTTCAAGAAGCTGTTGCTTCTCGTCTTCCAACTTGCTCCCACACCTTCCTCACGATCTCCCCGTGCGCCTGCTGAGGCGCTGCCCTACCAGGGCCATCGCTGCAGGCAGGAACCCCCAGCCCCAGACCACCAATCTCAGCAGCGCGCCCACACCCAAGACAAAATCCTCCACAAACAATGCATGAAGCAGGCATTATTTATTACGGTAAAAAATAACAGAAAACTACTGCTCTTCTCCACGGCAGGCCACCGGTCTGGTCTGCGACTCGCTGCGCTGGACCCGCGACAACGACGAAAATGGGAAGCCGGCGCGGTTTACCTCCCACTTTCGATGTGAAAATTACCCATACGACGGAATGCGGCAATGCAATTGCCTCAAGTGAGCACATATAGTGTCTGACGGATAAATGGATTGCCTAGGCCTCCTTCCCAAGACAGAGGACAGAGGTATCGATACCGTGTGCTGGGGCTGGGTCCTCTGAGTTAGCTATTTGTTGTAGGCGGCACGTCACTACTCTTTAGGGTTGCAGGCAGATAACAAGGTTCGTTAAGGACCTCCCTTTTGAACTTTTTTTGCCACATTATTTGCAACTGTTGCACCAACGGCTTCGGTACTAGCAAAAGCCCAAGACCATTATTCAAACGGTTTATCCCAGTCGTCAACTGCATAGTGCATGATTCCCTAAGCGGTGCTTCTGACGAAGGAGAGCGAACAAGTGTGAAATAGATGTAGGTACAGTACAACTACGCACAGCAAGGGGAGGCATTACATATCGATGCCTTGGAGCGCTCCGCCACCTCATTCGGCCGTTACTATTTAAAAAGTGATAATTGGGCCGGTGGCCAGCGGGTCCACTCCCAAGTCCCTAAGCGGAGATGCCAGAAACAGCAACCAGATTAGCAGGAGCGGAGATCTGTAGAGAAGCCTGACTTGAGCGAGAAAACTCGTAGATGCACTGCATCACCAGTCTCTCCTGAGGAAAAGTCACAGGGATAAATGCTGAAGTAAATGTGCGTGAGCACGGTTAAGGGGTCGGTGGCCCTTTGCGGCCACGCGGATGCTGGTGCCAACCTAATGTAGAAGCTAATCCCCTGTCCACTTATGCATGGGGATATACATAAGCGAACTTAACGGAAGGTGCATTGCCCTAGAGAAAGCTCCCTCTGACCTCGTCTGTCAGGGCAAGGCTCTTGTCTTGTGTCTTCGCTTGAATGCGCCGAGTTAGTAAGTTTGCCTGCACTCCAACACTCACCCGTCTACCCACCAATCCCCGAACCCACATCAAATGCAAAATTAATAGGGGACCCCCCTCAGCTGTCGAAGTTGCTCCTACTGGCAAGGTAAACATCAGCAGAAACGGGCACTGTCCGGAGCTATCGCTGGAGCAGAGCAGAGGCAGCTGCTGCGGCGGAAACAACAGTGGTAGATAAAAAGCTGCTACCGATGCTTGAGTTCTTAATGGGTACGTTGTATATTCACCAGCTCTCTAAGATGTCGCGGCGCGTGGGGCTCCTCTGTTGTATCGCCTGGGAGTTGTCCGCCGAAACTGCAATCCTTTTCTTCGTCGTCCAGAGAGTGGCACAGCTCGAAAGAGGCCGTCAACGCCACCACTTGACGAGCGGGCAATTGATGAAGATTTGCCAAAAGATGGAAATAGAGTCCTGAAGCATTTCGGGAACTACGCGAGCGCATCTGCCTAGTCCATAATACGTGCATGTAGCACGTGCGGCGAAGAAGTATTGCTCGCGTGTACAAATAATTTTATGTATCTATGCATGCATATAAATAAATATGTTACCTATATATATATATATATGAAAACATAGTTACAAATATATACATATATATATATATATACATATTCATATATATATCGTGCGGAGAAAAAGTATTGTAAGCGCATACAACTATCTACACATATATTTTACATAGTTAGGCATATATGCATGCATATATACATCCATATATATATATATATATATAT